TGGTGCTGGGGCTGTTTTGGGTTGGGGTTATTAAGAGGTGTTGTCTGCTTCATTTTCCACCCACTAATGGTGTTACACCTCCACTGTGTGTTTTATTTTCTTGGTAGCACTGAATGAAATGGCAATGAAGAAACCCTACTATTCATCATCATCATCAATATTATTTCATCTTCCGCCATTAATATTAAAATTAATATTAATATTGTGTTTCGCCCAAGAATCAGTTTCCTCCTTAAACAACAACAACAACACGAATCTTGAATTCAGACAAGCAGCTGCTGTTGTTAGCAGCTTAAGATTAGCCAGGATTCAGAAGCATCTAGACAACATCAACAAGCCCCCTCTCTTCACTATTCAGGTATGTATCTATATATATGCATGTATTTATGTATGTATATATACCTGTTTTTAATTTAGTTAAATGATTAATATTCTTAATTGTGATCAGAGCCCAGATGGAGATGTAATAGATTGTGTTCATAAAACTAAACAGCCAGCTTTCGATCATCCTCTTCTCAAGTTTCACAAGATCCAGGTATTCATCATTCTCTCTTTCTTTTTCACACACACACACAAACACACACTAGAGTGTGTGTTCTATATATATATATATATATATATAGATATAGAAAGAGAAAGGAGTAGCTTTTTATTAAATTTGAGAAAACGTAACGCGAAAAAACACGCCATCTTTCAGCTTCTTTGTCTCCCTTTATTATTTCATTCAATTAAGTTTTTCTAACTACCAACCACCTCCCCTTTTTCCACACACACACACACACATGTGTGTGTGTGTGTTGTGTTATATTAATTTGCTGATAATATAATCTGATTAATTAATAAATTAATTAACAGAGAGTTCCACCGGAAATGCCGAAGGGGATGATGAGAATGGCGGCGGAAACAGAATACAGCAGTAGTAATAGTAGCAGAGGTGTAAGGCAGACGTGGCATGAGAAGGGGCGGCGCTGCCCCAAGGGCACGGTGCCTGTGCGGCGGAGCACGGTGCATGATGTGCTCAGGTCTAAATCTTTGTATGATTTCGGCAAGAAGAGCTCCAGATACTCTCCGGCGGAGGCGGCCGCCCGCCGCCCCGACGCCCCTGATGTAGTCAGCGGCAACGGCCATGAGGTATGTAAATAATCAATTATTTATTTAATCATCAATAATTAATTAGAATAGTAAACGGTTAAAAAATGGCAAAAATACTGTTTTAGTCCCTCACATTAGCAAAAATTCCACATTTGGTGCCTCATATTTAAAAAAAAACTCAACACTTTAATCATTTCTGTCAAATTTTCCGTTAAAACTAACCGAATCAAGCGTGTGCCCATCAATGACTTACTGACAGACTTAACGGTAAATTGATGAAAATGACCAATCGCGTTAAATTATTGAAACATGAGGGACCAAATGTGTAATTAATGCAGAGATGAGGGGCGAAATTGTAAATTTTCCGTTAAAATTGTATTCATCAATCTTTATTGATGCAAAATTGTTCATTACAAACATTTTTATTGTTAACTAATAAGTCGGGTTTCCGCAAAAAAATGAAAGCACGCGATTGCATACACGACGGGATCGGGAGAGGTATACGGGGCAAAAGCGACAATAAACGTGTGGGACCCATCGATCGAAGTAGTGAACGAGTTCAGCCTATCACAGATTTGGGTTCTCTCCGGTTCATTTGACGGTTCTGACCTCAACAGCATTGAAGCCGGTTGGCAGGTACACCAAATTTCTTTTTTATTTATTATTTTTTTAATAGCAAAAAATATTAATTTATTGCATAAATGAAATTGAAATTCTGAAGCTTTGATGGTTGTACTAGTCAGGTTAGTCCGGAGCTGTATGGTGACAGCCGGCCCAGATTATTTACTTATTGGACGGTTAGTTTTCTCTAATTCTTATTTACCACTTTTATTTTATTTATTTATTTTATTTTTATACTACTAATAATTTTTTTAATTATTAATGAAAAAAAAAATGGAGAACCTATTTTGACTTTAGCTTAGCTAAATCAATTGTCATTGGACACCGACTTATATGATACAAAACGGCCAATAGAAATTATTTAGTAACCAAAAGGAATCTTATTGTAAGGTCAAACCTATTTGAATATGATTTATTTGAATCACAACTCCAAACTCCAAAGTCAAATTAATTATGCCTTGAGAAATTCACATTTTAATAAATAAATCTCAAGCTATAAGAAACTCTTTATATAAGTGAATTTCTTCCTTAAAAATGATGCACTATTACCTCTTAATTGTAAGGTGATTTACTGCTCGTTTGGCTAGATTTATTTTAAACAGTCGATAAGTTCTTAGATTGATTCGCTATTTTAAGAGTTGATAATCTATTACGTTTTATTTTTTAAATTAATTTTGAAGTGTTTGAATAATGAACGTATAAGCTATTTTTATTTATTATAAGATCTTAAATAATTTTTTAAAAATCTCTTATAAAAAATTATCAAACGCATTGAAATAACTTATAAGTTTTTTTTTAACAGCTTATAAGTTTAGTCAAACACCCGTCTTAGTCTTTATAATACGTGTATAAAAACTTTAAAGTCTTGAAAATTAGTTGTAAAGAGGGACCAATCACATGAAATTTTGGAATAGATCAAAGTATTTAAGAGCAAAATTAAACCATGAATAGTGACACTTCATCTTCCTCTGCATCAATATTAGTGTTTGGTGGTCCACATATAATAAAATTCAGAAAATTACCTAGATTTTTTTGGGTAATATAATATTATTTTAATTTATTTAATTTAAGAATACACATTAGTAGTCAAAAAAAAATTAAATATCTTGAAATTTCATTTCAATAATTGGGACTGCATTTAATTTACTTTACCAATCTTCTGCGTTAGCATTCATGATAGTATTGTACATCTCCTTATTAAATATGGAGGGTCAAAATGGGGTATTTGATGGCTATTGTCATGTGCATGCATGCATGCATTAATTGGTCATTATTATTTGCATTTTCTCTTGTCTAATTAGTTAGATGGTGATTAATAATCAAGAAAAATAAAATAAATTTATAATTTTTTTGGTTTAATTTATTAATATTTTTTTATCGTTAATTCGACAGAGCGATGCGTACCAAGCGACTGGATGCTACAATCTCTTATGCTCCGGATTCATTCAGACGAACAGTCGAATAGCAATCGGAGCCGCCATTTCGCCGGTCTCGTCGACCGGAGGAAGTCAATATGACGTCACCATACTCATATGGAAGGTCCAATTATTTAATTAATCAATCTGAACATCAAAATTGTTCTTTTCTCATTAACCATATCTTATTTAATAAGTTTTTTTAATTTAAATTTTATAAAAAAATAGGATCCAAAATTGGGAAATTGGTGGATGGGCTTCGGCGACAGCACATTAGTGGGCTATTGGCCCACCGAGCTTTTCACCCACTTAGCCGATCGAGCCACCATGGTCGAGTGGGGGGGCGAAATCGTAAATTCACGAGCCAACGGCGAACACACGTCGACTCAAATGGGCTCGGGCCATTTTGCGGAAGACGGGTTTTCCAAAGCGAGCTATTTTCGGAACCTCGAAATTGTCGATTCGGACAATAGTCTAAGCTCGGCCCGAGACATATCGACATTGGCTGAAAACACAAATTGTTACAACATCAAGAACTCCTATAACAATGAATGGGGTACACATTTTTACTATGGCGGGCCTGGAAAAAGCCCGCAGTGCACTTGATTGATACCGAAAAAGCCCGAATGGTGAAAATTCTTTGGTTTTTATTTTAGTTAATTAAGAGTGTAGGAGTGTGCTATTTCCAGCCATGTTTTCTGCTATTTTTCCACTTTGTTTTCAGTTTTTGTTTTTAAATATATATATATATAAGCATCAAACAGGTAAGGAAATAGCTACATTGTATTTTGGGAAAAAAGGAAGTAATTATTAGTAGTAGAATATGTGTAATTCTGTATTTTTATTTCCAGAAAAATCGAAAATTCTGAAATTTCAATGCAATTTTTTTTCTTTCTCTTTTTGAATATCGGAAATATTAGAATGATAATGGGCATAATCTTGAAATTTTATGTTATTATTAAAAAAATGAAATTTACGGAATTATATTTTGGAGATTAAAATCGATTGAAAATTCGAATCTCGTATATATTCCAATTCCAGTCAAATAAAAAAAAAGGGGGAAAATTAGGAATAATATTTTTTAGAAATTCTTAATAAAAATGGTAAATTACAACCACCCCTGAGGTATGGTCAAATTGCAAAAATTCCCCTCTTGTTTGGATAATTACATATACCCCTCAACTATGAATCTTCGTACACCTCCACCTTATGGTGTCAAATTCAACATAATCATCTACAAAGAGTGGGATGTGCTCTATTTTGTACTCTATTTGTGTAAAAATACAGTTTCTGATGCACCACAATCTGCTATATACAAGCCAAAAAACACATGTTATGATCATCTTGCTTCAAAATGTGGAGCTCGAATGGGATAAAACGGGTACAAAACTGATGATATTCCATATAATCAAGAAGATTCCACTAAATTTGAAACCGCAATGGTGGACGTATAAGAAAATTTATAGTTGATGGGTTGTTGAAATTACCCAACCAGGAGGGGCTCAGGGGTGGTTGTAATTTACTCTAATAAAAAATATTATTCAAAAAAAATATTCCACAATTACTCTATATAAATTGGGGCATTACAACAGGCCCAATACAGTACAATTTATTCAGACTAAAAGCCCAAAGAGAAGAAGAAGAAAAAAGCCTAAAACCAGAGACGGAACAAAGAGCGGCAAATGTATGCAGATTCCGCCATAGCTGAGAGGAATACATTCGACTATACATATACATATATAGAAAATTATATATATATAAGCAGAAATGAAGGAAAGAGGAGAAGCAGAAGATTTCGTGACACCAGGTGAAGTATTGGGGAAAACCTCAGAGTTGAAACCTGGTAACGGCGCGTACGTTTCACCCCAGGATAACACCGTCTACGCCTCCCTCGCCGGAATCCGCTCCCTCACTCCTCCTCCACCTGAATCCGCCGACCTGGTAACCAGTTCATAAGGATTTTTTAATTCAATTTTTTTTTGGCAATTTAATTTAAATTTATTTGTGAGTTTTTTGTTGTTATTGTTAGAGGCCTACGGTGGAGGTGAAAGGTCACAAGGCGCATGGTCCGGTGCCGGAGCCTGGTGCTATTGTCCTTGCAAGAGTAAGTTCCATTTTCATTTTGCTGATGCTTTTTTTTTTTATTATTTGAATTGTTTATACTATCTAGTTATTAGGGTTTGGAATTTGGATTGCTATTTGGAGAATTTGTGAGGCAATTTTTATCAAATTTTAAGATATATAGCTGTATGTATAGCGGATCCAGGGTCGATTTGCGTAGAAATATGTCACAACAGTTGTAGGTAAGGAATGAACTCTTCGTCTATTGCTCTCGTGTCAAAGTTACTCGTGCTTCAAATTTTATGAGTTTGTTGCAGTCGAGTGAAGTTCATGATTCTCATTTCGGTGCAAACTTGTGGATAAATGTAGTGCCGACTGATTGAGAGCTGTAAGAATAGAAAAAATCAACTAGAGCGAACAAACGTTCGATGTAACTGGAAAGGGATTCAAATTTTCGTAATATTGGTTGCGTTAGCATCTTAGTAATCAAATCTATAAATAAACTTGAATTCGTTGTTAAATACGAAGCAAGAAAAGAGAAAGAAAATATCGAAAATCTTGAATTGATTGCTTCAATTCGATGCCCAATAGTGTTTTTCTCCTTGTAATACCTGCAAAACGCGATTAGTCGATCTCAATGAAGTGGTGCAAAACCAACTTAATCGTCTTCCCATTGTGTTAATTTGTTCTATTTGTTGTAACAGGTTACCAAAGTGATGGCCAAAATGGCTTCAGCAGATATAGTATGTGTTGGTCCCAAGTCCGTACGAGAAAAATTTACCGGCATTATTAGGTAAGAAAAAATATTTTTGTCTCGTCATTTTTGTTAGTTTCAAGAATCACTTATAAATAAGAGTAGCCATCAAATAGTAATTGTTGCTTTTATTAATAATGTTATACGACAGGCAGCAAGATGTGAGAGCAACAGAGATTGACAAAGTAGAAATGCACTCATCTTTCCGCCCGGGCGACATCGTTAAAGCTTTAGTTGTATCCTTCATGCTAAACAAAACACCTTATTATTTTTATTTATTTTGTTCTGTATTTTATTTCCATATATATAATCGATCATGGTTTACTAGGAGAAAATCTGGTGAAGTGCATGCATTTTGTTCGCCTTAATATTTTTTTTCCTTGAAAAGCTGTCCCTTGGAGATGCGCGAGCTTATTATCTATCAACTGCAAAAAACGAACTCGGCGTTGTTTCTGCAGAAAGTGCAGCTGGTATGATATTCGTATTACTGAAATTAGTTTCCAAAATCTTTTTTCAGCTACGATAATTTTGCATCGTTAAACTGATTATCGTCAACAGCAGGTGAAACAATGGTTCCGATAAGCTGGACAGAGATGCAGTGTCCTTCAACAGGTCAAATTGAGCAGAGGAAAGTTGCCAAGGTTGGGGCTTGACTGAGTCAACCTTAATTCTTGGTCTGAAAATTGCCCTCCTTTGCAAAAGAGATGCAACTTTTTTTTGTTTAATCTATTGTTGTTGCTTCTCAGAATTTATTACACCGATTGTTTCTGCTATGTCAACTTCCTTTTAATTTTAAGTTAAAAAAATTGTTTTCTTAGGTTATAGGCTATGATAATGACTATTATTTGGGGAAACTTATTCTAAACAGCTGATAATCTCATATGTTTGATAAGTTGTTCTAAACATCTTATTTTTACAATTAATTTTTAAAAAGTTTGTATAATGAACTTATAAGCTATTTTTACTCATTATAAGATCTTAAATAAAAGAAAAAATCTTATTTGTTGTCCGATAATTTACTTTTTGAAAATTGTAAGATCTTTTTAAAAGAAATTACTAACTAGTTTAAAAGAGCTTATTAATAACTTATAAGCTTAGCCGAACACCATCTAAGAAAATTGGAAGAGAAGATTAGTAACTGTAACTCATAAACTGATAAATGATAGTGTAGTTTATCCAGTGCAAGTATTGTGAATTAAAAAAAAAAAAAAAAAGAATAATAACAGAAAATGTTAAATACCAAAACTCACTTTAATAACCACCTTTCAAACAATGGCTACTGTAGCTGCTTCTCTTTCAGCTGTCCTCCGTCTTCTTCCTCCCTCCAAAATATCTTCCACCCATGCCCACAACTTCCTTCAAATTCCCCTCCATATCCCTTCTTCTTCCCCACACTTGAAAACCCTAAAATCCAAATCCCTAAAAAAGATTCCATCCGCTCTCACAGAATCATCTGGCTCCCCCAAATCCCTCGACCCTGACCCGCAAATTCTCCTCCAACAACTTTCTGTATGGCCAAATTCTTCATCAATTTCATTTTTCTGTGCTCGGATTTACATTATCGTTTCCAGAATTATATATCATATATATGTGTGTGTAATGTGTTTGTTTATGCTTCTAAACGGCGCCGTTTTGTAATATTATTTTTGTCGGCTATGCAGGATTGTTTTGTTCTTCCCGCGGATTACTTTCGGCAGTTACCGCAGGATCTTCGTCTAGATGTGAGTATAACTCTGTTTTGCTTGTACTGTATGGATCGAATATTGTACCTTGCATTTATGGATTGTGTATTTGTTAATGCATGTTGTTATTTGGTATATAGTTTGTTGCCATCGATTTTGCGGCTTATGTATATTACAACTCACGGAAAAAATCAAAAGGGGCTCGTGTAAAAGTGCAATATAGACACTTCAAACATGTACAATCTTACTTAGTAGTTGCGATTTTATTCTGTGGGGGAATGTCGTAAAGTCGAAATGTTGAAGCACGGTATATTATAGGTTGATAAATAGCTCATCTTATAGTTATTACATTATAATATTACTCCTAAATTTTTGCTCCTCTTAGATCACTGATACGGCTTACGGGATGGGGTGGGGTGGGGTGGGGGGCGATTAAGTAATCTATGGTTGGGGTTGTACATTGAGCATTGGAGATTGTACGGAGTCTGAATATTTTTTTATTTTTTTTTTTCATGTTGAAGCTGAACGATGCAGCCTTTGATCTATCGAATGGCGCTGTCAAAGACGAGGTCAGTTATTTTCTTTCATTATATATAATAAAAAAAAAATTATATATCCCCCATGTTTCGTATACTTGAAATGTTAATCTCATTAGTACACATTAAATTGTTCGGCTCGGCTTTGTAATTCAGTGTGGTGAAGAGCTGGGAGAAACGTTGTTAAATATAACACGAGCATGGGAGCTTGCAGACACGTCCACTTCGGCGAGCCTAGTCAGCAAGCTGCCCTTGCTAGTGAGTTCTCTCACCAGCAATAATAAATCAGGCAAGTATAGGAATCATATGTTTTTAATTTACTTTACGATCACTCGGTTCTTTTTAATATTGTGAAAGACGTGATTTTATTTGAATTACTTCTCACTGATTTTGGTCTTAGCGCTTGGCAAGCGCTTGGTATCTGCTTCTAGAAGGTTCCAGTCCATGGGTCAGTACGGTCAAGGTGAACTACAAACGGTATGGAAGATAGCCTTTTTTTACTTTCCGTACAGATATATCGTTTTTTCAACTCCAAAATAATAATGAATGGAGTCGTGAAATATTTACGAGTTTATTCCACTTGAATTTCTTCTTTTCGTATGTCTAGTGTTGGCCATTAACATGCATTATTTTATTCAAACTGTTTTTTCTATTTCCGAGAATTGAACTTGTGTCAACTAATAAGACGCGTGTAATATTCCTTTTCCTGTGTATCGTAAAAATTATTGATGGATAGTTTTAAACAAACATAGATAGCCAACGTGATGAATAAGGCGGGAAAGCTATTGTCTGAAAGTCCAGTTTCTGAAGTCGCTAATGGAGAACCAAAACAAGAAACCCGAGTTCTAAAGGTACACACACACACGCGTATATATAAGTTCTTGCATTCAAAATAAATTATACTTTATCGGGTTCATAATGTTGTTTCTATACAGTTTGGGGAGCTTCAGGTTGAACTGACACCAGAAAAAGCATATATTGGGGCTGTCATTGGCTTTTTCTTCGGGTAATCACTCACTCCAATGAGCTTATATTTGAGAAATTGTTGTTTATATTTGGCAATTTTTATTTATATTTGAAACAACAATTATAGGATTCTCACATGGCAAATAAGTCAAGGCATACAAAGTATACCAGAGAATTCATTGGAGTACGCAAATGACAACGCGTTGCTGCTTGCAAAGGTACACGAAAATTATCTCGGTTTTTTTAGCGTTTTTTTATTATTATTATTATAATGATTACTAGTAATCATGAAATGATGGCCAATACAGTCGCTGCGTTTAGCTCTGCTGTTGATTTTCTATATGTCGACGGTCTTATCTGCTTTCACAACCGTTGGACTTATTCTTCTTGGAGGACAACTAAAATCGAAAGGCAAGTGAATCTATATATATATATTTTTTTGTGACAATAACAAGTTTCTATCTGCAAAATGTTGAGTCGAATTTGATGTACTGAGGGTACATTGGAAACTCATTAGTTCAAGCGTGTTTTTCAGCTGTTTATAAGCTCACGAGCTGGCTTGTAATCTAATTTTATTTTTAATTTATTAACATTAAATATAAATAATATATGATAATAAAAAAAGGGTAAATTACGGCCACCCCACTGAGGTAACGTCGAATTACGAAAAAACCTCTCGTATTGAACCACCCCTCAACTATGAATCTTCTTGCACGTCACCCTTGTGGTGTCAAATTTAATGAAATTTTCTAGATTATGTGGAATAGTCTCTAGTTTTTACCAGTTTTACCCCATTCGAGCTCCATATTTTGAAACAAAATGGTCATATTGACAAACTTGGAAATATCAGATTGTGGGTGCATCATCAGAAACTGCATTTTTGCACAAAAGAAGTACAAACTAAAAAATATTTCATGGAGCCTAAAAAATTCTGTTGAATTTGACGCCATAAAAATGTACGTGTATAACAAGACTCATAGTTGAAGTTGTATTATAATTTAACCTTACCTCTGAGGGTGGCCGTAAGTTACCCTAAAAGAATGATCTAAGCATGGGGAAGAGCTCGATCATTACTATTACGATTGGAACTAAAACTCGAACACGGAAAGTAAAAAATTCGATGAGCTCAACATCGAGCTTGATTACGTCTCTAATCACGCTTATTAACGAATTAATACCACTATTATATTCAAATTTTACCACAGCTAAGTCAATAGTTGATGTTGATCAGAGAGTTGATGTTAGTTTACCTACTTACTGTTACTTTTGGTACTGTCACTGCTTAGACAGACACCAATGTTTTCTGGTATGGTAGTTTCTTGTTGATATATATATATATATATATATATATATATATATATATATATATATATATATATATATATATATTTAAATGGTGTTTGTCAATTTAATTGAAAGGGTTGACTTTTTGACCTTACCCCTTTGGGTGTGAGAGGCCATGTTCAAAGATTGTTTTAGCCTCTTAGGATTATATTTATATCTTGATGAGGTCTGTGTTTTAGCCTTTTGGGTTATATATATATATATATATATATATATATATATATATATATATATATATATATATATATATATATATATATATATATTGATATTGCTTCAGTTGTATGTATATTAATATCACTATCATCATTAGTCATCATACATATAAGTTTATTAATTTCTCTTTAAATTTATAATTTTATAAAATATATTCAATTTCCTTATTGGCTACTAAGAAATTATGTGGTAGAAGCCTTTGACAAATTAAATAATTTCTTAATCTCTTACAACCTATCATGTCTGAAGTTTATATAGCTGTGTTGCAAATGAATATTCACCACATCTGTTATATATATATATAGTATTCAGAGATTCTTCAATTACATGACGTCATATGACGCACTGCTGATTCAGAATATTTGTGTTGATTTTTTGCAACTAGGTAATATTACTTGCAGATGCAGCTCACCATTTTGAATATTCCAATTTCTGTTTATGGTTATACTTTCAACAATAATTAAATTAATTGATTTCCTATATGAATAGATAGCTTCGCAAGGGATATATATATATATATATATATATATACATTGTTGTCATAATAACTTTTTTTCGTCCATCAAACTTAACTCGATTTAACATTTGGTCCCCTTTGTTAAGAAAAATAGGTTTGCTCCCCTGACCTAAGTCCAAATTATGAAAAAACTCCTTATGTTTGGATAATTACGACCACCCTCTCAACTGTGTATTCTTGTCTTACGATAATACATAGTTGAGGGGTGGTTGTAATTATCGAAACATGAAGGTTTTTTTTTGTAATTTGAGCCTACATCAGGGGATGGTCGTAATTTTTGTGATTTCCGTCAAGTTATCGTTAGTCCGTCAGTTAAGAGTTAAGACTTAAGATAGTGATGAAAGTTGTTTTTATGTGAATAAAAAGACTAAATATGTAATTAAAGTAAACTTAAGGGGTGAAATTTGAGTTTTTCCCCTTTTATTTTTCTTACAAATAGGTGTTTGCAAATGATTATTTAAAAGCAGAAGTTAGTGATTGTGATTTAAGTTAGTTTTAAGTGTTTATTTCTAAAAGTTGGGGGTGTTTGCAAATATTTCGGAAAATGAACTAAAATTGAAAAAGCAGGGTTAGGGGTGCTTTTAAAAAAATAGCTTAAAGCAGATTATTTTAAGAGAAGCAAAAGCAAAAGTTGATTTTGCAAACACCTAAAAACAGATTATGAGCAAAAAAAACCGCATAATCACTTTCAAAAAGCATTTGCAAACACCACCTAATGCATAGAAGATATTGTGCAGAACCGTGGGCGCTTTGCAGCCGCACAATCATTTAAATTAGTATTGAACAAATAACAGATAATTCAAGTAGTATTAAATAAATAATTGATGAGTAAACATCATACACATAATCACAAAAGAAAATAGGATGTAGTTGATTTAATTAAGTTATCAATTAAGTTAATCAAACTTCTTACTATTTATAGATTCTTTTTTGTATATTATTAATAATTGAAAGTATCAGCTTCAGATTCTTTGCATCTTTCACTACTTTGATTTTGTTAATTAGAGAAAATTGAGATTATTAATTTCAAATTGTGTAAGGTTTGACATTAGGGAAACTATATTCATTATTTAATTTTATGCCAAAGATTATGACAACCTCACACTAGCTTTTTATTTTTTATTTTTTATTTTTAATTTTTTTTAATTTTTAATTAATGAAATTCGGATTCTAAACTTGTTAGTCTACGTATATCCAATAATTCTTTTTTTTCTTTTTTTCTTTTTTTCTTTTTTTTTTTTTTTTTTTTTTTTTTTTACGGAGCATCAGGTTGAGTCGATCGTGGTGGAGGCTCGTGAGTGGGTCGATCTGTAAACAGTAGCATAACTATTGAACAGTATGGATAGACGATTTGTAATCAGTGGCGAAACTATTGAGCGGTATGTATGGACGATCTGTAATCAGTGACTTAACTATTGAACGGTAGAGAAGGGCAAAAGTGTCTAACATTTATTTATATGTTTAATACAACAACTATTCTTTTGTAATAGCTTTATAAATTACTTGCAATATTCGAATCCAATTAATTTCAGGATGACTAATATTCGAGTCCTGCAATTTTTTTCAATATTCATTAATACTATCTAAAGTCATACTAAAAAAGTAAACAATCCTTTAATGAAATTGAAGAAACAAAAACAAGAAAATTTATATCACAAAAAAAATATGAATATAAAAATGAAAAAAAAAAAAAACTAATCAATCTTACGTGGCTAACAGTGTGATTAGGCCTTACTATGGATAGATTCCAATTCTTGTAATATGTTTTTAATTCTTAAATCGAAGTAAGAAAATTTGGCAAATAATTAATTAATTAATTAAGAGAAAATAAGTAAGAATCTGACGAATATTGAATATTAAATTTTAAATGAGAGATCCATTCTTGTTCACGATGTAAGAATAATTTAAATCTGGCATAAATATTTTAATATTGAGTAGCTTTCTTACATAAATCATTGCTGGCATATGTTTGGGCCAACTTGTTATTCTTCGTATGAATAAGTCAAATACCCTAATTAAAGCTACATTTGTCTTACATTACATACTTACCTCAACTTTTTTTTTAATTAATGTTGTAAATAAATAAATAAGTAATCTTAAAATTGGAATTATAAATTGACAGATAATACGAAACAAACTATACGGACTCGCTGAAATATACAAAATTAAATGTCAAATTTCGATTTTAATGTCATATAAAACATCTTGGGTCTACCCGATCACACTTTGAATACGAAGTGATATGCTATTGGGTCGATCCAGTAAGCCAATGAGTTTTGCCGCATTTAAAAGGTCCGATCAATCTACAAGGTCATTAATTAATGGCTCAATTTTATTAATAAGAGATTATACCCATTAGTGTTTACCAATCATACTAGAGTAAAAGTAAGAATTCAATTAATCACGCTATAAATAGCACATCTAGCTCACTTTACAAGCTACATGTTATTTCTTACGGCTATTATCTAGAAAACTAATGACTTGAGCGTCGGACGAGTTTCTGTTGGATCAACCACCGACTTAATTTAAATGTATTTACCTTTGCAAGTTCAAGATTCAGACGTTTTACATCATACAACACAGCAGGAACTTTGACCCATATCACCTACTCGCGTGCAGTGACTTACATTCATGTTCCCATTTAATCTACTGAAAATGAGTGATACGACGTCACAATGAATCTTGAATATAAATTTAAAGAATCCCAATTGCCATAAACCACAATATAACTTATCAAACTTGCTTTGGAAAATATAATGTGTGGATGATAGTTGGTCTATCATCAAAAAATTCAATACGCGCACAAAATAATGAAATAATATCAACTCTACTAATTTGACTATTCCTTGGTAGCTAGTGTACGGTGTACCCTCATCTCAATTGGCAAAGAGTTGACTTTACACTAAATAATCAATTTCTTTTTGCTTAATTGACTATCAAAACATATTCACAGAAATAAAAAAAATATATATATATATTCAATTTTTACTAAAATAAATTATATTATTTATTTTGAAATAAAATTGAATTCAATAGTAATAATAATAATATAAATAAATAGTAGCATGTCTCAAACCTGCGTGACATAAGGCTCAATTCTCCACTATAAAAACCAACTCCAAGAACTCATTTTCCCAAATCATCAAATTAATTAACCAAATTAACTAATTAATTAATTACACGAAAACCCAAACCACACACTAGCTGCTCCGCCACCACCACCACCACCGCCGCCGCAGCCCAGCATGGCTGATATGAGCTGCTCAGCCGCAGACCTCCTCCCACTCCTCGGCGCCGCCCCAAACGCCACCCTGACCGCCGCCTTCATCTGCAGCCGCTTCGATGCCGTCTCCGCCAAGCTCTCCGACGCCACGTATGCAATAGACAACACCTACCTACTCTTCTCTGCGTATTTGGTGTTCGCCATGCAGCTCGGTTTTGCTATGCTGTGCGCCGGTTCGGTTAGGGCCAAGAACACCATGAACATCATGCTTACAAACGTCCTCGACGCCGCCGCCGGCGGCCTGAGCTACTACCTCTTCGGCTACGCCTTCGCCTTCGGTGGGCCCTCCAACGGCTTCATCGGCAAACACTTCTTCGGCCTTAGTGACTTCCCCGCTGCAGCCGGCTTCGATTACAGCTTCTTTCTCTACCAGTGGGCTTTCGCCATTGCTGCTGCAGGTATATATATATATATATAATTCTTTCTTGCTTTCTTGATTTTTGTTGCCAATCGTCAAAAGAGAAAACTAGATCGAAAAGTCAACGCTTTAATTTGGTTGCAAGATCTTGTTTTCTTGTAATAATAATTTTAATTCTCATAATTAATTATATGTCAACAGGTATTACTAGTGGATCAATTGCAGAGAGAACACAATTTGTGGCGTATTTAATATACTCCACATTCCTGACCGGTTTTGTTTACCCGGTCGTCTCCCACTGGTTCTGGGCCGGCGACGGTTGGGCCGGCGCCGCCAAGGCCGACGGCAACCCCCTCTTCGGCTCCGGCGCAATCGACTTCGCCGGTTCCGGCGTGGTCCACATGGTCGGCGGCATCGCCGGTTTATGGGGCGCGCTAATCGAAGGCCCGCGTATCGGCCGGTTCGATAAAACCGGCCGGTCCGTCGCCCTTCGCGGCCACAGCGCCTCGCTCGTTGTGTTGGGTACATTCTTGCTCTGGTTCGGATGGTACGGGTTCAACCCGGGTTCCTTTTTGACCATCCTGAAATCGTACGGCTCCGATAAAGCATTCTACGGCCAGTGGAGCGCAATCGGGAGGACAGCTGTCACCACCACATTGGCCGGGAGCACCGCCGCCCTGACTACCCTGTTCGGCAAGCGGCTGTTGGTCGGCCACTGGAACGTCACCGACGTATGCAACGGGCTACTCGGCGGCTTCGCCGCCATCACCTCCGGGTGCTCGGTGGTCGAGCCGTGGGCCGCGATCGTTTGCGGCTTCGTCGCGGCGTGGGTCCTCATGGGATTCAACAAGCTGGCCGACAAGCTCGAGTACGACGACCCGCTCGAGGCGGCACAGCTTCACGGGGGCTGCGGCGCGTGGGGCCTACTCTTTACCGGTCTCTTCGCTAAGAAGTCCTACGTGAATGAGGTTTATCCGGGTCTACCCGATAGGCCGTACGGGTTGTTCATGGGCGGGGGCGGGAAATTACTAGCGGCGCAGATCGTGCAGATTCTAGTTGTTGCCGGGTGGGTGACCGCCACCATGGCGCCGTTGTTTTACGGGCTACATAAAATGGGGTTGCTTAGGGTTTCGGCCAAGGACGAAATGGCGGGAATGGACATGACTCGGCACGGTGGCATGGCTTATTTGTACCACGATGAAGACGACACTTCGAATCTCCCGACGAACTTCGGTGCGAATCGGGTCGAACCGTCTAATAATTCCACACCCGAACACCAGCATCAAGGTGGTCGCGTGTGAAAATGAAGAAAAAACTAAAGGAATTTGATTAAATTTTTTTTTTTTTTTACAAAAAAAAGTTTTAATTAGGTGTGTGTGTGAATACATGTTCACAAATTGCATTGGGATGTTTTGATTTACCTTTTTTTGGTGTTTAAAGTGTTTGTTAAATATTAGAAAGTGTTTATTTGTTTGAGCTTTTGGAATTTATAAGTGTGGCTTTGATTTAATTTCATTTAATTTTCTTGGAAAAATTAAATGTGCGACCTTAATTTTGTGTGCTTCTCTATATTGAATTGATTTGTTATTAATTTTGAGTTTGGCTTTTTAATTTTTGTATTGTTGGGAATTTCGGCATTCATACTTCTTTCTCTTGGAAATAAATAGCGAAAAAACTTTGTGAATATTAGTCAAAGTCAACCATAACTGAATCAAGGTGAATAGCGAAACAATATAAGATTGAAATTGAACTGAAATTGAAATCGAAATCGAAATCGAATAAATAGCAAAAAACTCTTTGAATATTAGTCAAATGCGTATATGGGGATGCCTAACATGAGAGCTCGTTTAGTTCACTCGCCGTTTGTGCGATTGATTAGGTGAATGTAAAATGACATAACTACCCTCAAATTTTCCTGCAGGCCTGCCATTTTTCTTGCTCCCATTCTTTTGAACAAGTAAGAAAATTGGGTTTGAATGGAAATTAAAATTGGGTTAATTAATGATTTTGTATTTCAATAAAAAAAAAGTTTATTTCTCATGAACAATTAATTTTAAAATATTCAATTTATTTATTGGATACAATATTTGAAACTATCAACTATACGCATTATCAAACAAATTAAATGATTTATTAATATCATGCAAGCTGTCATGTCTGTATTTCTGCTGTAAATGAATATTGACCAACTACATATATATTCCAATTAAGTATTGACACTTGGAATATAAAATAAGTTGCACAGTTCAAATTATATTCAGATTTTTAAATTTTTTATAATTATTCTTTTATATTGAAATTATTATTCGATATATAATTTATAACGTATATTTAGTGTCTGATGAAATAAAATCCTAACTCCACCACTGTGTATATGTATATATAATGTAGAATCAAAAGTTCGAATTGTAATTGTACTAATTATTTCGATTATTTAAAATTATTTAATGATTGAAAATATTATTTTCTTTTTAGATAATGATTGAAAAATATTGTTTGTAACACAATAAATATCTTTTCTTTTATTCATTTTTTTTTTCTGGTGATAAGAAATCCATGAAAGATAATGTGTAAAACTGTGAGGGCTCTGCAGCCACAAAATTATTTAAATCCTTATTGAATAGATAATTCACTAATCACATCGTTAATAATGTTAAATTAATGTATTAGTAAACATCAAACACATAATCACAAAATAAAATATTATATAATTAGCTAAATTGATTAAGGAATCGAATAATTAAACATATGAGGTGTAGATTCCTTTTCTCTTAATAGAAAGTATTGGCTTCAGATTCTTTGCATCTTTCCCTAATTTGTTAGTCGGCAAAAACAGTTGAAATGTTAAATATCGTTTCAATTTTATTAAACACTTTTGATTTGAATGTGATTTTGATACTAGTCTGGTTTGATTTCGGCAAAATTCAAAACACGGAAATTGTAGTTAAAGATATTAGCTTTCTGATTCAACTTGAATCAGTTAGAATAGATATCGGGTGATAAACTTATGCATGAATGAGTTATATTTTGAATTTTAAATAACTCAAATCACAATTGTAATAAGTGTTTTATTGAATTTTAAAATCACCCAACGTATTTCACCGATTCTCAAATCTACAAAACCATTTATTCTCAAACGGAAATTAGGAAACTTGAAAAATAATTAAAATTTGAATATGTAAGAATCTGACTTTTAAATTTTAAATAAAGATCCACTCTTCACGATTACGATTAATTACAATTTGTCACAATATTTTAATAATGAGTAGCTTTCTTACATAAATCATTGCTGACGAAGTTTGGGCAAATGGTTTTCTTATTAACGTAATAATTTGATTAACATCTTCTTAATTTATTTTAAACAAGTAAATTCAGTTATTTCAAGTAAACGTCGTTTAATGTTTTGATACATTTATTTCAAAAAAAATACTTAACAAGTATTTCAACTATTTATAAAATACACCATTCGTTTATGTTTTATAAGGTTGATGCACACCAATTAAATAAGTTCGATTTTAGAGGGTAAGTCATTATATTTGACAAAAAAAAGTGTTTGAAGTCGAAATTGTAAACCGAAACATATATCATATAGGGTAAAGTAAGACCACCCCTTGAAGTAAGGTTAAATTACGAAAAACCCCCATCTTGTTTGGGTAATTACAATCACACTTTGCAGTGTCAAATTGAATAGAATTTTCTAGATTATGTGCAATATTCTCCAATTTGTACCCGTTTTATCCCATTCGAACTCCATATTTTGAAACAAGATTATCATGAGATGTGTCTATTGGCTTGTAAATATCAGAGTGTTGTGCATCAGAAACTGTATTTTTGTACAAAACGAGTACAAACTAGATAACATTCTATTGCATTTGACACTATAAGGGTGAACCTGTAAGAAGATTCATAGTAAGAAAATTCATAGTTGGGGGATGATTGTAATTACCCAAACATAAGGTTTTTTTTTTCCGTAATTGACCTTCCCTGGGGTTGGCCGTAATTTAACCTATTATATATAATAAGATTCATAATGTTTTTCTTATTAAAAAAGACATTATAGGACAAAAGAAAACAAATTTAGTATCACAATTTGAATCTAAAGAATCTTGAATCTAAAGAATCTCAACGCCCATAACTAATAAATTCCATTATACTATTAACTATATAACTTACTTGGAATTTAATGTTGATTTGATTAAGTATCTACAATTCCAAACGCGCACAAAGTAATGAAATATTCCCACCTCTATAAAATTTGACTTAGGCCAACAAATTATATTATATAAGTTTCGTGTGTTACAACATGTCTTAAAATTGCGTGACATAATCCTCAAATCTCCTCTATAAAAACCCAACTCCAAGATTCATTTTAACAATCATTTTACACTAATTGCCAAAAAAAACACACACAACTCCACGGTAGCACCGCCACAGCATGGCTGACCCGATGAGCTGCTCAGCCGCAGACCTCATCCCCCTGCTCGGGGCCGACCCAAACGCCACCCTAACCGCCGCCTTCATCTGCGGCCGCTTCGACGCAGTCTCGGCCAAGCTCTCGGACGCCACGTATGCGATAGACAACACGTACCTACTCTTCTCTGCGTACTTGGTGTTCGCCATGCAGCTGGGTTTTGCTATGCTGTGCGCGGGTTCGGTTAGGGCCAAGAACACCATGAACATCATGCTCACCAACGTTCTTGATGCAGCTGCTGGTGGACTCAGTTACTATCTGTTCGGCTACGCCTTCGCCTTTGGTGGGCCCTCCAACGGCTTCATCGGAAAGCATTTCTTCGCCCTCAGTGACTTTCCCACGGCTGGATTCGATTACAGTTTCTTTCTCTACCAGTGGGCTTTCGCCATTGCTGCTGCAGGTATATATATGTGTGTGTATATATATTTATCTTTTTTCTCTTGCTTCATTGATTAATTTTAAGGTAAATTCTATTTTCTTCCCTCGTACTTTGGCTCGGTATCACTTTACCCCCTTCTACTCTCGATTGCATCGATTTACTCCCTTATACTTGAAAAATTGTCTCAATGTGACCCTCATTGTTAGTTGTCAGACATTTGACCTTAACACCGTTTGATCTAAGCTCTGAAATTACAAAAACGCCATCTCTTCCAGTTTAAATAATTATTAAAAAAAATAATTAAAAATACAAGACAACGAGAAAACATAGTCCAAGACGCTAACCACAATTTATTTTTAATTTTATTAATAATTATTCAAAGTGGGAGGGGTGATTTTTTTGTAATTTTCAGACTTAGATCAAAGGGTGTTAAGGTCAAAGGTCTGAAAACTATCTGCGATAGCCACATTGAAACAATTTTTCAAGTACAGAGGGGCAAGTCGATGCAATCGAGAGTAGAAGGGGTAAAGTGATATTGAGCCAAAGTAGAAGGGGCAAAGTGAAATTTACCCTTAATTTTAACATGATGTTTAATTCTCATATTGGTTTGATATATAATCATATATATGTATGATCATCAGGTATTACTAGCGGATCCATTGCAGAGAGGACACAGTTTGTGGCATACCTAATATACTCCACATTCTTAACCGGTTTCGTCTACCCAATAACCTCCCACTGGTTCTGGTCAGGCGATGGTTGGGCCGCTGCCGCCAAGACAAGCGGAGACCTTCTCTTCGGCTCGGGGGCCATTGATTTCGCCGGCTCCGGTGTGGTCCACATGGTTGGAGGTGTAGCCGGATTTTGGGGTGCACTAATCGAGGGCCCACGTATCGGCCGTTTCGATAAAACCGGCCGATCCGTAGCCCTGCGAGGCCACAGTGCCTCGCTGGTGGTCTTGGGCACCTTCCTGCTCTGGTTCGGTTGGTACGGTTTCAACCCTGGTTCGTTTTTAACCATTGTCAAATCCTACGGGTCGGCAGACAAACCCTACTACGGCCAGTGGAGCGCTATAGGGAGGACAGCTGTCACTACGACACTTGCTGGGAGCACGGCCGCCCTGACAACCTTGTTTGGTAGGCGGATCCTGGTCGGCCACTGGAATGTCATGGACGTCTGCAACGGCCTTCTGGGTGGGTTCGCCGCCATCACCTCCGGCTGCTCGGTGGTGGAGCCGTGGGCGGCGATCGTGTGCGGTTTTGTGGCGGCGTGGGTTCTTATCGGACTCAACAAGCTAGCGAAAAAGCTCAAGTACGACGACCCGCTCGAGGCGGCCCAGTTGCACGGCGGGTGCGGGGCGTGGGGCCTACTCTTCACGGGCCTATTCGCTAAAAAGATTTACGTGAACGAGGTTTATCCGGGTCGACCCGATAGGCCGTACGGGTTGTTCATGGGCGGGGGCGGGAAGTTATTGGCGGCACAGCTTGTGCAGATTCTTGTGGTTATCGGGTGGGTCACGGCTACGATGGCGCCGTTGTTTCTTGCGCTACATAAAATGGGTCTACTGAGGGTTTCATTTAAAGATGAAACGGCTGGAATGGACTTGGCTAGGCATGGTGGTATGGCATACGTCTACGAAGATGAAGATGAGAATTCTGCTCTTCCGAACTTCAATCAGAATCAGGCTGGCCCGAGTGATACGTCTACACCCGAGCACACACCACGAGGTGCTGATGTGTGAAAGAGAAAATGAAATAAATACCTGAGATTGTGAATAACATGTTCACAGATTGTAATGAGATATTTTACTTTTGTGTTGGTGCTTCTAGGAAATTGATGTGTTTGTCGATTGTTTCCGGGAAGGGGCATTGTGTGACTTTTGATTAATCTTCTTTCAAACAAATGTGTGACCTTTTTGTGCTTCTCTATTGATTGAACTTTTGGATTTTTTTTTCGTGATATTGCTGATGCCCTCACATTCTTACTTCTTTCCTGCAAATAACAAGTTAGTAACACGAAATATCACTACATATTCAATCTTCTGATAAGAACAAGAAAAAAATGTCTATGCTCCAAGTTGTTTTCCGAGTAAGATGGATCTTCGAAAATGGAATAGGTTATGAAAAACGAACTGAGTTTTCTTTACGTTTCTTCATAACTATTTATAATCTATCATCACAAGCCATTCACGGATGCAAGATGAAAGCCCATCGCATTAAGAAAGTATACCTTTAAATCTTTTACTCAAAGATCAAGATTCAGATTCAACAATGATTGTATACAGTGTGTCTGTGTAGACAGTATTCTAATAATTCATCCAATTCAAACACGAATATACGTATATACACACACACACACAATAAAGAATTCTCCACTACAGCTCGTATATATCACGACTGCAAAATGACATGGGAGCAGGGTAAGGAGGCATGAACCTGATACACGTCATAAGAGCTTTTCCCCGTAAAGTGGCATAGTTGTAAATAAAGGGAACCAAATCCACAAAGGTACTTCATTCATCGACAAAACCGCAATCTAATCTTGCTCTGGATCCCCATTGGCTAAGCACAAACACCATCAAGATCATGACCATATATATATATATATCAATTGAGAATTTCGATTTGCAAACTCACAGTAGTTAAAATAACTTGGTCCAAAATCCCAAATAAGGGAACATGGCAATCAATAGTCTCATGAGTAACGGCGTTTCCCCCTTTGTTCTCCTGCTTAATTTAACCCTATCTTGCGATCTTGGTTCGTTCGCCGGTTCAGAAGGGGTCACACGGGGTTCGTTTTTCGGTCTCGCCTGATTATCCAGCTCATCCCACCCACCAAAATCTTGAGGATTATTACTCTTGTCCTTTTCAGACGAACCATTGTTAGCATCTACCCATGATTTATAATTCTGCGCCTCGGTTTCTGCCTGAGAGCGAACGTCCTTTTCTTTTCTCACTCTCGTACGACTTTTAGCTCCAGCAAAGGGCCGTTTCTTGCTCTTGGACTTTGGTCTTGGAGTTTCGTCGGACCTTCCCCACAGTGTGTCAGTGACTAAATAAAATGCTGACTGGGCGAGGGGTAGAGCTAAGGTCATGACGATAGCATTGGGCCCCGTTCCGAGGAGTAATGAGATCATGACAGCTGGAATCATCCATCCAAAGGCTCGAAACACCTGCAGTGAAGCTAAATTATGTTGAATCATAAAATGCAGAAAATATGTTTCAGTTACTGCGATTTCCCTCTAAAACAAATTCGAACTTCACGAATTTTCGCCATAAATCGAAACCTCCCATCAACGAGACTCAATTCACACACATATACGCACGTGGATGTGTGCGAAACGTGTTCTTAAGGATCTATACACCTTTGTGGCAGGATATAATTCAATGAAGTTCACGAACAAAGTATTAAACAAATAACATAAATTCATAATTGGTTTGTCAATAATCACTAGAATTATGGATAACGTCTATCTTAATTCGTAGCTCCCCCATTAACAGCAACGAAGAAAAGCAAGCTGAAATCGAATTCAGAAAACTACCTTTAAAACCCAATTGAAACCAATGGCAGCTTCGTAAATCCCAAACCCTTGGTCGTCCTCTTCATCATCTTCTCTGAATGAATTATCAGACCACCACTTCCGCTGCTTGGCCTCGTTCCTGAACGCAAATTCGTCATCATCATATTCGTCCGCCGCGTAAGCGTCGCTGAATCTGGACCGTTTGTTTGCGTTTGCGTTCTCGTTCCAATCCCACCGCGAACCGCCGCTGCTCCGGCCACCGGAATAACACCGCTTCCGACGAGTATTACTAGTGTAGATACCAGTTAAAAATCTGCGATAGCAAATTTGAGGAATTGGAATTGAAATTGGGAATTGGCCGAGAAATTGTATTGCTCGAGACCCCATTTGAAGCTGGGAGAGCAGAGTAAGCAAGAATTTACGAAAGCGCCATTATCAGGAATCAGTGTTGTAAAAATACAAGGTACAAGTCGATCCAGGAAGGTACAACCAACAACAGATTGAAATGTTTGTTTATTTATTTATTTATTTATTGGGAAAATACATTTTTAACCCCTCAAGTTTGCATCAATTTCACATTTGGTCTCCGTGTTAATAAAAATCACATTTGATCCCTTATTTTTCAAAAATTCAACACTTTTAGTCATTCCGTCAATTTTTCGTTAAAAGTAACGAAATGAAGCGTGTTTTCGTGACTGACTTAACTGACGAACGAATGATAAAAATTGACGAAAATGACCAAAATTGTAGAGTTGGGACTGGGTTGAGTCAGTGATTACCAGCCTAAAAATCGACCCATCCGACAAACCAATTTTGCTCAAGTTTGAAAATCGTTGCCAATCCAACATTTGTGGTCGGTTAATGGGTTGTATCTTCTACCTAGTTCACTTTAAAAAAAAAATCAAAGTTTGGATTAAAAATATGCACATTATGCATAATGTCATTGTATGATCATCATTTATCAATTCAAAATAATTAATAGCAGTTTGACAAAAAAATTTATTAAGAAATTCAATATAATTAAGAAAACACATTATTTGTTTTATAAATTTTAATAATATAGTTGGTTGATCGATAACTTTTTATAATATTAGAAACCACCATCCAACCTATTACAGATGGGTTGGTTGAAATACTCGATCCAAGGGGTCGATTAAAAACTTATTATCCATTTAAAAATATCGTTGGTAATAGATCGGTTGGTGGATAAAAATCAACCCACTTTCAGCCCTACAAAATTGTTAAATTATATTTGTTCAAAAAAAAAATTGTTAAATTATTGAAGCATGAAGGACCAAAATATATTTTTTGTAAACATGAGAGGCGACCGGTACAAACTTGAGGGGTGAAAACCGTAAGTTTCCATTTACTTATTTTAAATAAAAGATAACCGAAAGTAAAATTTATTTTAGTTTCAATTTTAGGCCCACTGTATTAGAAAGGGTATAAATGGGCTGGTCAATAATAGCCCATTACTTCTTTGTTTCATCCGCTCCGCCCACTTTCCTCCCTCCACCTCCGTCCCTCCGCCACCTCCTCCGCCGTTGTTTTCACCTGAAACAATAAACCGTTAAATCCACAGTCGATAGAATAAAATTCCATATAAAATCAGAAGAGAATCCATTTCAATTTGATGCAAAAACTGTTATATCTCGTCCAAACCGTATCACCGCCCTCTCTCAGTTTGTTCGCAAAACCCTCATTCTCTTATCCTCACCTTTTTCCGTCTTCCGCGCTTGCATCTCGCCTCAGATCGTACAAATCGGCGTCAACGACCGGCGGTTTTATCAGATTCCCGATGGCATCGTCGGCAACTCCGAAGTTGCCGGCGCCACCCATAGAGGAGGGGATAGGGAGGAGATTCTGGATCAAGTTCAGGAAGGAGTGGACACACGCGCTGTATTCTCCTTTTGTGGTCAGTTTGGCCGCCGGGAATCTCAATCTGGATACGTTTCGCAATTATATTGCGCAGGATGTGCATTTCTTACGTGCCTTTGCGAAAGCGTTAGTAATCCTCGCAGCTGTATTTCATTCAATGATTTATTTATTTTTTCCATCTTGTTTGGTATTGGAGCTGTGTTAATATTATACTTGTTGAATATCTCTTGGTTTTTGGAATGTTATTCGTGATTCTAATTCAGTTTACAGTGAGGGTCAAAAAGTGTTCGGGTGTTTCTTTTGTCGATTTTTTTAAGGAATATTAAAATTTAATCCGAATACGGGTTTATACTGACAAATCTCTTATCATCTTGCTTTATATGTGCAATGAGAGATGTATAGGTTTGTTTAGTGTATCAATTAGGACATGAGTAAGATTCAATAATTCAAGGCTCAGATAATATTTATTATTGCATTGTTTGTTATCTTCGTGGTGCTAGTTTAATGGTAAACTGCGAGTGAATGAATCAGTAAACAATCTACTGCCATGGTTGTGATTTTGTCTCTCAATCTACTTCTTTACCTGTTATGGCTTTTTTTGCTCCGTTCTTTTGATGATTTTGTTATTCCTCTGAAGCAAGCAGTGAAATAGCTGAGCAGTAAACTGACACAAAATTGATACACAATATTTCTTTTAATACGTTGAAGAAAAGGCCAATGGAAAGAAATATTTAAATCATAGGAGATCCATAAGTATTCTTAGTTATCAATCTGTCAGCTATGGCATTCACATGGTCAGCAAGATTTCCTTATTGACACGTGGCTTAAATGTACATCTAGGTGCAGGTGTTCTTAAAAATGCAATAGGTCGGCACAGGCCTAGTGTCTTGTCTTTTAGCTACTGTTGCATATCCCTGCCTTGCTTATATGCATGCATATGGTGACATTGTGCTCAAAAGTGAGAAATTGTGCATCAGGTATGAAATGGCTGAGGAGTGTGCTGATGACGATGATGCAAAAGTTGGGATTTACGAACTGAGAAAAAATGTCCTTCAAGAGCTTAAAATGCATGATTCATTTGTCCATGTAAGTATTCGAGACTCCGAAGGTGCATATAGCATGTAGTTGCTTTAAATTTTTATGTTTCTTGTTTGGCATGTTATTTTGTCATGTTATTGTGTTCACTTGCTGAAATTTGGAAAAGTATAGATAACCATCCTCTATTGTGCCTTCTATCTGTTGGGTCTTGGTGAAATGTTAAGGACTTTTGATTTCATAATCATCTACTTGATTCTACTAGGAGCATGCGAATGTCATCAATGGCTGACCGTTGATGTGTAAGGTTTTCAAGGATTATTTTGGAAGATGAATGTTTCTACTAAAGGTGTAATGTGGAGGAACTTAGGTTATGCTAGAAGAAGATATATTGTTTATAGATTGATGTTCATGCCGTCGAATCTTTACTTTGTCCCAATCAGACATAGCTGCTTGTAGCTAATTCAGTTATTTGTTTAATTTTTTGGGAGGAACATTTTTTGTTTGTTAAAATAAAAAAAGGAATACGAAGTACTATGTGGTTTCATTCTGCCAATAAATAGAATTTGCATGTCTGGCCAAAACTTATTGCTATTCTTCATGCCTAGTTCTGCTTAATAGTAGTTTGGCTATTATATTCGTTAAGTTTCAAATGCATATAACGTTCCATTCTGTAACTATGTCCATATTGTAAAACGCAGGAGTGGGGTTTTGACTTGCCTAAAGAGAGTACTCCAAATGCTGCCACTGTTAAGTATACGGACTTTTTACTGGCAACAGCATCAGGAAAGGTTGAAGGAGTAAAAGCTCCGGGTAAATTAGCTACTCCTTTTGAGAAAACAAAATTGGCAGCTTATACTCTTGGTGCAATGACTCCTTGTATGAGGCTTTATGCCTTTCTTGGAAAGGAGTTGCAGGCACTTCTTGATCCCAGTGAAGGCATTCATCCATATCAAAAGTGGATAGACAATTACTCCTCTGATGTTTTTCAGGTTTGTATTATTACCAATGAGAAACTCATCTGAGCTCTTTTCTGCTCAACTTTCCCTTCGTCAAAGCAAAAGGTTGGATATAGATTTGAAATTTCAGCGATTTCATTTTGTTGATTCAGGCAGCAGCTTTGCAGACAGAGGACCTGCTGGATAAGTTAAGTGTGTCATTAACTGGGGAAGAGCTTGATGTCATTGAGAAGCTCTATCACCAAGCTATGAAACTGGAGTTACAGTTCTTCCTAGCCCAACCACTTGCTCAGAAATGTGTTGTTCCTCTATCTAAAGAGCACAATCCAGCAGAACATTGTCTCATGTTATTTTCAGATTTTGATTTGACATGCACCGTTTTGGATTCATCTGCCATCTTGGCAGAAATAGCAATTATAACGGCCCCAAAATCAGACCAAAATCAACCAGGAAATCAACTTGTTCGGATGTCTTCGGTTGGCTTAAGAAGTACATGGGAAGAACTTTCCAAACAGTATACTGAAGAGTATGAACAGTGCATAGAAAGCGCCTTGCAATCCAATAAAGGTGAGTGTGTAGTTATTTCATTCTTTTTTATGTGAATTCGTATTCAAATTAATTTAGAGGGAAGATGACTAAGTCTTAAGAAATAACTGTGCTTGCAGGGGAAATTTTCAATTATGAAGGGCTGCGTGGAGCACTTGAGCACCTCTCAGATTTTGAGAAAAAAGCAAATTTGAGAGTGATCGATTCTGGGGTGCTGAAGGGTCTGAATTCTGAGGACATTAAACGAGCTGGAGAGCGACTCATTCTCCAAGATGGTTGTACTAATTTCTTTCTGAACGCTGTTAAGAATGAAAACTTGAACACAAACATCCATGTTCTTTCTTATTGTTGGTGTGGTGATCTCATCAGATCTGCTTTTGCATCAGGTTGGTTCTTTTTCTTTGGGATAATGTTTATGTGTTCGATCAGTTTCGATTATTCCTGATTTGATAATTGCATTTTTCACACGTAGAATTTGAACTGGCTTTCTCATTATGAAACAAGCAGATAGCACCCTCAGCTACAAATTACAAAACTGAAACAGCTTAGACTAGTTGCTCAATTTCTCCTTGATTTTGGTGGAAATCAACGAGAGATGGTAAAAATAAAGAGAGTCAACGTTCCCTTAATTTAGTATAGCAATTTTTAAATTCTGATCAGTTTTATAGCCTTCTTTTCTGGTGTTATCATCTCATGGAAAAGTTATCTTTCATTTTATACTACTAGTGCAATAATTTTTGGTGTGCTAATATGGTGTGGTCTTTAGCAGGTGGTTTAGACCCGGTAAATATACATGCAAACGAGTTCACCTACGAAGATTCCTTATCGACGGGCGAAATCATTAAAAAGGTGGAGTCTCCCATTGACAAAGTTCAAGCTTTTACTAATATCAAACAGAGTTGTTGCAGTGATCAGAAGAAGATTCTGACAGTATACATCGGAGATTCAGTGGGTGACTTGCTCTGCTTGCTCGAGGCAGATGTTGGTATTGTCATAGGTTCAAGCACAAGCCTGAGAAGAGTGGGGAGTCATTTTGGTGTATCGTTTGTTCCTTTGTTTCCAGGTTTGATTGAGAAACAGAAACAGTTTACTGAGGAAGAAAGCTCGTCTGGTTGGAAGGGTTTATCCGGAATTTTATATACAGTGTCTAGCTGGGCTGAGATTCATGCTTTTATTCTGGGATCACATTCTTGATAGTTCATCGAAAAACAATTTGAAGAGATGTTTATATGATAGAATATACTCAATACATATATAGATACAAAACTAGGTGGCTGTTTTTTGTTGCGGGTCACCGATTTATTTCTGAACTGTAAATGGCCGATTCTTTTGGAGTTTGTATTGATATAAACTGAGTGCTATTCGGGTTTTACATATGAATGGCATTTTGAACTACTTGACATGTGAGATATTCGAAGAGATGGTTTCTTGTTACTTGTTTGATTTTGCAGTTATCTTTATCGTTGATATATACTACTCTTGTGGATATTGTTTCTTCCTATGATTGTATGGGAATTTATTATTCAATAGCTAATCACGACGGCTTATATGTCCTATCAATCGAGGCCTAGGCTTTAGAATTTAGTTGGTCATGTATTCGAGTCGAGGAACCAATTAACCTCCAAGTATAATTATTCAAAGGTGAGCATAAGAAGATAGAAAAGGTGATTCGAGGAAACATATTTTCGCTATAATGGCCAAGCAACTCCCACGATTCGGTCTCGAGGTTGTAAATAAACTACTTTACGTAATTCCTTACGAGGACAACAAGTGGGTCCCGCGAAACAAACTGCGTAAACACCCCATAATGAAGTATGTATGATTAACTGTCCCGCGAGAATGATTATCCGAATTAAATTTATATATAGAGAGAGAGAGGGGGAGGGAGGGACATCAATTAGTGATGATATGATGTCCAATTACGGAAATCAATTTCAATCTTCCACAACATCACCATGGGGTCGGGTCCCAGACAAATCCAAAAAAGATTAATCCTAATTTAACTCAAATTCATAATTGTAAATCGTATTTTAACTCCAATTTCATAGATTTTCATCTCTAAAATTCAATTTTGATTTTTTTTTTAAAGATAATTTGGGGGTTTTGTTTTAAAATGGATGCTATTTAATAGGAGTTTTTCAAAAAAAAAAAATCATTTACTTTAAACGATACTAAAAAGGAGATAAAAGTAATATTGTTTAACTTGTAGGCCCCTTTACTATTTTAATTTTGCCTATTAGACCCCTCGTAGCTGTCGCCTTTGTTTATTTTCCTATGCACTATGCAAAATCATCATTCTTAATATATAAATACTAATAATACCAACTCCATATTCTTCATTAATCCTCTCTCCCACACCTCTTTCTTCTTCCTTCTTCCTTTGACGACCAATATTTTTAGGTCATTTTTCATATCAAGATTCGTAAGGCGAAGAAAATGGAGCCGTCGAGATCACGATTCCGTTTTTCATATATGGATGTAGATACAGAAATCTCTATGCAAATGCGCGGCGTGTTACGTGTGAATCAATTGACACGAAGCTAAGGGGTTGAATTTTTCGAAGAAAAACACAACTTCTAGGCAAGTCTGATGCTTGGCTTCTATTTATACAATTTTTATTTTATTTTTGGCTTTGAAGTTCTTAAACCTAAGTTTGATCTGCATGTGTTTCTTCTTCTTCTTCTATGGCTGAAATGAAGTTTTGGAATCTTTAACAATTATATTATATGTAGCTGTCTAAAAGATTCCAAAGATTAATATTATTTCCCTCCTTGTATTTTTTTTAATTATTAAATAAATACCGAGTTTTATTTTCTCTTTTTTTTTTTTTTGGTTATTTGATGAATTTTTCTCATATATATTTTATGGGAGTTCTTGTGTTGTTTGAGGTTTGTAAGAGAAACCACTATATCCTTGTAAAGTCTTGATGATGTATTAATTCGGATTAATTACATTAATGGATATTTGTTTCTTGGTTTAATATGTAATTAGGATATATTTGTGGACATGTTTATTTGTAAGTAATCATAGGGTTTTGAATGAGTTACTAAATACATATTCAAAGGAGAGAATGTACTAATTAATTAGTTGAAAAAGATTCCCCTTTCCCAAAGTATTGCAATCAAATCATGTAATGGCACATTCTATAATATTTATTATAGCGAGTCATCGGACGTTAAAGGTGTAAACAAGCTGAGTCGAGCCAAAACACATGGTTGTTCAAGTGTGGTTAAATTTTCATCAAACTTTGAAAGTTATGTTTCAGATTGGTTTGATTAGCACATCGAGTACTTGAGCTCGAACGAGCTTTAATCGAACCAAACACAAATCAAAGTCGAGTATATATCTTAATTTTTTTTAATTAATGATCTCGAGCTCGAATCAAGCTTTTAGCCATCGATCTCGAATTGAATATCGAGTAGTTTGATTCGATTTTCATCCCTAAATTCATAATTAATACATAACTTAATTAGTAAAGCCAAAAGAATTAGTGAATAAAAAAACAAGAACAAAAAAAATAATAATAATAGGAGAGAGATGAATTCAATTAGGTGAGGGATGATCTCATGATATAATAGATGAACATGCATATTTATTAATTTCAACAAATAATGTAAGTACTTCATTGAAAAGTCATTTACTAATAATGTCCCACAATTACCTATAAGTTTGTTTTAACATTCATAATAATAAATTCATCGAGCTTGTCTTGATTTATTTTTCCCCTATTTCTATTTCCAAATAAAAAAAAAAAATCACCGAATCAACGCATATCGTATACTACACTCACTGAAATACACATCAAATTATTTTTGGTCACTTTTAATTTACATACAATCGCATATATATATATATATATATATATATATATATATATATATATATATATATATATATATATATATATATATATATATATATATATATATATATATATATATATATATATATATATATATTAAGAATTAAGATAGGAATGATGAATCGTTAAATCACTTTCTAAGAACAACAGCCAAAAATGACTTATCTTTCAATAAATGCAAATGGTAGTTTCATATTATATAATTAATTGTCGTGTTATCATTAGTGGAGAAGGACAGGTAATCCAATATTAAAAGAAAAAAGAATCCGAATTAGTCAAATTAATATATTTATTTTTTATTTTATATAATTAATTTATGAGTCATTGACGAATCAGAAACAAGATTATGGAATCATAATTACATTAGGGGTGCTTAATTAGTTGAGATGGCAGTTTACAACTATATGTGATTAATGATCTTTCTAGCTGGCTTATTTTTACACTGTAATCTCCACTAATTAATTTGGACACAAATTGTTGTTTACTTTTAACAAGTCTTTGCTTTATTTTGTGCTGCGCCTGCCTCACTATTTTTATTTTTATTATTATTTTATTTTTTTGAGCATTTTTTCCTTTTATGGTGGAATTAAAAAATAAAATAAAATAATTTTTTTTCACTAAAATACAGATAAATTATTAATTTATTTTTATTAATTTAACCTATCCTCAGGGATTTCCGTAATTACTAAAAACACTCCCATCTATCCTTAAATCAAAATTCCCTCGATGTTTGTTTTCGTCTTACATCGACCTCGTTGCAGTGTGATTTTTCATGTTATATTTTTGTTTTTATAAAATATTCCCTAAAAAATATCGATTTTATCCCTAAGAACAGCCTCTTAAATATAGGTGGCATTCGTATACCTTCGAAAATAACCTTTTTTTTCTTCGAAATCACATTGCAATATTAGGAAACTTCATCGATTGCTAATATGAGTTATGAACCATGATTGCATATTAAGCATTTTTTGAAACAGTGCATGGCTACCTTCAATATGTCGACGTCTGCATTGTTATAACGGCATTTTTCGGGAAATATCTACTGGAATAAAAAAAATATTACGTAAACAATCACACCGTAAGGGGGTCGGTGTAAGATAAAAACAAAGATTAGGGGAATTTTGTTAATTACGGATAGGTGGGGGTGTTTTTCCTAATTTAGACTAAATTTAGGGGTGGTTTCGTAATTTACCAATATTATGCAGGTTGGCGCAGAAATCAAATTCTGCCCTTAATTTCTAAATTGGGCTCAATATTTAAACTTGTCCCAATTTGATTGTCTACTCTTATGAGAAATTAAATGTAAGTGGAAGCTAATTGGGCTCTGTTAACAAAAAAATAAAAAAATTTAAATAAAACATATGAAATATAAATATTTCTTTAGTGATTATTCAGTCTTCTAATAAAATTCAAATATAATTATCACAAATCTATTTTGTGAAATATTTCATACTACTTTACTTTATTGAAATAAAATTTTATGGCGTAACTTATATAAATAAAATAAAAAGTAATTATCTCTGTATAATATTTGATATATGTTCTAGACAAATTAATTGCAATGAATAATTTTAAACAATAATTTAAAAATAATTTAACTCCCACACTAGATTATAAATTAAATATCAGTGCAAAAAAATGTTTTTACTCAATAGATTTTTTTTATTTATTGAGATCATTAGAATATTTGCTTATTTTTTTTAGGTGTAACTGTAAGACATATACTTTAATTGATCTTGTAATTATAATGATTAATGAGAACTCTTAAAATTATTTCATCTCATATATATATATATATATATATATATATATATATATATATATATATATATATATATATATATATATATATATATATATACCTTATATTTGTTAATAAAAAGCTTCATGGCTCAAAATCAAAATAGTACATGATTTTCCAAAGGTCCCTTGATACAAACAAAAAGCAACACTTTCTAAATTAAAATTTAAAAATGTGTATGCTATTAAAATGAATAAATAAAAGGTTATATAAAACTTGTTAATTAAAGACTACTTTTGAAAAGCTTAATCACAATTCCATCTCTCTTCATGAGATATTAATTAATAGTGATTTGTTAATCACATATAAAAAAAAAAAAACAACAAGCATGTGAACACCTCATTTTGGAATCATAGTATTTAATTTATATATATTTATATTGTTATTATAATAATAATTATTAATTATCAGAAGAGAAAAATGAGGCAAAATCCTGTGACTCTTCCATAGCAGGAACAGGTGCAATATGCAAATACTCTCATTCCCAAGGGAAGCTGCATTTGCAGTTTCAGGCTAATCCTTTTTTCACATGGTTTCCAGCCCCCACTTTCTATTTATTTTATTATTTCTTTATTACCTCATAAATACCAAATATATATATATATTAGTTATTTAAAATAATTAATTACCACTGTTTTCAAATTTTAAATTCATATAATATTCAATGAGCCAGATGGGCTGCATGTTCTTTTTCCAAGTAATTAATAGCAGTGTTTGTATACATTATTGGGGGGTGGGGTGGGGGTGGGGGTGGGGGGTGAACACACACACTATTATTGATAATTGTGTGTGTGTGTATGTGTGTGTGTGTGTGTGTGAATTGGAGAAAGAAAAAGATTGTTATTTGTTGGATGAAGATTCTAACCACTTATCCCTTAAGTTAAAGCCTAACATGCACATATTCTTTGACAACCTTTTATTGATCATGTTCAAGAGACATTTTAATGCAATCAAGAAAAAAGGGCATCAAATTTGATGAGATACAACTAGGAAAGTTGTAATTACAATTTTACCCCTGGCTCGACACGTTTTGGTGGCGAAATGTAAATCATGGTGTCAACGGCTCGTTAGAGTAGCGGACACGAGTCTGCTGTCTACAAGGAACCAACCAACCATCGTTGGAGTTGAAATTCACACAGTGTCGCCGCTGCTACTAGTACTCTCGATTCTAGGACATTGCACCAACTTACCACCACCGGAAAGAGTTGAGCTATACCCATACAGACAAATTAAATTACGCGACACTTGATTTGTGGTAGTTCGCTATAAGTTTGTTTGTTGACATTGCAAATCAAGTTTGAGCACGTATTTTTGTTCGATAAATTATAAAATAATAAGTAACAATACTTAGAAAAAAATCACGTTACTCGTGCTCGTGCTCGATTGAAGCTCGTTCAAGCTCAACTCGATTACTTATCAAACACAACTTTTGAAATTCGATTAAAAAAATCGAATAAACTCGAAAACCCCCTAGTTTTAGCCAATTAGTAAAAGGACAAAAGTTACGGACAAAGAAATGAAAAAAAGTTTGTCATGATTGATTTGTTCTTTAACATCTATTTTGAATTTGTATAATTGCACTCCTTTTTAATTATTTTAAAATTCAATTTTTTTTCTCAAAAAAATAAAATCCAAATTTATTATAATTTCTTATTCCTGCAAAAAAATCTTATTATTCCTGCAAAAAATTATTCAAATTTCATATTTCTAATTTCAATATATATATATATATATATATATATATATATATATATATATATATATATATATATGAAAAATAAAAAAACCAGATTAATTACCATTGTCCGAGTTGACTCATTGATCATGATGAATAATCACTGAGTTCATATGGAGTAAAACACATTCCTTCCCAATTCCCATGTTTCAATGTCGGAACAATTGTACTTGAATCCAAAAACCTTTACAGTCATTTGTTGCATGATTAATTAATCAGTAGCTGTTTATAATCCCGAGACCTCACGAACTCACATTAAACTAATCACCAAATTAATCATTAGTCATTAATTTCCATGCTTAATACACATGGACAAGTGGAGGGGGGCCCCCGCCCCCCCATTCTTGATCAATAATTGTGATCATAACAAACTTATTACACAATCACTTATCTCCTTCATATAACTCTCCCCTGTTTCATGATCACACAATCTTGTTTCTGCAGTGATGCAAGAACACTGATTATTATTAATTTATTTAATTTTTTTTGAATAAATTAAATAAATATGGAGAAGAAAACTCATCATCACCTTTTCTTGTTCTTGTACTGTTCCATTGGTTTGTGTTCATTTTTTGCCAATGGAGTTATAGCTATAGATGTTTCGAATCCCGAGTTATCGGCACTTTTGGCGTTGAAATCGGGCTTCATCGATCCGATGGATCATTTGAAAGAGTGGAAGCTTCCGAACGATTCGCCACACTGCAATTGGACCGGCGTTGTATGCAGCTCGAACGGGCTCGTATCGAAGCTGGATTTATCGAACATGAACCTCAGCGGCCTCGTCTCGGACCGCGTTCGCGATCTGACGTCTCTCACGGAGCTCGATCTCAGCTGCAACGATTTCTCGTCGTATTTGCCGAAATCGTTAGCCGGCCTCGTTTCATTGACCGCTGTTGATGTGAGCCAGAACAACTTTGTCGGGGGGTTTCCGTTCGGTCTAGGTGGCATTCCAGGCCTGAAAAGCATCAATGCGTCGAGCAACAACTTCGAGGGACTCCTCCCGGAAGATCTCGGCCGTTCGTCTTCGCTCGAGATTCTCGATTTCAGGGGAAGCTTCTTCGAAGGCTCGATCCCATCGTCTTTCAGGAATATGCAGAGGCTGAAGTTTCTAGGCCTATCGGGTAACAATCTCACCGGAAAAATCCCGGCGGAAATCGGACAGATGTCGTCCTTAGAGACTATCATCATGGGGTACAATCAGTTCGAAGGTCCAATTCCGTCGGAATTCGGCAATCTCAGTAATCTTCAGTATCTCGATTTGGCTGTCGGCGCGTTGGGTGGCTCGATTCCGAAGGAGCTAGGCATGTTGAAGAAGCTGACGACGGTTTACTTGTACCAGAACAGTTTCGAAGGCAGAATTCCGTCGGAAATCGGAAATATGAAGTCCTTAGTGTTTCTCGATCTTTCGGACAACAAATTATCAGGGCCGATACCGAACGAGGTGGCGGAGCTCGAGAATCTGCAGCTGCTGAACCTTATGTGTAATGAGCTGAATGGCTCGATTCCTGTCGGCATCGGCGAGCTTAAAAAGCTCGAAGTTCTCGAGTTGTGGAAGAATTCTTTGAGTGGCTCGTTGCCGTTAAACCTCGGACGAAACTCTCCGTTGCAATGGCTGGACGTTTCCTCGAATTTGTTGTCGGGCGAGATTCCACCTGGCTTGTGTGACTCAGGTAATCTCACTAAACTCATCCTCTTCAATAACTCGTTCTCTGGTTCGATTCCGACGGGCCTATCGAACTGTTCTTCGTTGGTTCGTGTTCGGATCCAAAGAAATCATTTTTCGGGCCCGATTCCATTAGGCTTAGGTACTCTGCCAAAGCTCCAAAGACTAGAATTATCTAACAATAATCTAAGTGGTGAAATACCTCAAGATTTTACCCTTTCGACTTCGCTTTCCTTTATCGATGTATCGTACAATCGCCTCGATTCTTCTTTGCCCTCGAGTATTCTATCCATTCAAACCCTCCAAACCTTCAGCGCCTCGTCCAACAATCTGCAGGGGAAAATCCCGGACCAATTCCAAGACTGCCCTTCCCTCTCCGTGCTCGATCTCTCTTACAACTTTTTATCGGGACTGATTCCTCAGAGCATTGCCTCTTGCGAGAAGCTCGTGACGTTGAATCTCAGGAGCAACCATTTAACGGGGGAGATTCCGCGGGCCATCGCCACAATCCCAACACTCTCGGTTCTCGATCTGTCGAACAACTCCCTCGTCGGGAAGATTCCGGATAGTTTCGGAAGCTCGCCGGCTCTCGAAATGCTCAACGTCTCTTACAACAGGCTCGCGGGCCCCATTCCGAACACCGGCATTTTAACCACGATCAATCCGAGCGATCTCGTAGGGAATGCCGGTCTATGTGGCGCTATACTCCCACCTTGCTCGCAGAGTGTCGTCGGTGCAGCGAACAAGCCTAGGAAAGTCGTACGCGTAAACCACGTACTCGTGGGGTTTCTCGTCGGAATATCGGTGATTTTATCCGTCGGGGTTTTAGTTTTCGGAGGGAGACAGGTGTACAAGAAGTGGTACTTGTGTAGCTACTCGTTCTCCGATTGGTTCAAGAAAACAAACTCGGAATGGCCGTGGCGGTTAGTGGCGTTCCAACGGCTTCATTTCACGAGTTCCGACATATTAGGTTGTCTTAAAGAGTCGAACGTGATAGGTGTCGGTGGGACCGGGATAGTGTACAAGGCCGAGATCCAACGGCCGCACTCTATAGTAGCCGTTAAGAAGCTGTGGAGGTCGTCGTCGTCGGACGAGACAGATGTCGAGACGGGAGAGGCCGATCTCTTCGCTGAGGTGGATCTTTTGGGGAAACTTAGGCATCGGAATATAGTGCGAATGTTGGGGTATTTGCACAACGAGAAAGACGTGATGATGGTTTACGAGTACATGCCGAACGGGAACCTCGGCGAGGCGTTGCATGGGAAGTTAAAGTCGGAGAAAGTGATGTTTTTGGATTGGGTTTCGAGGTATAATATCGCGCTCGGTGTGGCGCATGGGCTTGCTTACCTGCACCACGATTGCCGTCCGCCGGTTATCCACCGCGATGTCAAGGCGAACAACATTCTGCTCGATTCCGATTTCGAGGCGAGAATTGCCGATTTTGGATTGGCTAGAACAATGGCTCACAAGAATGAGACTGTTTCTATGGTGGCTGGTTCCTATGGCTACATTGCACCAGGTAATTAATTTATTTAATTAGTGTATAATTATCTTCAATTTATTGCATTTTATTTTATCACCTTCGTGTTATACCGAATTGCTAAAAAAATCTTCGTGTTAAATATTAGCAGAACACCCCCTAAGATTCATTTTTTAGGGGTAATTTGCTAATAAAATTGAATAATAGGGGCGACTTTGTTAATAATTATAATATGGGGATTTATTGACAATTTTAATAAATACAAGGGTGCTAAATGCAATAAAGTGGGAATTGGAAAGGAATTTTGCATTTCCGCCGATTCCTATCCGAATGTTTCCAATTTTGGAACAATATTTTCATCCCGAATTCCAAATTTCCGAGACCGACCTTTTCTGATTTTTTTTAGATCCGAACTGAAATATATATGAGATTTCGATTTTCGGTCCAATTTTAATTTTCAAAAATCCCAATTTCCCAAAAATTACACTTATAATATCAGTATCATTACGCATTTTATATTTGAAGTACTAAAATATTGGAATTTTCTGACATTCGTCGTTTACGATCCGAAAAATTTCCGTTTCTTTTTTTCGAATTTTTGCATCCCTTTGATTTCCACTTTTATGCTTAAACAACTTTTTTTTTTCGTTTGCACTAATGTTTTGTTTTCCTCCATAAAGAATACGGATACACATTGAAGGTCGACGAGAAGAGCGATATATACAGCTACGGAGTAGTGCTTCTCGAGCTGCTAACCGGGAAAACCCCACTAGACCCTTCGTTCGGTGACTCATCGATCGACATAGTCGAATGGGTCCGAAGAAAAGTCAACAGCAAATCCGCAGAACCCGAATCGGCACTTGATTCCGACATTGCAGGCGATTGCAAGCACGTGCAAGAAGAGATGATTCTCGTCCTGAAAATAGCACTCGTCTGCACCGCGAAGCTGCCGAAGGACAGGCCTTCAATGCGGGATGTTATAACGATGCTCGGTGAAGCGAAGCCGAGGCGAAAGAGCATTTGTCGAAATTGGGGGTATAATGGTAATAAAGAGAAATTGATATTTGCACATTCACCTGTTATTGGACTTCTGTAGTTTTACAGAAGTTTGTATAAGTGTTCATTTTTTTAGTACTTTAGTTGCTTTTTGGTTTTAATTAAGTAACTAATTGGGTATTAATTAGTAAATGTAAAGGTTTATAATTGTTATTATTTATTTTGCATGCTTGATTTCTATGATATTGAACCCTTGTGTACCATCATAGGAAGACAAGTAACAATAATGTAATTGTAGAGAAGAATAATGCAATCGATAGTAGGTTAAGATTTACGGCAATTTCTATACGCACGCGTTTCCACGCTTCGAAAACATTTTGGAAATTGAAACACCATAATACCTGTCGGAAATGTTTTGGGACTGTTTCTGGTAATAATGAAAAAATAAAAACTCGTTTCCACCAAAGAAAATCCAAAACATGTTTTAGATAAAGGCTCGGAAGTGAATATGCTTAAAAATATCTTAAACCTTATGTATCCTTTTTACTTTTATTGGTGTTTTAATATTTTTTGTAGATGTTAATTCCATACGTAGATAAATTTGTATGCCTCAAATTTAATTTGTGGAATAATAATTCAGCTTGGAACTCGTAAATTATATATAATTTGTAGATGCAAATATGTAATTGACGATAAATATATAAGTTAAACGTTATAATTTTTTTTTTAGAAATTATAGATGTTTCGTTATATTTTTACTACTTACATGTTTCTCCACGTTCCCGTACATATTTCCCCGTTTCCACCGTGTTTGCTTCCCGTATCCGTTCTACATATATAGTACTACGTTAAGAATTTTGGGCTTCGGAAATAGTGCTTCCTATGTTTTTAGAGATATTCATAAAAAAATGCAAAATTAATTAATATTTCTAGATTTTATTTGAAATATTATAAATTTGAATCCTTTTATTTTATATTTTAATAACAAAATTAAAAGTAAATAAATTTATGCAATTGTATTATAGTATGGACTATGGAGAATAAAATAAATAAAAATAAATTCCTTAATTAATTTAAAATTTTATATATTGACTCTGACTTTGAAATTGGGTCAGTTGGGCCTGTGCAATTATTATTATGGTCTCGAGCCGATGGGCCACGACTTTACAGAAAAATATATATCATTTTAATTAATAACCAGATTCGTTGATTTTTCAATACCTAGCCCGACGTGAAAGACTGTATGTGTCGGTGACGAACGACGAAGACGCGCGGACGATTGTGAAGATGCATTTGACATTAAAGATTACCGGCAACATTAATCGTTTATCAAAAAGGCGATAGTCACCGTCGAAACCCGAAATGACCCCAACATAACCAGACAATTCTTCGTTTTCCTCGTAATCATGTACACAAGATAAGACCACTAGTGAAAAAAAAATTAATTTCATATCATTTATGTAATTCATGATTTTTTTATTTTTTATTTAATAATGAAAGAATCCGTGTCTAACTATATATGTACACTGGATAATAAATCTACACTCTCGTATTTCACGATCTTTATTTGTACCATAACAACAGAATGGTAACATTTTAAAAGTTAATAATAAATAAAGTAGTCCCTCAAGGGATGGCCTAGCGGTTGGAGCAAGAGAGCTTGTGTCAATTGACCCAAGTTCGAATCCCCTTGCCAACGGTCGCTAGGTCGAGCTTGTCACACATGATTAGCTGCGAATTCCTTCAGTATCAAAAAAAATAAAAAAAATAATAATAAATAAAGTAAGAAATAGAAGAATACATAACTAGTCAAGCTAATTAATTAATGCAAAGATAAATAATGGTAATTAGTGAGACAAATTAGGGAAAAATAAAATAAAATGCTTTTATTTATTAATTTATTTAATTACCGCTACGTCCAATTTCTGTGAAAATTTGGGTACGCCGTCGCATTTGGTTTTCCCCAAACTCCGTCTTCTTCTTCGCTAAAACCCACTGAACTGAGAGAAGTACTGATATGGAGGTATTTCTTCTGTGAGAAAAACAATTTATTCTGATTCAAAAAATAGTTCCAGCAATGGACGAAGGAAAGGAGATGGAAAAACCAGAGGAAGAAATTGAGCTTGTACAGAATGATTCTTCCGACGATTCCATGGAGGATGATAACGAGGAGGAAGAAGAAGACGAAGAAGCATCACATTCTGAGGTGCTTTTTTTCGTAATTCCTTCTTTTAATTTGAATAATTTGGAGATGTTTGTACGTTTTGCCGGGGAAAATTCATTCACCTTCCGTTTGATCAGATTCCGTTTTCTGTTGTTTAGGGAAAAATTTCTCCTCGTTCGAACTTAATTAAATCTATCGTGATTTAGGTCTTCTGTTTCAGTTTTTCTTCTTCTTCTTTTGTTTTAAGAAATTATTTACGGCGACGAACCTTTTAATCTGAATTATAATAATGATGAAATTGTGCTTCCCTTCGTTTTGTTGGTGTTGGTAATGGGGAGCTTGAAAGTGTGTCATTGTTTTTGAAGTGTTCATGTTTAAATGTGATGGCCATGTTCGGAATAGTAGAATACAAGTATACTTAGCAGCAGCTGTGCTTCCACTACTGGATTCTCGTATGAAAATTGGCTAAGATAACCTCGAGGGCTAGAATATAGTGGCCTGATGGAATAGAGAGAGTTGAGTACTTCAGGAGACAAATTAACAAGCCAGAAAAAAAAATTGGATTATTTGGCGAAAGTAAAATTTAGGCCTACCAATATTAGAATTTGTACCACTCGTACTTTGTAGTAGATGATGATTTTTTTTTCAATATGGAAACGAAAATATCTCTGACTTGGATTAAGATGATCGATGGGAAAAATATCTGTCAATCTTTTTTGTTCCTTTGTAATTGATACAAGGTCCTTATATCTGTAGCATTATTGTTTTCTGAGTAGCTATGCATGATCACCATTGGACTCCATCAAAATACACCTTATTTATATTCTTTTATTGAATTCATATCTTCAAGACTTTTGCCTGTCTCCAGATGTGTTTGTTGTTAACTCATAATTGCATGGGTTTGTACTTCTCTTTTTCTTCCTTCTCTGTCCTACATGTAAATTTGCATTCTGATATGTTCGCAGGAACCATTGACTGAAGAGGAGATTGAAGGTCTCATTGCCGAGCTTTTAGAAGTTGAGAGCAAAGTAAAAAGTTTTTACTTATCTTGCTCCAAACTTGGCAGATCCACTCTTTTACTGTAATAACAATAACTAATTTATTTTTCTAAGGCTGCGGAAGCTCAAGAGGCACTGGAAGAGGAATCTCTAAGTAAAGTAGAGGGTGATGTTAGGAAAGAATTGTCTCAATCTCTTTCCAGTGATGAGGTAAGTTACTTCTGTCCCTCTATATTTTATTTTTATGTATTTTTTTTATCTATAATCCTTCTATTTCTGATTATTTTTGGTGGTTGGTAGTTGGACAAGGCTGTTGCAGAAGAGATGGCTGCATTCAAGGAAGAATGGGAGGTGGCGCTTGATGAGCTTGAGACTGAGAGTGCTCATTTATTGGTATGTTTTATACTTGTTTTTATTAATATGTTTGACATAATAACTTAAAACTAGCTGACATGCTGCCTTAGGGTACCGGTTTAAAATATATATGAAAAAGTGAAGAAGGGTAGGCACTAGGATATCCACTTATAGGTAGTTCGCATTTGAACATGATTGAGAGGGCTTCACTGTAACTAACTTTACTTTTTCTTTTCATAAATCAAACTAATGTTCACATACAATCTTATAGGGGAATCACTATATAGGATAAATTTGTACTACCTGATAAATTTCTGCTTTACTAGTGATGGCATGTGTTTGTACTTTCATTTTTCCTTGAGCAGGAGCAACTTGATGGTGCTGATATTGATCTTTCCAGTCTTTATAAGTGGATTGAAAGGCAAGCTCCTAATGGTTGCTGCACTGAGGCCTGGAAAAGTAGGACGCACTGGGTGGGAACTCAAATGTCAGTTGATGCTACTGCATCAGTTTCTCAGGCTGAAGAGTATCTCCAGATTCACAGGCCTGTGAGAAGGTGCATTCTCAGCCTCTTACATGAGTTAAGCGATCATGGGATAAGTTTGAATACTGAATTTGGAATCTTCATTGTAGGGCAGACGGCATGGCAAAGTTTTGGAGGAAGGCGCTAGTGGTTTCCTGGAGAAAAGAGCTGTGGCAAGTGAAAGCAGTGTAGCTGTGAATAATAGTACGAATGTAGATTGGGATTCTTTCGGCAAAATGTGCTCTGATAAGTCATCCGTGGAGGATATCTCTTTCGGCAGCAAACACTGGGCTTCTGTCTACTTGGCTAGCACCCCACAACAGGCTGCTGAACTGGGTCTGAAATTCCCAGGAGTTGATGAGGTGAAATGTTTTGGATCTGTTCTGTCATATATCTTAGGTGGCACCTAAGTTTTCCTCAAACACTTCTTGATCTTATCGTATCTCTCAATATGGTAACTGAACTCAAATAATCACGATCATGTTATTTATACTACACGGTCTATGATTCAACTTTTTCTAAGCTGTTTTCACACTTAATCAAGGCGACCTAGTTATTTGTATTTGAAAGAGCAGGATGTTCGAACTTGTTCTATTAATTATTTTGACTACTTATTCATAAGTACTCGTGTCTCATGTATACTGCATGGTCAGGTGGAGGAGATTGATGATGTTGATGGTACTTCAAGCGATCCATTTGTTGCGGATGCTATAGAAAACGAAAGAGATCTGAATCTTACTGAAGAACAAAAAAAAAACTTTAGAAAGGTCAGTTGGTTGTAATTTTTCCAGAATCTGTTCCTTTGAATCTATAGCAATAACAGAAAAAGTGACTCACACTTTATTCATCTAAGTTAGGAATGTCTAATGTGGCGAATTGTAAATCATCGATCCTTTATTTTTCTCATGTTTTGAGGAGTTACTTTTGTCAGCTTTGTTTGTTAATGTTCATAGCATTGAGTAATAAGCGAATAGTGTTTTAGCTTTTTTCACCTACGTCTTGTTGCTGATTGTGGAGTAGAGTGATTGACGTTGTTTTCCTTTCCCCAAAATTTCTGCGTATGAGGAAAAATGTATTCAAGAAAACAGTCTTCCTAAGATATGAGTTTTCACATTGATATAACTGTGCAATTTACAATAAGGTGGCCTTACATGTATTCAATGAGAATTGTTATAGCATGTGAGGTCAACATAGTCTCAGTTATAGGTTTAGGAAATAAATGGATGGGACAGTCGGGATAACCTAACCCTAGCATTACAAAATCCACCTGGCGTATTTCATAAATATATTTTAAATTTCATCTTTCTAGTGGTTTATGTTTTGGATTGCAATATATGGAATAAATACGATGACATTGGGTTGTACATGAAGATATAGTGGTGATGCTCAAATGAGGATGAAATCCTAATTGGTGACGATCTTGTAACATTTTTTTGCCTTCTTAAATGTTAAATGAGGAATGTCATTATAAAGTTGTGTTCCTTTCGGAGACCTAGATAACAGTTATCGTTTTATTTTTCATCAAGTCTAAATCCAAAGGTGCATATCTTGCAAAATTTAGCTTGTTCCTTTTGTTAACATTAATCTATATAGAATCCTTGGACATAATCAATGCAGCGGGGCCAATTTTTTCGATCTTCAACTCTCCTGTTTACGCCGATCCCAATCCGTTCAGCCTAAATATGTACCTCTTTGCAGTTCTGCCCAGCAATTATTATTTTTTCAATATGTATATAGTGTTGTAGTTGGATATTGGTTAGAAATACGAAAGAATAAAATATAATAAAGTAAATATAAAATAAAATAAATAATATAAACGTATGAATGTTACTTAAGAACTCGTAAGTTTCTTACATGTCATATTGAGATTCAGCAATTTCGCAAAGCAAACTGAAAAATATTCTAGAAATAAATCAAATAAAATTTTTGAAAGAACTTTTTCATTTTCTCGTGCAACAGCCTTCTTTGTATTTTATTCCACTTCCTAGTTATCCTTCATCACATTGTTATAAGTTCTTGAATTTGAATGTAAAGAAGATTTCTGTTTGAACTGGTTTAGTAACTTTTGGCATGGAAAAGTTCTCAAAATTTACCTTTGTGTGAATATTTAAAAATGTTTTCGACTTTCCAACGCGTGCTTAATAGGTGGTTCAACCATGCTTCATAGGTTTGTTTGAACCTTCCCTGCCGTTATAGCATGAGACGGTGTTGTAGTGATTCTTTAGTGAACACTGAACACTTTAGAATGTTGTGTATTTTCCTACTTTTGTAATATAATAGACTATCTTGCTCCTAATACCTGATATGAAGCTGTTTCTTTGACTTATATCTCTGTGTGACAGGTTAAAGAGGAAGATGATGCAAATGCGGATCGCAAGCTTCATATTCGTTTGAAACAAAGGAGACGTAGAAAGCAATGCAAAGAGGTTGACTTTAAAGCTTTCAGCTGTTTTGGGTCCATTTGTTCCTTACCTCGTTGCTTAATTTGAGCACAAAGTATAATATTTGTTACATATATGCTTAATTGTTCAAATTTGATTCACGTTAGGCAGTTACAATTCCATTCATTTCTCCCAGCTAGCCCTTCTAAATCGTTATTGTTGTCATGTTTCTTTTGTTATATTTTCTTACCAGGATGATATTCAGGGAGATAATTCCTCCATTGATGGTTTCATGACTCAAGAGGATGGCACTGCTGAAAATGATAGTGTGCCTGAGTTGTCTGGTGTTGTTAATGGAGAGAAAGCAAAGAGTTGCAGTGATGCCTCTCTGATTGATGGCTCTGCTGTCCAGGATTTAGTTCAGCCTAGGGGGGTTAAGCGTTCAAGTGAATGTGATGATGACCTACAGTCTGACAAGAAGAAATGTTGTACAATAACTGTAGATAGTGATGATGAAGCTTCTGTTGCTGGAAATAGATCGTCACATATTGAGGAAGCCACCAAAACAGAAATTGATATTGTCTCTAGTTCGGATTCGGATTCTAGTTCAGATTCGGATTCCGATGATTCAGATGCAGACGTCAATGTCAATGCCAGGTACACTAGATTCCGATCAATGCTTTTTTTGTTCGAGCCCTTAGGACATATATTCCATTATGTTTAAAACTTAAAAGTTCAAATATTTTGAAATTTTGCCTAGGACTTTCTATCAAGGCTTTTGGAATTCCAAATCCACATATAATATATATCATTATTTGGAATAGCCTAAAGATTGAGAGTTAAAGAGATACAAGTTTATCTTTAGGATTCCGTGATAGTTAAATTGTACGACAATAGTTCTCGTTTCTGTTTTGTACTACTCTGTTTGGGAAATATGATTGTTTGTTTCTTACTTATTTATCTTTGTGATTTAGTCTTTATATAATGCCTTATTGTTTGCTCTGGCAGAAATTTACCGGCTTTCTTTCTTCAATTTAATATCCCGTTTCAGTTGAATTAGAATAAGAATTATAGTTTGTCATGGCAACTCAGGGCCAGAAAACTGGAAAACCTGACAGTCTCTGAGTTTTATGAGGACGAATATCTGTGCCCCTGGTAGTTGATGCCTAAAGTTAGACAATCTGAATGCCACAAATATGTGTTTGTGAATAATATGATTTTTGACTCATGCATGTCTTTTCTCTTTTTGACATTATTTCAACTTTAAGATTTGTCCTTTCATTCTTGTTTGCTGTCTTCATTTGAAATGTCTTTCAGGTTGCGTGACCAAGTTTATAGATGAAGTATTTGATTCCTATCTGAACTTTAGCATTACCTTTCAATTCAATTTAATTGTCCATCCTTTTTTTCCAGCTCTAAGAAAAGACGTAAAAAGAAAATTCGGAGGATCATTGATGATGCTGAATTGGGGGAAGAGACTAAGAAGAAAATTGCAATTGAAAAGGTAAAGTTCACTTTAGCATTGCAATCTAATACCTCTTATGAACATATCATATATATATAAATATATATATATTTCTTTTTCAGGAACGTCAAGAGCGGCTTAAATCTTTGGAAGCACGGTTTTCTACAAAATCTGTTACCATGAGATCGGTGGTCAGTAAAAGGAGTTCATTTGATGGCACTGGTGTAGAAATGCTGGGCGATATGTCTGCAGGTTACATAATAAATGTGGTGAGAGAGGAAGGTGAAGAGCCAGTGAGGATTCCTCCAAGTATTTCAATGAAATTAAAAATCCATCAGGTTTGCCTAATATTACCATATAGTTTTTCTACCCTATTCATGTATTTTCACAATCTGAATCAGGGCCTTATAGTTTTCTGCATTAGGTAACTTGCTGGGCAATGACGGAATACCCTTTTGTAACTCTTTATGCTTTTCATATGAATGGAAAAGTTTCTTTTTCTGTACGTGTTTCATGTGAATAAACTGCAGCCCAATTTGTGATCTCTGAATTAGTGTATATTGGTATTTTTGTGGTCAAGAATTGGAGCATAAAAATGCTTGCATTCTAACCTCTTTTGAACTACAGAATGGAGATTATGCTTGCATGCCAGCTCTGCTGTTCACATTACCTGAATTCTGATTTTCATATTTGGCTTCATGTATTTACTGAAATGTGAGATAAAAGTAATGTCATCTCTCAATTCCAACTTGGTCGCATGCTGAAATAGTTTTCTTGAGATAGTTGTCTTGTTAGCATCTAGTCAGTTATCGTTTACACATTGTCCCAGTTTGATAGTTTAAATACTTCAGATTGCAGGCATCAGATTTATGTGGGAAAATATTATTCAATCTGTGCGAAAAGTGAGGTCTGGTGACAAAGGTCTTGGTTGCATTCTGGCTCATACTATGGGGTTAGGTAAAACTTTACAGGTAATATTTCCAAACTAGGTCGAACACATTTCACTTTAAATTTCTGCTTTTCCTTTTTCTATTGATACAACTACATATATAATTATCTGGATGAAAGTTCTGATGATATGTATCATCCTTTTTGGGATGATACATGTCTATGCACTAACTAATGAATTCATTAAGAGCTACATGATAATGCACTAGCAGTACATAGTGAATAACATTTGAAATAGCCGTTGTAGCCTAATTAATGAATACCACATTTATACCATGCCCCGTTAAGAATTTTATTGATTCCGGAGATTCTGGTGTATGAACTGTTTTCAGTAAGAACAAGGCTCTCGTAATATCTTCATTCCCTTTTTGGGATATTCAAGTGCAAACCTATTTTCTTTTCAAGGTTTTCTTTTTGTTAATTTGTTTATAGATGTTTTATTGATCGAAACAGAAGGAGATTGATCTGTACAGAAGGAGATTGATCTGTACAGAAGGAGGAAAAAAACCTTCTTTTGTATGATACATTATCCTTCTTGTACATGCGGTTTGACTATAGACTTCTTATCTTTCTTTTGATGCTTGTAATGCAAGTAGTATATTCTAGATTATCTTTCCATAATTGGATACAGATTACCGATACACAAGCCGCTACATGCTAGGAATTCCTACTGGTTGTCTTGAATTTGAATTTATTCATCTCTTTCAGGTTTATATTATTCGAGTTATGTAAAAAATTGTGATTTTATTAAGATGTCAATTTCATACACAGGTCATTGCTTTTCTGTACACTGCTATGAGAACTGTCGACCTAGGATTAAAAACGGCACTCATCGTAACACCAGTAAGTGTTCTACACAATTGGCGACATGAGTTTATGAAATGGAGACCATCTGAGCTGAAGCCTCTTCGAATCTTCATGCTTGACGATGTTCCAAGGTTTGTATTTCGTGTTGTTTGTTTGATTAATGCAAATAATGACTGGAAAATTGGTAGTAGTAATTGTGGAGTCCTTATTTTGAATTTAGTTCAGAACCTGAAAGAAGTTGTCTAGATTTAGTTGCATTCTTAAACCTCTGTCTGTGTTGTTTTCATTTTAGTTTATAGAATGGGCTTGAATTTAGTTTGTCTTTTGTTCTAGATTATACCTGATTTTAGTTCTCTGCTTTCCACGCTGCTTCATGCTCACCTTTTTTTATTTATTATTATTTTATTTTATTATAGCTGATATATTTCCTAGATTCTGTAATACTTTTAGCTATGTTTATTCAGGGAGAAAAGAATTGAGTTGCTTGTCAAGTGGAGAACTAAAGGGGGTGTCTTCTTAATTGGCTATTCCGCCTTCCGTAATTTATCTCTTGGAAAGTATGTCAAAGACAGAGACCTGGCTAGGGAGATTAGTCATGCCCTTCAGGTGATTTTCAGTTGTCAATATTTGTTACTAAATATGCAAGAGAAAGCATAAGGAAATCATTCTTATGATGTCATTTTCTCTTTTGTGCTTTTGATGGAAGATCTGATAATGTTCTGTGCTATCTCTTATTTTTCTATTAAGCCAATTTGGATCTTTATTTTCCGGAATTGTGTGTTATTTTTTGCTAGGATGGACCTGATATCCTAGTCTGTGATGAGGCCCACATTATCAAGAACACCAGGGCCGATACAACCCAGACATTGAAAAACGTGAAGTGCCAGAGAAGGATTGCATTAACTGGATCACCTCTTCAGAACAACCTGATGGAGTACTATTGTGTATGAATTTCTATACAGAACTTTTTGAACTTGACATTGAATGTTAAATCTACTAGGTGATCATCTTGAACTTTATCTGGAACAGATGGTTGATTTTGTTAGAGAAGGATTTCTTGGTAGCAGCCATGAATTTAGGAACCGGTAAGAATCTGAAACGTTTTCTCACCTATTGCATTCATTTTAGGCGTTAGTCTATCCCCATGCTACCTAGTCACCTGGTCACTGTTTTGCTAATTTGCAGTTTCCAAAATCCAATAGAAAATGGTCAACATACCAATTCTACTGCAGAAGATGTGAAGATAATGAATCAAAGATCTCATATTCTGTATGAGCAGTTAAAAGGATTTGTTCAAAGGATGGACATGAATGTGGTTAAAAAAGATTTACCCCCCAAAACTGTATTTGTTATCTCTGTAAAGTTATCTCCATTACAAAGAAAACTGTATCAGAGATTTCTTGATGTTCATGGTTTTGCAAAGGACAAGATATCTGGTGAAAAGATAATCAAAAGATCTTTTTTCGCGGGGTACCAGGCCTTAGCTCAGGTTTGTATTCGTTTTGCTTCTCTAAATATACCCTTTTTCTTCACCCCTTCTCATTTATGTCCTGAATACGTTATATTAATATCTCTATTTCTGTAGAGAAATTTCATTAATTTGATATTATCTTTGCTGTGTCACTATTGAAGTTATAGGCTAGGAGGATTATAGATTTTTGAATTTGCAACATCTATCATGTCTTAACTGTTTTTTGTAAATACAATTCTTGATTGTATTGTTTCTGAGTATAAGTTTAACATACTACGTGTTCTCTGTAGATATGGAATCATCCTGGGATTTTGCAATTGAGGAAAGAAAACAAAGACTCTGCTAAACGTGAGGATGCAGAGAATTGTCTTGCAGATGACAGCTCTAGCGATGAAAATGTAGACTACAATGTGATCCCTGGAGGTATTCTAAATGCACCTTCAGATATAGTTAGTGTTACAACTGAGTCAGGTCGAATGCAGTTAGTTGAATTGTTTATTTGTTTCCTTAGTATATAGAAACTTTATATTTCATGTTTTGACATCTTTGTTTCATCATCTATCCAAAACTGAAAATGACCTGCATTTTCTCAAATTAGTGTCTGTACAATGCTGGAAACTTTTCTGCAGTGCTGTCTTAAATTCCAAATAAATGGCTTATAGTGTTCTTACTTCTTAGGACCTATTTCCTGTGCACTCTTGTGTGAGGTTTTTTGTTTTTCTTACTTTCTTCTTATTCAATTGTCCTCAGTTGCAGAAAAACTGGTCAACCCCCACAAGAAAAATGAGAATGGATTTCTCTATCAGGTCTACAAACTTCCTTTTTCTATTACCCCCTCCCTGACTTAACCCTTCTCATTTACTTGATATAATAGAACACCTAATTTTTCTGCGTCTACCTATTCTTCAGCTGGATAAACACAAGTCTAAATTCTTTTGTTTTAGTATTACACTTGACCAAATTGTCTCTTGCATCAACTTTCCAGGATTGGTGGAGAGATCTTCTTACGGAAAATAATTACAAGGAAGCTGATCAAGGTGGCAAAATAGTTTTGCTTCTTGATATACTCACAATGTGCTCGAATGTGGGTGATAAGGCACTCGTCTTCAGCCAGAGTATATTAACTCTTGACCTGATTGAATTTCATCTTTCGAAGTTCCTTCGTCCGAGGAAGCATGGAAAATATTGGAAAAAGGGGAAGGACTGGTACAGGTGCATATGGTTTTTAACTTTTATACATTTCAGAACTGGCTCATAGATATATATATTTTTATTGGATTGTCTGATTCACCTACCATTAGGGTAAAATTTGGAGTCATCGTAATAATATTGCCATGTGTATTTACACACTCATTCCCATTTTCATCAGATGCAGCAGATGATCCATATTGAGCTATCTTTGTTGTATTTCTGAAATAGATTGTGTCATAAGAAGCACAAAAGCTTTTATCAATCTCGGTCTGTAAAAATAAGAGTGGTTTTTTTTCTTGCTTTATATCAAATGAAGGTGAAATAATATTCTTCCCTTCTGCATCTACAACAGATTAGATGGAAGAACGGAATGCTCTGAAAGGCAAAAACTGGTTGAAAGGTTCAACGATCCGTCAAATAGAAGAGTAAAATGCACTTTGATATCGACTAGGGCCGGGTCTCTGGGGATTAATCTTCATGCAGCTAACCGAGTAATTATAGTTGATGGATCCTGGAATCCAACATATGATCTTCAGGCTATATATAGAGCCTGGAGGTACGTGTGCCTTGTGTTTTTTTTGTTGAGCAAGTAGTAATTAAGCTTGGATTTTCTGAAAATTAGATATCCGTGTGTAGGTATGGCCAAAAGAAGCCTGTTTTTGCATACCGATTGCTGGCACATGCTACAATGGAAGAAAAAATATATAAGCGTCAGGTAATGGCAGATCAGAATACTAAGCAGTAATTTATTTCTAGTTTTTTTGAATGAAATGTGATTAAAGAATAATTCTGCAGGTGACTAAGGAAGGCCTTGCAGCAAGAGTAGTTGATAGACAGCAGGTGCACAGGACAATGTCTAAAGAAGAAATTCTACATTTGTTCGACTTTGGCGATGATGATAATGCTGACATAATACCTGATTTGGGACAAGAGACTGCTGAACAAAATACAGCCAGTTATGGTGGAAATCTAGTGAAGGAGAAGCTGCCACTTCCTCATGGAAGTTTATCTTCAGACAATATAATCGAAAGTTTGATAAGCAAATATTATCCCAGGTACATCATTCTGACTTCTTTTGCAAGTTTTGGCTACTGCTAGTTGGCAGGTACAGACGGTTTTGTTCAGTTCGTGATTCTCGTGCTGGTAAATATTGTTTTTGATGGTTTGCATGTGACTAAATGCAGTTTATATGCTTCATATGAGATAAATGGTCATCATGTTTGCCGGATTCTACTATCTGTTACCTATCATCACGAAACTACATTCTAATCCACAAGTTCAACGTATTTGGTTTTGGTCCGATGCTATATTGAGCAACTTCAACACTTGCCAAAAAAAATCAGTTGTAACAGAAACTATTTCAATCTTTGCTTTTCAGGTGGATTTCAAATTACCACGAACACGAAACCCTCTTGCAAGAAAACGAAGAAGAGAAACTATCGAAAGAAGAGCAGGACTTAGCTTGGGAAGTGTACCAGAAAACCCTCGAGTGGGAGGAAATTCAAAGAGTTTCTCCAGATGAAAACATACCCGAGCAGCATAAAGTACACGCTGAAGAATCCACACCTGTAGTTCATGTAAAAAAACCCGATCCTCCCATTTCAGAGGCTCCCAAACGAGACTACGCACTTGAAAGGGCAAGGCAACGCCATCAATACCGTTATGGGCTGAGGACGTGCACTAAAATCTCTCACTTAATGACTTTGAGGAGTCAAAGAATACAGATGGGCGGCAGTGCAGTGTGTGGGGAGTGTGCTCAACCGGTGCGTTGGGAGGAGATCAAGCTTTAAATTATGGTCTTGCCATTTCGTGTTCTTTTGATATTTCGACCGGTTGTTGATATATTTTTATAGAACGTTGAAAAATCTTTCTATGTTTCGGATGCTTGAGTTTGTAAATTTTCTTACAGGTTTCTTGTATTAGCAGACTCGTTTATGAAGTTGTGACTGACGAAATTATATTAGTTTAAACGAGTCATTCGTTATATATGTATGAAGCTACTGATAGAATACCGAGTGGGTAATACATTACTATACATGATCCAATAGTGGCAAATACATACAAAGATCTTGATCACTCATTTTACACACAATGCCAAAGCATGCAATACTAGTTTTTACCATCTTCTACAATAATATATGTTACAAGCACATTTTATATGTATATATATATAACAGCATTCTAACACCGTTCGTCTCCCAACCAATTATCCTTCTCCTTGGGCCCCGTCGGACCTTCCTCTCCATAAATCTCCGTAGGAAACAACTCCACAAGATTCTCCAACGAAAACCTTATAAAAAACGGAAGGTTTTTCATTATCTTATCAATCTCCGATCCCGATTTATAAACAACCGTGGGGCCCCATTCTCTCATGTACTGCAACCAACGAGGCTCCGTTATTCCATCTCCAATATACTCAGCAGCCACCACACAATACTTTCTAGAAGAATCTACCGAGTATTCGCTCTTAGCACAATCATTTCTCGCTCCAATCCCAAGTTTCTCCGAGCCCTGTATATAGCAACCCTCGTGAGGAAAACTCGCATGCCCGCTTTTCGATGCGTAAACAATGAACTTATTTCCATTAATAAACTCCAACTCCGATGCATCCACCCATTCACCGCCACTGTGCTCGGAAAAATACACGCAGAAAAGCTCTCCGTTGAAGTTGCTCAAACGGAGAGTGTAATGCTCCCAATCTCCAACATGTTGACCTATTTTGTCGAAAGCGTAATCCAACGGTCCAGCTTTAATTGTGGATGGACCATTAAATGGGCAGAATATCCACATGGAAATATCGGTGAAAGTTCCACCCGAAGACGGTTTTACATGTACATAAACCTCTGCAGTTTCGATATTACCACGTTTTACGTAGTCTCTTTTCTCGTCTTCTTTAGGCAAATCGAGCCAGAATTCTCCATCGTTTTTTCCTCCACATGGTAAATTAGACCCGTTAGAATCGATAGCTAATCCATTATTGTTATTATTATTATCCCCATCCTCTTCTTTGTACAAAAGAGCTCCATTTTTGAAGAACCAAGAAACCGAAGAAGGGAAGTAAGCTTCGTCGGGGTGGAAGTAAATCGTGGGCCCGTAGTGCTGAACGAGCGCATGAATCTGGTCTACATTCGGCATTGCAGCATACGAAGAATCGACGTTTTTCAGACAAGCAATACTTAGGCTGCTGTCTTCATCACTCTTGTCTCTACTGCAAAAGAATGTACCAATAGGAACACCTTTGCAAAGCATACCTCGTTCGCATGGCCTCGTATTCCAAACGTAAAATCGACTCTTTGAGAAGAGAGAGTTTCTATCAAATATGATTTCATCAACTTCACAACTCTCTGTAAGATTGGAACGAACACATCTTACTTCTTCAAGATCAGGCTCGTTTGGCTCGTTGGAAACAATAAATCCCGCTGATTTATAACCTGTCGGTGGATTCGGGAGCCAAATATAACCACTTCCATTTTTACGAGATTTTGAGCTAAAGATTAGAGTGTAGCTTAGAGGCTTTTGGAGAGGTGGGGAATTTGATGAGGAATCTACGGTGGATATGCTTTTGGCAACGAGAAGATAGCCACTCGATTTTCGATTGGTTGGCTGACAATGGTGGCCAAGAGTGAAATATCCGTTTGGAATTTTTACGGGTTTGTAAAATGTGACACCGTTGGATTTACCGAGTAATGGGGTGCAACTCCATATTTTTTCGAATGTAGTGATTTGAACAACTTCCAATTCTCCAAGACATATTTTGCCAGTACCAAAATCTTGACCTATGATGGAAGTCACATGAAAAAGGAGTTTAGAAATGTATGAAAAAATGAAAACTATACATGAAAGGGTAAATTACGGCCACCCCACCTCTGGTAAGGTCAAATTACGAAAAACCCTCTTATTTAGGTAATAACAACCATCTCGTCAACTATGAATCTTCTTACACGTTCAGGTGTCAAATTGAGTTGAATCTTCTTAGATTATATGCAATATTCTCTAGTTTGTAGCCCTTTTACCCCATTCGAGCTCCACATTTTAAAACAAGATGATAATAAGACGTGTCTCTTGGCTTGTAAATATTAGATTATGGTTTATCAGAATCTGCATTTTTGCACAAAACGAATATAAACTGGACAACATTCCACGAAATCTAGAAGATTATGTTAAATTTGACACCATAAGAGTGGACGATTAAGAAGATTCACAGCTGAATATTTAGTTGTAATTACCCAAAGAGTACTGGGTTTTTTGTAATTTGATTTTACCTCAGAGTCAGAGGATGACGGTAATTTACCCCTTCTTTTTTTCTTCTTCAAAATTGTATTATGGAGTGAATTAATGAAACTTAGAACCAGCTCACTTATCTTTATACGGTAAAGCATACACATAGCAGATCACACAGGTAACAGAACAAGATTACAATAAAATCAAGAAATCAAATTTATTTTTCATTTTTTAAGGAAAAAAAGGTTAAATCTTTAACAAAAAAAAAAAAGTAAAGGAAATACCTTTTGGCCACTGTGGAAGTGGTGAAGGCAGAGAGAAAGGATATTGTTGTTCCTCCAGAAATTCTGATGCACAATCACAACACTCCCCCCACCACTCAAACATTTCCCCCATAATATATATATATATATATATTCTCTAAGATTACTTAAATCAGCAAAATAATGGAAAGAAATTTGCAGCACAAAATTATTACACAGAAGTGTGAATGATATGAAATAGATAGAAAATAAATATCTAAATACCCAAAAAGCTAAGGGATAAAAAGGTTAGTGAATTTGGGAGGCTAGCTTGCTTTGATTGGCTACAAAGAAAAGAAAAAGGTGGTGGCTTTACTTTTCTTTGACCAGGGTACAGTAGGAGGAGCTAGGAAGAAGACGGCAGTGTGTGTGTGTGTGTGAGAGAGAGAGAGGAAATTTGATTAGTTGCCGTTGAAGTTAACGGCGTTTGGGAAACTCGTGATTGGTTGCCGTTGGAAGTTAACGACGTTTGGGAAACACGTGCCGTTGAAGACTCAAACTTTAGTCTAATTTTCCGTGCTTCAATTACATTGGAAATAAAAAATTGGATACGGTAAAATCCCATTTTCAAAAAAGTTAGACGTGGGGAAATGTGTAAATGTAAAAAGTATTGGGGTACATTCATAATTTCTAAAAAAATATTAGACGTTTAACTTATATACTTATCTTAATTACATATTTGCATCTATAAATTCTATCTAATTTACAAGTTATAATTGAGACATATAATTTTATTTTAGCATGAAATTACATCTAGAAAAACTATTAAAACATCACTAGAACTAGAAGTAAAAAAGAGAGAGACTTAAGATTTTTGTGAGTATAGACAATTCCGAATCTTCATTTCAAACAAGATTTGGAGTTTTTTTTTTTATGGAAACATGTTTCTATTTTTTCATTGTTATCAGAAACATCTCCAAAACTTTTAAATATTATTGAAACCGCTCTAAAACGTTAGAAAGTTTCCATGCATCATAGCTTTTGCACGGAAATTAATAATTGGCCTATAATGCAATAACATAAAATTAGTATTGCAATTTTTTCTCAATCTCTCATAACTAATTTTCATATTTCACTTGAACATCTGGTTTGCAGCTACTACAACCTAAATTCATGGTTAACCATCCACTTCAAAAAAATAAAAACCTGATTATTTTTATATTTATTTATCACACAACACTACTACCTATTTTCCTTTAATTTGCCCCTTTTCTTGTAACCTCAAGCCACCTCACACCCCCACGCCGGAATATAATATTCCCCCCGGAGCCCGAGGCAATTTTCAACCGGTATCCTCACTCGCCGCGCCCTTGCGTGGGGGCCACGACCGCGGCGATAAAGGGGTACCCCACTGTGAATTAAATAATAATATTATATGTCACGGGTTCCGTACCAGCTCCTGGAGCTGAATATAATCTCTGCCCAGGATTTGGCTCTCGTCTCCAAAAACCCGCGAACTTATGCGGTTGCGTGGGTCGACCCGACCCGGAAGCTCCGGACCCGAATAGATGACCGGGGGAAAGCTAGTCCTACGTGGAACGACAAGTTTGTGTTCCGTATCGACGATGCGTTTTTGAATTCCGATGAGTCGATTGTGACGGTTGAGATCTACGCCGTCGGATGGCTGAGGGATACACCTGTGGGATCCGTTACCGTTTCGATCGGGAATTTGATTCCTCTTTCTGTACGGAGGGAGAGATCGAGCCGTCGGTTTGTGGCGCTCCAGATCCGACGGCCGTCGAGCCGGCCGCAGGGGATCCTTAATATGGGGGTTTCCTTACTGGATAATACCATGCGGAGCATGCCGCTGTGTAGCGAGCTTAGCGCTGGATTTAGGGATCTGATGATGGATGAGAAAATGGGGAAGAAGACGAAGAAGAAATTGAGCGAGGATGTTGATGGAATTGATTGTAAGGAGAAGAAGATCCGGTTGTTCAGATCTATGAGCGATCAGACGGATCGGACGAGGAAGCAGGGCGGTGCGAATCAGAGGAAGGGCGGTTCGGTTTGCAATGGCTCGGTGGTATACTACGGCGGTGGATCTGTTGTTAATGGCGGTGGATCGGCGGTGAATGGAGGTGGTTCGATGGTTGACGGCGGTGGTTCGGTTGTGAACTCTGACGTAGGGCCGTCGCCGTCGGTGGTGGCGGCGGCGGTGGCGTGGGGGTTGTATCCGACGCAGCACGGGCCGGCGCCGAAGCCGGGGAGCTCGGTGCTGGAGGATTGGACGGTGGAGGAGACGAGTATGGAAGGGCTGAAATCGAAGATCGAGCGGTGGAGGATGGAGCTACCGCAGAAGTACGACCAAAAATACCGGAGGCTTGAAAACAACAAGAGAAGGGAGAAGAATAAGAAAAACCACCGGCGGAGTAAAACGGCGGTGGACGATGGAGGCGGCGGCGACGGCGACGATGACGACGGACTGTTCACGTGCTTCGGCAATGCTTACGGATGCGAGTTTACGATAGTCTGCGGTGCTAAAAAGGACAAAGGCGGCGGCGGCGGAAGGAAAGAACGGCGGCGGACCAAGGGCAGCAAAACTAGCGTTTCGGAAATATATTCTTGAGTAATTTGTTTTTTTTTTTTTTTTTTTTAATAATTTATTTTACAAAATATAAAAGAATATTTAAATCAGTAAAGGGCACTAATTAAATCAGGTGTTAATGCTTTAATTTGATTAAGAAAAAGATTAGAAATAGGAAATGATCCCTGCTCAGTTCAGTGGAAATAGTTCTCCTTTTTGTTGTGTTTCTCTCTCTATGACGTGGAATTGTGATATGACACGTGGAAGAGAGAGAGAGAGAGAGTATGTATATATGTCCAGCTGGAATTCATGTGATGATTGTAACTACTTATGTAATTATTTTCCGCTTATTATTAATTTCTTATTTTGGGTTTATTTTGTTCTTTGTATTGTATTAGGTATTCTTTTAAATTAATTGTTGTATAAGATTTTAATACATGTATTAACAAAAGTAATAATATATATCGATTTTAGTAAAATAGACGATTCATCAATGAATGCCGATCGGCTATGAATCCCGATCGGCTAAAAGTGCAAACAGATAGCTGCAAAATGAAACTAGCTCGAAACAAATTAGAGATCCTAAAATAAGTTCATAAACTCGATTAATATCTACGGGAGGTGAGGAAATAATAAATAAATAAGTTAAGGTCGGTCGACTAAAAACGAATTTCTGCTGCTAATTATTATTCATGTACAGAAGCAAACGCGTCGACTTTTAATTTCACGTCTCTCTAAATTTGAAAAATGGAAGTGATAATTTACGAAATACAACAAGTGATAAAAGAAAATTGGAAAAATATAATAAATACGTGATTAAATTTCTAAAATGAGCGGCAATATAATAAAGTAAATTCTCCTTCAACGGCATTGTGTGCACATAATTACAGGCATTGCGAGCACATAATTACACACACATCCATATGTATACATGCTTCATGGATGATTATTTATTTTCATCTATTATTAACAATCACTCGATGTAACTAATCTGATGTAACATATAACTCATGGAAGTCATAATTAAGTATTGCAAACATTACCTAATAAATTTCTATAGGAAATTAGTCATTTGTAGGGTTGGCAATATAGCTATTTAGATGAAAATATATATAAAAAAAATATAAATTATAAATAAATAAACACACGTATATATAGTACATGTCATATAAATATATAAATACAAACATATATTTTTAATATTTACACTTTTTCTAACATTCCCTTGTCCTGTTTTTTAGGAATATGCCAACACAGTATCAACAATTATCAAGTTCAAGAATCTGTTACAGAAGTTCTTAATACATACTTTCAGAACTTTTCATTAAAACTTAAAAGCCTACACTACATACATTTATTACATGAGAAAAGCTGGAAAAAACCATAACATGTTCAACATATATATACTTCTTCAACCAAAAAATAAAATAATAATTAAAAAAAATGAGAAAAACAGAAATGAACTCAAATCTCTTCTGAATTATACCATAAAAAAGAAAAACATAAATCAAGCTGAATTGGCCTCACTAGGCTTATTACTCTTTCTTCTAGACGAGCTCACGCTATTACTCGTTTTATTACCGCCCGGAGGATTGTTACTCGCCCCGCAAACTATCGTGAACTCGATTCCGTAAGCGAAGCACGAAAACAATCCCCCGTCGGAATTCCTCCTTGAGTGCCTGTTGCTCATCAAAGACAGTTCCGATTCGTTGCAGCTGTCGATGCTACTGCTCTTGCCGGAGCTCGGTTTCCTCCACCTCTCTCTACTCGTTCTAATTCTATACCCTTTCGCTCTCGCTTCTTCCATCGTCATCTCCTCCAATATCGAGCTTCCCGTGTCATCGGCCGCCTGCGCGTTTCTGACCGGCCGGGGAGGCGGCTGCGAGTGCATCTGCGGCTTCATGGCCATCTCAGCCGCCACGATGGAGGCTGAGGGCCCGATGTCGGAGCAAAGTTCCGAACCGTTGACCATCGACCCGTTGCACATCGACCCGTTGACCATGGACCCATTGTAAACGGATCCTCCTTTCTGGGGGAACTCGTCGTCGTCGTTGTTGACCCCGGACCCCACGCTAAGGGAGCGCCAGAGGTGGATCCTCTTTTCGAGCTCTTTCTTTTCGTCGTCTTCGTTGTTGTTTTGCTCCTCGAGGCTGAGGGCGTTGACCTTTTTGAGAATCTCCTCGCGGAATTCCTCGTGGGGTTGGCCACGCTGGAGGGGCATGCTCTGCATGGAGGTGTCCAGGAGGGACACGCCCATGTTGAGTATGCCCTGCGGCGCCCCTGAGGGGCGCCGCACCTGGAGGGCGACGAAGCGCATGTTCTTTGGGAGGCTCTGGAGTGGGACCCCCGATGGTGGGGACATGAGGTCGCTAATCAGGACCCTGACGGTCCCCACCAGGACGTCGCGGAACCACGAGACGGTGTAGATCTCGACGGTGATGGCCGCGTCGTCCGAGGCGAGGAACTGGCTGTCCACGCGGAACGTCAGCTTGTCGTTCCACGTGGGGTGGGTGTTGCCGTGTTGGTCGGTTCGGGTGGTGAGCTTCCGATTAGGGTTGACCCATGCGATGGCGTACGTGCGCATGGACTTTGTGATCGGGGTTAGGTCTTGGGCGGATATTAGGCTGATCTCGAGGAGATGTAGAGGGGTGTGGGGCGGGGCTTGGGTGGAGATCGAGGAGGAGGTGACGGTGGAGCAGACGGTCGGAGTTGGGATGGTGGGGTCCATCTGCCGCCGCCCGCCGGAGGATTGAACGAAGGAGGAGGTGGAGAGAGAGAGAGAGTGAGAGGAGAGTTGGTGGGGAATGGAAAATTATTATGTTGAAGATGGCATGCAAGTTATTGGGGGAAGATTTTGTTTGATTGTTTGTTTGTTGTTGATGTTTTTTGACCGTTGCTTCTTGAAGTGAGAATTCTTGTGGTAAATTTGGTTGGCCTTAAATAAGCTATACTCCTTGTTTCAATGATGTACATGAATTTTCGTGGTTGACTAAACCTTCTTTGTGTTGACTTTTGACGGATGTAACGAACTAGCTTAGTTTAATTGTGTGTACTATATTAAATAATGATTTTGACTTTCTTGTAATTTATTTTGTTTTGAGAAGACTAATAAAGTTTAATTTATTACATTGTTCTTCTCTAATTAAGAAGTCTAAAGTTACATTTTTTTTGCAATTAGTACGTTTGTATTGTATCGAATTGCTAGAAAACTACACCATGTTATTTTATTGGCAAAAAGTTCCCCTATAACTTTTTTGTTTTAGCGATTAGTATCCCTCTTCAGGAGTAACATGTTTTCTTAAAAAAAGTTGAATCAGGGGTGGTTTGCCAATAAAATAAAATCGTGTGGTACGGTCTTCTGGCAATTCGATATAACACAGGAGTACCAATTGCAATAAATCCGTACGAATATTTCTTGATTTATAAAAAATGATTTTTTTTTTGCTATTTTTTAATCCAATAAAGCTACATGGCCAGATTTTGGCCAGCCAGAAAATGGCAATTTTATAATATTAGAAAAAGTTATAACGTGTAATTACTATTTTGCCCCTATACAATTAATATATTAATTTGAGTAGTACTTTGGTAACCTGGGGACCGGATATATTAAATAAGATTATGTTACCCAAAAAACTATGCCTTCCAGATTCAAACTCGGGTGCCCCGGATGTACACAACAACAAACAAACCACCGGGACAGATCAAATGCTTAGAACATTAATACGAAATATATTTATATAAGTATAATAATTCTGTAAAATGATTTATAATTGTTATTTAAATAATGCTAAATAAATTACTAATTTTCCTATTTATTATTATTCAGTAATATATTAATAAATGTCATATATAAATTTAAAAAAATATAAAGAGTCGTTGTTCGACCCCCCAAATATCTATCATTAATTATTATATTCAATATTATTATTATTATTATTATTATTATTATTAATCTCCACTACTGTTGAAAAATACAAATAATTGAATTAACTAAATATATGCAAATGCATGACTTAATACAAGCTCGCTTATGTTATTAAAATTGATAGTGTGATATTTTTTAATAAAAAATAATATCAGATGTTTATTTATAAAGTATATATGAGGATTATAATAATATTATATGTGATTTTTCTTTTAATATTTAGTTAATCAAATAGTAAGATTTGGATTAATTATGCTCAAGTCCTATCAATTGTTAAACTTTTTTCAAAAATTTTAATCGATTGACATCAATTATTGACAATAATGTATTGAAATCATTGATTATTCTACATAGGACAAATATTGACAGTAATATATTTATAAGAAAAATGTAGATGATGTTTATTTTAACAAAAATAGATCATAACTCATTCCAATTAATCTTCCTAATTTAAAATAAAACTATAGATGATTAATAGTATTAAAATATTATGTTGTTATTTTTATTTTAATACTTGGTATAATTGTATTTTAGAGGGAGAAAGTGTTGACAAGAACATATTAATGGAACTAACTAATTATAATTAAAGTATAATATATTTTTAATTGAATTGTATCATAAAAAGTAATACAATATAATTCGTAAAAATCGTAAGAATCAAATTGTCAATCATAAGATTTGAATCGATTAAGCTTTCTCCATTGCAACCCATTTTCAAAATAGTGATGTAGATGAGAATATTTCGTCCTTTTTTGTTGTAATAATAATAATAATAATAATAATAATAATAATAATATAATAATAATAATAATAATAATAATAATAATAATAATAATAATAATAATAATAATAATAATAATAATAATAATAATAATAATAATAATAATTCATCCTTTTTTTATTGTTATTATTATTATTATTATTATTATTATTATTATTATTATTATTATTATTATTATTATTATTATTATTATTATTATTATTATTGAAACTCGTAGAATTGATATAATGTATTATTTTTTACCGTGTAAAAACTAAATATGTAGAATTGAGTGGTTCTATTTTTTAGGAGGGAAAATAGGGAGAGGAATTAGGAAGAGATTTTAGAAACAAAACAATAAAGGGCATAAATGGTATTAGATATATAAAGAAAATAAAAAAAGTGAATTAAAGTTTCGTTTCTCATAAGGAAATTTGTTGCCAGCTGGACCCAATTATATGCCTCTCATTCTCAAGAATCTCTGTCTTCTTACATATGTTGAAAAATATTACAATTTATTAAGGTGGAAAACCATACTAATTGCAGATAATCTGACCATAGTTTAGTTACGACGACGAACATGATTAATGATTAGTGATTATTGATTACATATACATATGCCCACACAAAACTGGCCCAAAGAAAAAACCAAAAAATATCTCAAAACTAAAATATCAAGAATTGAATACGTAACATACTATATTTATCATTCCATGCATCTACGTACAAACAAACACATTAATTCAGACATAAAACCTGTGCAGATTATCCTGATCTGCAGGAAGTGTCACCAAATGAACATTCTGTTTGCTCACATTTCTGTTCTTATTTTTCGTATTCTTATTCTTATTCTTATTCTTCTTCGACCCGCATATGATGCTGAATTGAAACCCGTACCCGCTTCCGAAGAAACAAGAAAACAGCCCTTTCTTCTTTCCCGCACCTCGCCTCGGCCGATGAACCCCCGTTTTCTTCTTATCGTCATCGTTAGTTATCGTTGTCAACGGGATTTGATCCTCCGTGGGCCACTCCACAATGTCCATCGGTTCCTCCACCACGCGATGGCAATCGCTGCTTTTATCCGTACTCCAATTGTCGAAAATCGAGCTCCCGTAATCGTTCCACTCCGTCGAATAAACCCCCCGTTTCATATCGACCGCCACCTCCGAAGGCAACGGCCGCATGACGGAGAAAAGGGAGTTGCATGATGTAACATAACCCGTTCTTGTTTCGGTCTCGGTTTCAGGCCGGCCCGTTATCCTGCTATCCGGGCTGGTGCATATGCTCCCACTCTTGGATGTCATTCTTGATGATGGTCCTCGATTCTTCTCTTTTTCATCCTCGAAATCTTCGAACCGTTCTTGCTTCATTTCTTGAACATCTTCCTTTTCTTCTTCCTCGTCGATTTCTTCGTCGTTTCTTATTGGAGATAGGCCCGATTCGAGGCTCGGAGCGGTATTGTCAACGAGTTGGACGCCGAGATTTAGGGTTCCTTGCAAATGGCCCGACGGGCGGCAAATCTGAAGAGAAACCCGTCGGAAGCCCGGGTTTTTACGCAGAGGCGGTGAGAGGCTGCTGACGAGCAAGCGCGTGGTGCCGATGGGGAGATCGCGCAGCCATGCGAGGTTGTAGATTTCGATTGTGATGAAGGAAGATTCTTGCTTGAGGAACTTTTCGTCTACATGGAAAGATACCTTGTAGTTCCATGTCGGGTTCGTGTGGCCCGCGTGATCGATCCTGGTCGTCAGCTTGTGGTCAGGGTGTATGTAGGCAACCGCGAATGTGCGGAGCATCTTCGACACCGGAGGAAGGTCTTGTGCCGAAATGATGTTGATTTCGAGGAGCTTGAAAGGAGATTGGAGGGCCATTGTTGCTCGCGCGGGGTCGTCTGAATGGACGACGGGCCGGGCCGGAGAGATGGCAGTGAGAATGCATGAAAAGGGGTATTTTTTTTGGTCTTGTGGGAATGGCTTTCTTCCTTTGGTTCATTTTGCATGGGTGCAAGAAAGTAGGAAGGTGTGTGAATATTGGTTTGGAAGGGTGATTTTGTGCCACATAGGCAAAGGGATAACTAAAAATATTTTTCAATATACAATTGAATTATTTAAAAAACCAACATATCAACTTATGCTAAAGAAGTAACCACCTTCTTAAACAATTTACTATGGATTTCTTCAACTAACCCCAATTATGATTTATGCCCAAAAACTTTGAGGCACACTAATTTTTGGATTTGATACTAACTTCAACCCTTGGACATTATAAGGTGGTGTTTGCAAAGGCTTTTTGAAAGTGATTATGAGCTTTTTTTTCTTCTTATAATATATTTTTAGCTGTTTGTAAAATTAACTTTTGCTTTTGCTTTTCTTAAAATAAGCTGCTTTAAGCTATCTTTTTAAAAGTATCCTTGTACCTGCTTTTTATATTTAAGTTCATTTCGAGAATATTTACAAACGCCCCCAACTTTTAGAAAGAATCACTTAAAACCAACTCAACTCACAATCACTAACTTCTGCTTTTAAATAAACATTTACAAACACCACCTAAGTCATATGTATAAGCGCTTTCCGGTGGCGCACCAAATTCCAACAGTTGTCGACTTCCAATCGTTTGAGCTCCGTCATTGCACCGTTCTCGACTCGTATTTCTCTCAGCCCACAAGCACGCCGTTAGTGCTCCTTCACTCTTTAATTAGCACGAACTTTCCAATATTCAAACGACCAGGTCAGAAAACGAGTGGACTCGTATAAAATAACACGACCTTTCCATTCAATTCCTCTTATTTTATATTGGTCCATTACCTTTTGAAATATTAGATCCAACCCCGTGTACATTCTAAATTTCTTACATCTACCCCACTACGAAAGGGTGTTGATGTGAAAAACCTACAAATTTTAGGGGTGGATATAATTATGGAAAAATGAGGGGTTTTTTCCCCCTAAATGAGGGGTTTTTTCCCCCTAAAAATAGAGGTCGAAATTGTATAGACTAATAAGACTTTCGTTTGACAAGTTTGGTACTTATTTAAACCTGCTCTATCTATGTAACAGGTTCAATAAACATTAGAAAATGATGCAACTTGTATTTTCTCAGCTTACAAATGTTAAGCAATTAATTTAAATTTATTTTGTGTATAATTTAAGTTTATTGGACACCTAACCTTTGACATTATTAAAGAAATCAATTTTGACAATTTCTTATGAAGTTGCAATTGGTCCCTGAACCATTGACTTTAATTATTAAAAACTCAGCTCTTTTCTTCTACAAAAAATGTCTCTGATTGAGTCTGACAATTTACTATCAATTTTAATTATTAATTATTATTAATTAATCGACGGATACATGCTTGATTTCATTTCTACTAACAAAAAATTGAAGGAAAGGACCATAAGTGTTGAATTTTTAAATACGAGGAATCAAATGTGTTTATTTGTGTACAATAAGGAACTATATGTGAAATCGGTGGAAACTTGAGGAATGAATTTATAATAATCAAATTTATTTGATTGACTAATAATGTAAATAAAAAAAATTAAAACTGCACATAATTTATCAAAAATAATTACGAAATGAATTTTCTTAAATTTTAACTTTAGGCAACTAAAAATTGCTATTATAGCCTTCAGGTCTATTGAAGCAGACACGGCCATGGGTCGGTTTTCAGCCCAGAACCGGCCCATTGACGAACCGGACCGTTCCGTAGACTAGTGAACCTCGGCACCGGAATCATGAACCGGTCCGTGTCCCTCGAGACGGGCCCGGTTCTATAATTATGTGAACTGTGGGGCGGATTACCCTGATTTAAAAAAAATAAAAAATAATTGAAAAAAACAGTAACGGCTAGTGAACCGGCTCAGTGAACCAGCCCAGTGAACCGGCCGTTATTTTTTTTTTTGAATCCCCCCTTCCCTTTTTCCTATAAATACCCTTACACCCCATTTTTTCCTATAAAATTAAGTTCAAGTCCTTTTATTTATTTTCTTTTGTTTTCTATTTAAAAGTAATTCTTTTAATGTATTTATCCATCAAGTATTTAAAATATATATATATATATATATATATATATATATATATATATATATATATATATATATATATATATATATATATATATATGTGTGTGTGTGTGTGTGTGTCCCGACCCGGTGAACTGTATGTTGTAAGGGCCGTTTCCAATTCCTGAAAGTGAACCGTGAACCGGAGTGAACTGGCCCAAACCGGCCCATGGCCATGTCTATATTGAAGTGTCTATTTCTTATTTTGTTAACAAAATTAAAACATATTTTCAAAAAATGCAAATATTACATTAAATTAATTACAATATATATTTCTCTAACTATTTTATTCAAATAACATTTAAATCATTTTTCAAACATACATTTATTCAATTAAAAAAAAAGGTATAAAATAAAGAATTACAGACTTTTAAGTGTTACATGTTCAATTTATTTTGCCAATGCTACTATTGTATCAACTCAATCTATTTAATGTAACAGTAACTAGATGCAGAGATGGTATACGGGAGAGAAGGTGCGAATGATTCTCTCGTAAATTCGATACAATTTCTTCGGTCGTCACCATTTTCAACTCCCCGAGCTGCGCCATAAATTCGAGCTCTCCGGGAAGATTATCGAGATGAGGGCATCTATGGATTTCCAATCTTCGAAGATCCGACATGCCATCTTCTTCGACGTGTATATTCCTCAGCTTAAGCTCTCTGAGTGAGAGGACATTGAGTCTCGGTAGCCCATCACTCGTGATCGTCATTTCTTCGCCGGTGAACGCGCCATCCAATTTGAGGTACACCAAGTTGGGCAGCTTCTCCAGTACGGGCATCGGATCCTTATCAAGAGCCGTGTTGTTCAAACTCAAGTGAGAAAGATTTGGAGGGAAATTACCGACGGTGGGCAATTCGGTCATTATGCCTTGCAGTTTGAGTTGAGTGAGACGGGGCAGCTTGCCTAGCCCGTCCTCGAACGATATGCTGTGGTTGCCATACCATCGGATGTTTAAACAGAGAAGATTCGCCAGCATAGCTAGTGAGTCGCACAGATTGATTATATTCGAATTTTCATCTAGCTCTAAGCCCAATTTACGGAGGCTGGTCATTCGTGCTGTGTGCTCGGGCGTCCAACGAGGCGTCGGGATGTAGGTCAATGTCTGGAGATGCTGGAGGTAGTCGACTTTTGGAGACGCCTGGCAAGTGATTCTTGACATATAAAGGTGGCGCAGATTAATCATTTTCCATATGATGTTTGGCACTTCCATGGAGAAGTTGAGTGATATATCAAGAACCTGGAGGTTTTTAAGGTGACTAAACGAGATTGGAAGCTCCTTTATGTCGTTGTTTCTTAACCCCAGGTACCTTAATCCCACTATTTCGCCAATTGCGTCAGGCAAACTTTTCAAGCCAACGTTTTCAAAGTCGAGTACCCTGAGGAGTTGAAAATTCTTCCAAACAGTTGAACCGCCAAAAATATTATTGCCTGCGCCGTGGAAGAAAAGAGAGCGGATATGGTTGTTTTTCTGAGAAGAGAAAACAGGCCTTTCAGTGCCACAGTAGATAACACGATGGCGAGATTTCTGTGAGGATTGAGAACCCCCTCCCTCATCTCTTAGGATCTCGAGACTTATTTCCTCCTTGGCTTTTGTGATGGCTAGATCATGAAGAAAATCGTGGATGAGGCAGTTTTTCACGCGATCATCTTTGGTCATACCCTTGACTTGAATCATGTTCCGATTGATCAACTCGCCTAGATAATCCCTTGCTCTCTCCTCCATGGTTTCGTCTTTGTCTCCTTTTGGCGGGATCAAGCCTTGTGCAATCCACACTTGGATCAATTTCTCCGCGCGAATAGTCGCGTCTTCCTTGAAGAAGCCCATGCACAGGAAGCACGACTTGAGATGCGGAGGCAAATCATGGTAACTCAGTTCCATTATATAAGACACACTGTTTTCACCTGTCAAGTGAGAGTTCATCCCTTTGAGAACTTTGTTCCATTCATCCTTGGATTGCCCGTGTTTCTTTAATAGGCCTCCGATAACGGTGATTGCTAAAGGTAGACCGTTACACTTTTCCAAGATGTCTCTCGAGGTAGCCTTCAATTCTTCGGGGCATTCTACGACGTTGCCAGTGAATGCCTTCTTTAGGAACAGCTCCCAACTCTTTGCGCGGTTGAGGGTTTCGATCTTATGAGCATATATATGATCATCTTTCGTGACGCCTTGGTTGCGAGTTGTGAGGAGTAATATGCTTGTTTTATCTATTCAAATATATAACTTAGCATTGTTATAACACATTATATCTAACCACATTGAATATACTTGAGATCAGTATTCAAATCAAATCGTAAATCGTAAGAATTTGATAATCCTGTTCGTGGAGGATCGGGCATAGGTCAAAGTTCTAAGTTACTTGTACAAAATTATCAATGTATAAAATAAATGTACCTTCTTCATTAGGAAAAGCACTTGTAAGAGATTGCCAATGAGCTGCTTCCCATACATCGTCGAGAACTATGAAATATGGTTTGCCTTGCAGGCGATCGTGAACCATCGATTTGACGGACTCCAACGTCGACCTCTCCATTATCTCAAGAACATTCAACTTATCTTCATCGGGCTCCAGCAGCTGCAACACGACCTCCTTCATGATCTCTTTTGGGCTAAATTCACTTGAAATGCAAACCCAAGCACGACGCTCGAACCGATTCACGACTGTGTCGTTGTTGTAAACTATCCTAGCAAGCGTTGATTTTCCGATACCACCCATGCCCACAATGCTGCCAATGATAAGGCCTTTCCTTTTCGTTAAAACAATTTTGTCAAGCACCGATTCGACATCCGCCTCCAATCCCACCACGTGTTTGTCTTTTTGCCAATGAGACAATTGTCGTCGCCATTGAAAGCCTTCAGACGACGCCATCGTCGTCGTTGTCCCCTCGCCAAGGTTTTGAATACCGTACCTAGGGGTGAAAATCGGAGAGTCAAAATTTAGACTTTCTGAAAAATTCTAAATTTTTGGATGTGAAAAACTAATTCCAATTTCGTTCCAAGAAAAAAACTGAAAAAAATGTAATTTGAAATTTTAGCAATTGGAATTTGCCCATTAGAATTGGCGGAATTTAGAATATTTCAATTTTTAGTTACTTCAAATATAGAATACATAATAAATCCATTGTTTTCACCAAAAACCTTCTGGACACTTTTGCTGCTGAAGCAGGCCAAAAGATTTGCTGGCAAAAATCCAAGATTTTTTTCTCTAAGAATATTACTAGCAATGTGCGGAAGTCTATCTGCCAACAGTTGAATATTGGTAAAGGAAAAGTAGGAGAAAAATATCTAGGTTTGCCACTTAACATTGACAGAATCACTAAACATACTTTTTTCGATATTATTTCTAAGGTTCAGACTCGTATTAATTCATGGTATAATAAAACTCTCTCGTATGCAGGTAGACTGACCTTTATCAAGCATGTGGTTAACTCTATGCCTTTGTATTCTATGAATGTTTTCAAAATGCCTACCATCACTATTAACAGCATTAATAACATATGCAAAAAATTCTTGTGGAATGCCAAACCTAATAGTAACAGGAAAAGTCTTGTTAACTGGAAAACTGTATGTCTTAAACAGAAACATGGGGGTCTTGGTGTTCGTGACCTAAACCTTCTTAACAAAGCTGCGCTCCTCAAAATTGGTTGGAGAATCCTTCAAGGTTCTGATGAGTTATGGGTAAAGTGTCTTAAAAACAAATATTTTTCAAAAAAACAGTTCCTTGACATCCTAAAACCTAATAGTAACTGTAGTAATATTTGGAGGAACATATGTAAGATCATTCCTTTAATCAAAAACTGTTGTTTTTGGTCAGTGGGGAAGGGTCAAAATATTAATTTTTGGTATGATAAATGGGTGGATAACTGGACTATTGCCGAATATACTAACTTCATCCCTCATTATTTGTCGCATCTAAAAGTTTACGATTTTATTGATTTCAAGTCTCTCTCGTGGAAAATTGATAGCATTTCTCATCTTTTGCCTAATTTTGTTATCCAAAAAATTAGAGGTATTCATATACCCAAGTATATCGAAAAAGACTCCTTATGCTGGGCTTGGGATCTAAAAGGATACTTTTCATTCAAAAGTGCTTTTAACTGGCTTTATTCTAATCATTTGGGTTTGCTTGAACCAGCCCTCCCTTGGATGGCAATATGGAAATTAAAAGTTGGTCCTCGGATTAAGTTCTTTATCTGGCAACTGTCTCATAATAACATTCCTACAAAAGACTTTTTATTTAAACGTAAATGTGTGTCGTCTAATACCTGCCCTATGTGTAATTTGCAACCCGAAACATGCACACATGTATTTCATAAGTGTACTGCATTGTATAGTATTATAAAAAGGATTCCCTTACCTCAATCTAACTTGGAGGTAAACTTCTGTAGTTTTCTACACAGTCTCCGTAATAATCCTTTGTTTCAAGCTCAAATTGCTAATGTGTATTGGCTCATATGGAAAGCCCGTAATAATTTTGTGTTTAAACAAAAAGATATTCAACCCTTACATCTGTGGACTCTAGCCAAACAGATGATATCCACACCATCCCGCAATATTTCGGTTCCTATACAAACCCCCCTTTCTTGGAAACCCCCTCCAAGGGAGTGGTTTAAACTTAATATTGATGGAGCATCCAAACATAATCCCGGTTCTGCCGGAATCGGGGGTATTATCAGAGATAGTAATGGCATATTTATTAATGCTTTTTCTAAGAATATAGGCATTGTCTCTAATAATAAACCTGAATGTTGGGCGCTAGTGGAAGGCATTAACCTCGCCAGAAAGCTGGATATTAAAAAACTCCGTGTCCAAACTGATTCCATGTTTTTAATCTCGACTCTTAGCAGGAAGGACCAGCTGCACAGGGATCTCCACTCACTTCTGCAGGAGTTGCGGAGGAGATTGACTGAATTTGACGCTGTCGAAGTGGAGTTCGGGTACAGAGAGACAAATGGTGCAGCTGACTTTTTGGCAAAACTTGGAACGACTATGAACAACGACGCTACGCTTACTTTTGAAATATGCCCGACCTTTTTGACTAATATTTTGTATAATGACTGTAATAGCATGTACCAACGGGCCTGTAAAACTACTCTCTGTACTGAAACTCTTGTTTTGAAATCTTAATATAATAGTTATCCTTCTGTTCAAAAAAAAAAAAAAAAAAAAAAAAAATATAGAATACATAATAGTATTGATATTATATGTGTAATTTCATATGAAAAAAAATGAAATATTCTGAATTATATACAAAAATTAAAATCTGATTGAAAATCAAAATCTTATATATATTTCAATTCCTATAAAAAAAAAAATCGAAACAATCAGAATCTTTTGAATTTTTTTTTTTTGGGAAACTGAAATTAGCTCATATATATTCCAATTCATATAATAAAAAAAATTGGAAAAACCGAAAATCAGAATCTCATATATATTGCAAATTTTATCCATAAAAATCGAAAATCAGAATGCTCGTAATCCGGAATAAAATATATCCTAGCAAAACCCTTAAACCAAGATTAATTAGAGACGAAGTTTGTAATAATTAATCTAATTTAAGAAATAAATTCATAAAATATATGTTGATCGCATTAAAATAAAAAATAAAACAATATTTCGGATTAGAATCGACGGGAATTGAAAAATTTGTTTCAATTTCCACCCATACAACATACGTACCTTTCACAGGCTTTGCTGATGTTTTTGATCCTAGACTGGATGGACTCGATCTCTTCTCCGACCATATCCAAGTGGTAGACATGGCCGGGGAAGCACGCGCACGTCTCGAGAAGGCCTCTTGATCTCCTTTTCGGGGCGTCGACTTTGAGAATGAAAGTCTCGATGACGTCTTCGGCATCTTGGGCCACGTCTCTGATATCGGATACCCAATTGCGTATCAGCTCGTTCTTGGCTTGCTTTTCCTCCGCGTCTTTCAGAAAGCATTGCATTCTTTGGAGCTCTTCCTTCAGCCAATTCACCTGTTTCGCGACACCTTGCAGGAAAGCCACCTTATGAACCAACATGCTACCTAGCTTTTCGACCGTGAACGAGACGGCTACCTCGGCCATATCTCGGAATTCTTTTTTTTTTCGTTTTTTTTGTGTTCTTTTTCTTTTTGTTCTTTTTTTTTTGTTCTTTTTTTTTCTTTCTTTTTTTTTTTTCTTTTCTTGCTCTTAATTGGTAATGCTATCTTACTCTTCGGTTTATAGTTTGCCTTATTCGGAAGCCGGTTTAAATAGCAAGTGAGGACCAACTTGTGCTTATATTTCCTAATTTATGTTTGTTGTTGTGTAGAAGCAACAAGAGGGGAACTAGTCCGTGTACCAATAAAGAAATACAAGTGATGAATTGGACTTCTATAACAACTCCAACCATTTCTAATGATCACTATCAGCCTACGTAGTACGGACACGGAAACGGTGATTTAGAAAAATAGGGAAATGACATATCCCAAAAATAGAGATACAGGAAACATGCAAATATTAAAAATATATGGGTATATTTATAAATAGGGTAAATCACAACCACCTTATTTATAAAATTACGAAAACCCCCCTCCTATTTGGGTAATTACAAGAATCCTCCTCAACTATAAATTTCTTACATGTCCACCCTTGCGGTTTCAAATTTAATGGAATCTTCTTGATTATATAGAATATTATCACTTTTGTACCCGTTTTATCCCATTCAAGCTCCACATTTTGAAGCAAGATGATCATAAGATGTGTTTTTGGACTTGTACATATCTGATTGTGGTGCATCAAAAACTGTATTTTTACACAAAACGAGTACAAACTAGAGCACATTCCACGGAATCTAGAAGATTATGTTGAATTTGACACCTGAAGGGTGGAGGTGTAAGAAGATTAATAGTTGAGGGTAAATGTAATTATCCAAACAAGAGGGGATTTTTCGTAATTTAACCATACCTCGTGGGTGGTTGTAATTTACCCTTATAAATATACCATATAAATATATATAAGTTTTTATTATACATAACTTTTTTTTGGTTATATTTTCATCCAAACATATTTAAAATACATATTTCTGCCAACTATCAATTTGCAGTTGACCATTAAATCATGTAAATAATTAAGGAATCAACAAAAATATAATTCTATTTCTTTTAGAAATTGCAGAATGACCCATAAGATGTTCGGTTGGTACCCGACTTTAAACGTGGAAATGTCAACAAATTGAATATTCCGTGCTACATAGCTATATCAGCTTCGTTTTATTAGATTTTTTTTTTCCTTCGGAAGAACGTTCATCCCGGAAAACAACTCGATCAATAAAATATTTATATTTTGGGGGGGAAAAATAATTTTGATACTAATTGCATCCCACTCTGAAAAAGAGTAGCACACCACTTATTCTGCAAAAAAAGAGCATCATTGCTACGTTCATACATTATAATCCGTACATGACATAATATAATAATGTTATAATGTCATTGTTACTTCTTCTATATAGCTATTGGTTGGTAAGCAGAGAGAAGCCAACTAACGGGCTGCTGAAGAGTCAACCCCACTGGTTGACTTTATGTAAGAGATAACACCAAGTACATGTAGATTTGCTTTTAATTTTACAATAATCTCCACCGTAAATTACAACTACCCCTGATGTGATATTTATTTACGAAAAAATCCCTTATTTTTCTATAATTATATCCACCCATGTAATTTATAAATTTCTTACATTGACACTTTCTTGGGCGTGGATGTAAGAAAATTAGAAACTTTAGGGGGTTGGATGTAATTTCTCAAAAGAAAAGGGTTTTTTGTAACTACTTTATCCAATGATTTTATCCAAGTTGTAGGTCTCTAATGGAGGACAAATATACAAATAGGTAATCGAAAATAAAATCAATATTCACAATCCACGCAACGAACTTGAAATGCGTCGTTTCCATAGTCCTGTTGTTCCTCTTGTATTCTTTCAGCCGAATCCGCAAGAGTTTTGCGACAATTCTTCAGCTCGATCAGTTCAAGTGTCGGAATTTCTCCAATACCGTCCGGAATCTCTTCTAGATACCGAAAATTATGCAGCACAAGGCTTATTAGCCTTGGGAAATGACTAGTTTCAGTTATCCAATACTTGAGATTAGAATTGCAAATTAGTAAATATTTCAGCTCAAGAAATCCCCCCTCACTTGTCTCCCATTGGTTCCAACAGTAATTGCAATCTCTTAGTTTAAGCACTTGAAGATTAGGCAGTGAACCGATAACCCTCATCCTATCTTCTCATGAAAATCCCCAACCTTTCAAGGTTAACTTTTCGATCGTCAAAGGAAAAATAGGATTAACCTTCGTCCACCGAGTTGACACGATTATTTTCAATTTCTCGAGTTGATGGAAAAGTACAAGATTCTCCAAGTGATAGTCTTGAGGGTCACATTCTTCTTCGTAATATATAATACCCAACTTCTTAACGTTCGGAATCATTTGAACGATGCTTTTGGTACATAAAAGATTCGTCACCGCCGAAAGTGTATGCAGGTTTTCTAGAGCACAAGTGGTTTCTCTCTCCTGATCTGGATTTGGTAACTGACCAAAGTAGTTACATACGAGATGCCTTAGCTGTGGCATACTCCAGATTTCAAATGGTAAGTTTACTTTACATGTCTTGTTCTTCCTTGAAAGAACGATCAATGTTTGAAGATTCCGAAGGCTTGACATGCCTTCTAGAATATTCTTATACATATAGCCACATGGTGTCGAAGGAAAGTTGAAGACAAAGTACCTCAAGTGAAATGACTCAAACACTTGAGAAGGAATCCACGCAATTTGATCACCGTAGTATAAGTTGAGGTGATCGTACACCAAATCCAACACCCTGAGGAATTTCAAATGTCGTAAATTCTGTGGCGGAGAATCTGTCGGTCGCGAGAAGCATATAATGGCACGAGTGGTCGAGCCGTGGATTTTTCCGAGACAGCCTAAATCAAATTGAGTTATACATAGGCGGCGATAATTTTGTATTGTGTTTTTTTCTTCAACTTTTCTATCCGTAACATGTAGAAGAAACTTCTCTTGCTCTGCTTTTCCAATGCACAACTGCCGAATAACATCATGGAGTCTGCAACTCTTGATTTTCCCATTAGATTTTCTCTCGGAAACCAACACGAGACTTCTCTTCACAAAATCCTCCAAGTATTCTTCACCCATCTCTTCAAAGCCTTTAGATACACTTGATTTCATTATAAACCCTTCGACTGCCCATAATTTGACGAGCTTCGAGGCACGAATCTCGTGATCTTCTGGAAAGGCACCAATGTACAAGAAACACGGCCTCAAATGATGAGGCAAGTGGGCGTAACTCAAAGACAATATCTTTTCAATGTGCCCATCTTTCGTAGAATTAATGGCCCATTTTACATTTTCCGCAACCTCCTCCCATGACGATCGAGTTCTACTCAATGTAGAGAGAAGCCCTCCAATCACAACAATTGCGAGAGGCAATCCTCTACAACCTCCCGCAATCTTTTTCCCAATGTGCTCCAATTCATAAGGACAGCGTTCTCCGGGTGCAAACGCCTTACTTTGAAGCAAATCCCAACTTTGATCAATATCCATGAGTCGAATCTCGTGAAGAGGGCTAGAAGAATCGGCATAAGCAGCCACATCCAAAAGCCGAGTCGTTAAAACGACTCGGCTCCCATTATCATCATCGGGAAATATCCTCCTTACATCATCCCAAACCTTCGTACTCCACATATCATCCATTACAATCAAATACTTCCTACCCTTCAAGATTTTGTACACTTTTTCTTCATTACTCACATTAGTCAGGATGACATGCGGTATGATCTCGAGCAGACCCAAAAGAATTTGTTCTTCGCTATAATCTTGCGATACGGTTACCCAGGCACGAACATCGAAACACTCGATAATTAAGGGATCGAGATAAGCATTTCGAGCAAGAGTAGTCTTACCAATACCACCCATGCCAACTATTGGGATCACTTGGAGTTTCGACGGTTCTCCGCAAAGCCGCTCCTTTATCGCTAGTAAATCGCCATGGAAACCAAAAACTTGGGCATTTTTCCTATGGATTGATGCAATTCTTAATGATGACGATCAACTAGCGCCAGCATTACCAGAATCAACGGCTCTCGTGTCTTTGAAAAATCTGAGGTGATTCGTGATTTCCATCACCTCCGTAGCGACCGCCTCGATTTCCGTAGCTAATTTTTCCAGTTCGTGAAAATCAAAATCGTAACAGAGGTTTTGATTATACTTGCTTACCCGTACAATACAGGCTATAAATTTGAATCGCGGTGGTGGTGATGTGTTCGAACCATTAGCTAAGAGGATTTGTTCCGAAATGAAGCATTCAATCATGTCTTCTGCTTGATTTGCTAGAACCCTAATTCGTTCTTCCAAACTGTTGACGAATTTGTGCGGGAAATCTTCGAAAAGTACTTGCAGAAAAATAGTGTATTCATGGATGGATGTAATTTGAAGTTGGTTCTGATGATTAGAAATGGAATAATGGTGGTGGTGGTGGTGATTCAGAAACTGGTCTATGGTATGTGAAAGAGAAACAAGAGCTGCATAAGCCATCTCGAAGAACCAAGAGTTCAACTTAGAGAGAGAGTATATCTAGAGAGAGAGAACTGTGGTTGGTTGAATCATGACTGAAGTCTGACTAACAATAACGCTTAAAAGGTTTTGGATAATTTGGCTCGAAGAATGGTTAATTTACGAAAAAACTCTTTTTGTTTGGATAATTAAATCTACCCATCAGCTATGATTTTTTCTTACACCTTCGTTATTGTGGTGTCAAATTTAATATAATCATTTAGATTTTGTGAAATGTGCTATAGCTTATACTCGTTTTGAGTAAAAATACAGTTTCTGATGCACTACAATTTGATATTATATATATATATATAAGCTTAAAAACACATATTATAATCATCTTTCTTCAAAATGTGGAGTTCGAATAGGATAAACGAGTATAAAAATGATAATAATCCATATAATCTTGAAAATTCAACTAAATTTGAAACCGCAAGGGTGGACGTGTAAAAAGATTTATAGTTGATGTGTGATTGTAATTATCCAAACATTAGGGGTTTTTTTTTGTAATTTGACCATACCTCAGGGGGTGATTGTAATTTATCCTAATTTGTTGAATCTTAGGGTAAATTACATATGCACCCTTAACGCATGCTGGAATAATTTTACGGTAATTTCTACTTCCCCACCCCTGTATTTTGGTTCGGTATCACTTTACCCCTCTTCTACTGTAGATTGCATCGATTTGCCCCCTACTTGAAAATAGTCTGTGGCACTCATTGTTAGTTATCGGACGTTTGACCTTAACACTGCTTTGATCTAAGCTCTAAAATTAAAAAAAATATATATATAATCAAAAGCCAAGTTGAAGGCCATCGTTTGCAAAATCATGTTTAAGGTTTGGAGATTTTGAAGCTTTGTATGATTTCCCTACCAATATTACATCTTTGGCAATTAATTAATAATACATAACATGCAGAGTCTGGGCATTATTGTAATTAATGAAATTCCATATCATGATACTACATAATTAAGTGGTTTTCAGTTCAGCTTATATATAATTAGTGGCAACAACTACAAGATGACAATAAGTTGTCTTGATATATAATCTGCAGATGCATGCAATAATTAATGGTCGATCGAACATTCGAGTTCGAACTCATGCCGCACAGGGAGGAACCATGCATCTCGAGAAGAACCCTAGCATTTTTTTCTGCACGAAAAACAAGGAGAGTTCGATCAGCTAGCGGAAGAAATAAAATACAATATTTAATTTGATATGGAATAAACGAAAATGAGAAATCAAAAGGGAATTGAATTGAACTTACTCGTTTGGAATTTTCGAGAAGCTCGGAGGGGATCTTGTAAAGATCTTCGTCTACCGGTTTGACATTAGTCGAGGATTTCTGCGAGACTAGGTTACGCGACATTGTACTTTGTTTCGGATAGTGCTTTGTCTTCTGATCGGACAAGGGCTGTTTTCTCGGTTGATCCATTAAGTCGCGAACCTTAACTTGCTTTCTCTGCATCTTGGGATTTGGATAACCATAGTTTGTTACTTTTACCTGCAATATATTAAAGCTATATACATCAATCACCACAGATAATATTTCAAGAAAAATCAAATGAAAAAGGAGTGCACTTCAGATTGGAAATTTGTACTCTATACATGGTTCGCCGAAACGGTCGGGGATTACATTTCTATATACTGCAATGGCGTGGTCGAAGTGGAGACATAAATAAAAAAGGGCAAATTGCACATCACCCCTTGTAAAATTCTAATTTTCGCACTTTATCCCCTCAAAATTCTTAAAAGTGAATGTCCCCTATCAAAATGTTATTCTTGTTGCACATTGTCCGATGGTAAAACTTCGATGGATTATTCATCGGAATTGAGTATTTTTGTTGCACGTTCCCTTTAAATGTTATTTTTGTAACAAATTTCCCCTTAAGAACACTATTTTTTTTGCACATTGCCCCCTTTAAAATGTTGTTTTTCTTGCATAATGCCCTCCAAAATTGGCTTCTGAAGAAAAGTGCAACTAAACTAATATTTCGAAGGGGGAATATCCACTTTTTGAATTTTTAGGGGAAAAAATGCAAAAATAGAAAATTTATAGGGGATGGAGTGCATTTTGTCCAATAAAAAATGCTAAAATAATTTAGAATACCTTAAAGAATATTCTTAATACTAGAATTGTAGTACAATAATGTGTGAAATATTATTCCAATTTGGAAAATCATGTAAACATATCAAATCCAAGAATAAAGGGGTTTAGATGCTACACTATGTGATATATATATGATGTTTTTTTTAACCGTTGGTGAAGTTCATACACATAGGGGTGTGTAATTATGTGCAGATCCTGTGTATATGATCAGGTGTAACATCGAATCCGCGATTAAAAGATGTCTGGATCCTAAAATAAAGTACCTACCAAATTATCAGACACGCACAGTGTAACAATTTGAAACGGTGAAAAAAAAAAACCTACCTTTCTTTGAGGAACAGCATTATAATCCCGGCGAGGCAGAGGTTTCTCGAAACCAAATCCGTAAAGATCACCGCCGCCGTCGCCGCCCCAAGAGGCAGAGTTGTTGATGTAAGAGGCGGCGCATTCACCGGAGCAGCTGGAGCGGAGGAGGCCGGCCTGCCTGGCGCACTCAAAATACTGAGTGATTGGCAAATCATTTGCGTTTTCCCAGTCACCAAATGCTGGAATTTGCCCACTCTTCCTAAAGTAGTCCATGAGTACTGAAATATGGCAGCCAGAGAGTAAGTAGAGAGAGAGAGAGGTTAGAGAGAGAAAGTGAAGAAGAGATTGAAGGGAAATTGGTAATGGTAGATACTATTACTAGTGGTAGTGGGATTGATTGATTTTTGGTTTACTTCTTTCTCTCCACTTTGGAGTGTGTGGATATGAGATGCTGGGTGTTCACATTTTGTCTTATGTGCACGTACAACATTTATATATATATACATATGTTATTAATTCACAGTTAAATCTTATTATAAGGGACTAGAAAAGAATAACTAATTAATAAACTCATCTATATATACACAGGTCAAAGAATACACATTACACATGTTTGTATGTGTGTAGGTGTTTGAAAAGGGGGGATTTTTTGGTCTGGAAAGGTTCGAGAAAAAGTCTCACATCCACACTAGCTACAAATTTGACAGTCGAATATTACCTTAATCAATTTATCCTTAAAAAAAAAAAGTTTATTACATTTATCCAAGAAGATGACTGCAATTTTAAGCAAAGTAAAATATATAAATAAAAAGTCAATTAATGCTTCATAACAACAAGAAAAAAATGACCGCAAAGTCAAGATTAGAGAGTACCAATTTGGACAGATAGTCAAAGGGAAAAGAAAAACAGAGGAATGAGGTGGAGTTTGTCTCAAGGCATATTAATTAATTAATTAATTAATTAATTAGAAGTGTAGAAACAGAGAGAGGATTCTTGTGGAGATTTGTGCAAATTTTAGTAATGTAGTAGTAATAAATAATAATTAGGTTTGCAAAATTGCAGCTCCTCATTCATTAATCAGTTTTAGAGAGAGAAAGTATTGGGAAATGGGAGTAGAAAAGTCAACTCTTTAGAGGGGACAAGTTAAAAAGGTAAGTTTGTCTGTGACGAAGAGTGAAAAACACCAATTTCTTTCCCTTGATTTCCGCTGCATAGTTCAGACAAAAAAAGTAACATGCCTACTTCACTTGGTCAAATCTTACACTGCAGAATTGGAAATATTTACATTGAAAAAAGTAGTAACTTTTAACACTTTTCCAGTCCGACTTATCAACTAGGCCTAATACCCTATCTATACTTAATGACGTGGCACTAAAATTAACTACTCCCTAATCTCCTTCAAAACGACGCCGTATCATTACCCTAATTGCTTCCATTAGGTGCTTTCTTTTGGATTTTGTTTTAGGCCAATAGCAACATTGATTAGTTAGGGAAAAATACAGTTTTTGTCCCTCAAGTTTTCACTGACTTCATATTTGGTCTCTCCATATTTATAAAAAACACATTTGGTCCCTTATGTTTCAAAACTTCAACACTTTCAGTTATTTCCGTCAATTTTCCGTTAAAACTAATGAAATCAAGCGTGTGCCATGACTTTCTTAACTAACAGACTAACGGTAAATTGACGGAAAGAACCAAAAGTGTTGAATTATTGAAACATGAGGGACCAAATGTGAAATCAATGCAAACTTGAGGGACTAAAACTGTAATTTCCCCGATTAGATACATGTGATCGATACGAATCTCAAACTTCACTATTTCATGGTTTATACTATGCTACGTGAAATATATTAGGTAAAACTTTATCATTCATATACACACACACATCCACATTGGTGTATGTAAATCAACGATCCGATGTAACATTCATCAGGTGTAGCATAAAAATAACCCTATTTTAGTGTTCATTTAAGAAAAATTGTCTCTTATAACTCAAATTCACAAAACATAACTGTAAATTGATCAACTTCCTTTCCAACCAATTTACAGGTTGGATTTTATTCATTCACCAAAAAAAAAATTAAAATTATTATTACAAGCTACTTGTATTACTATAACAAACTGGTAATCAAGAAAATATCCATATCACTTAAAAAAAAAAAATCATCGTAGTTTTCTCAATGGTATAGCTCTACCGAAAAGCTGTTCTACCTCTTTCGCCTCCATTTTCAGCTCACTCAAAATATCCATTTCCTCTTTACTCAGCTCCTCGAGAAAATAATCTTTATCTTTAATCAGTTCTTGAAACCCTTCGGCCAGCTTCTGGAACAACGAGATTTCGGTGTTCTTCACTTTCTCCACTTCTAGTTCGATCTCTTCGACTTCTTTCACGAGTATCTCTTCTCCTTCCTCAACAGTCTTCTCCAATCTTTCGACCAATGGTGGCTCGGGACCACAAGTGTTGTTTGTCCTTGTGAATGTGCTGAAATCGCGGCCGACTTTTTTGGCGGCAAGTTGTAATTCGGGTATTATGCTTTCTGGCAAAACGGCACTTCTTGTGTAGATTACTGAGCCGCCGTATCCATCCCATGCGTCGTTTCTGCCTCGGTAGTATACGAATATATAGTCGTCCGGTTGGTTTTCTATCTTGGATGAAAGAATATACCTGCTCAAAATTTTATTTGAAATATCAAAAAAGTAATTTCGAATGATTTAAAGAGGTTCATCATGCAATTTATCGTTGATTTGGTCTTATATGAGCCAGAATTTCATGATCGAGGGGCAAAATGTACATTAACAAAAAATAGGGGGGCCGACAATAATAGTTAGTGACGGAAATTGGAACATAATTCCGCATATTCCAATCCGGATATTCCGATTATGGAATGAGATTTTTCATTTCGGAATTCCAAAATTGAAGTTGCGAATTTTTCGATTGTTACGATTTTTTGGAACGGAATTGGAATACATATTAGATTTTGTTTCGATTTTAGTTTCCGAAATTCTGATTTTTTTTCCAAACATTATACTTAAATCAATATTATTATGTATTCTATACCATAGGTGGCTAAAAAATTTGGAAATTCCGAATTCGGCCAATTCTGATCCGAAAATTTCCGGTTTTTTAACAAGTTTTTCCATTCCAACAATTCCTGATTTTTCCGATTTTTTGTGGAACCGAATCGGAATTAACTTTTCATTTCCGAGAAAAACTGGATTATTTTTTTCCGAAAGTTCTAATTCTAATCCGATCACTCCGGAAATGGTGATATTAGCCATGATCATATAATCGAAATTAAGTGAAAGCTAAGAAAATATGTATGTACATACCAGTCATCTTGGTAGTTAAGAAACGGATTATCATGATTGTATAATATTCCCGGGTATTTCGGATCTTGCACGAATTTCTGCACAGCCGTTCGAGTGAAAAAGCCAGTATCCGGTGTCTTTATCCTCCAAGACAAGTTCCCGACAAGTCTGTTCGATTCCGTGTGGAAATCGTGAAGTTGACAGTCGAAGGTGTCAAAAGTAGGATTTAAACCACTCGTAATAAACCACTTCCCGGTAAAATCATTTATGTTGAATTTCGGCACTAGAAGAGCTGGATCGGGTGCTGGAAATTCTCCCACATCGGATTTTCGCGGCACGCATTTCTTTCGAGACACGGCACAGTCGTTGAATTCATCCACAACGCTATTTGCAAATAGGTCCCCACACTTTATCTGTGATAATAATAATATTATTTTCGTTAGATTCACAATGATATTACATTATGTAAAAAAAAAAAAAAAAAAAAAAAAAATAGGGGATGCTGACCTGGCATTCGGTCTCGTCGGGCCTGTTATTGCATGTCTGAAGACATGCGACATTGGCCGCGCACGATGGATTTGCAATGCACTTGGCGAGTTCCAATCTGCGTAGTGTTACATTTGTGTGAATATTGTAAAAACGATTATTTAAATTATACAAAATATTCGGTTTAAATTGAAATACCTGCATTCTTTGAGTAAGCAAGTACAAGTTTTTAGAGCATCTACGGCATCAGCTGTAGGAACGAACATCAATGCTAATGCCAGTAAAATCGCAGCACCGTTGACATAGCTCCATTTCTTCCACGAATCGAAACTCGGCACTTCTTGAAAATCTAATTTCTTTTTCACCTACAAAAAAGAGTTTCTATTAAAAAAAGAAATAACAAAACGAAATAAAAAAAATTGAGGCTAAAAATGTGAAGTCACCTCAGCTATAATTGTGTTAAGACCATCGCTCGAAGGAGTTTTAGTTGTCTCTGAAGAGAAGATATTTGAAAATCTCGGGCCGAACACTTTAGAGAACTGAGGGGTTTTAAGTAATTTCAAGTATCGGAAGTTCCATTTATCGGAACCCATTCGCACTGTTAGATTCCCATTACAACTCGATTTGTGGCTTTCACCACGAGAGAATCTTGATTTACAATGTAAGAGAATGCTTTCACCGTTGGAAAGTAACCCCGAGTATAACAATACAGCCATGTTTTATTCTTATTCTGCTGTTGACTGCCAAATGCAACCTGAATGTAACGTTGCCACGTCAGATCTAATACATCAAACAATAACTACTTCAAGATACGATGCGTAATAAGTTCCGGTCAGTCGAAACGATAGTAGATTTCTACAAAATAAAATCCAGTATCTACTCAATAGGCAACATATGCATGCGTCGAATGCTATGCTATATTCTTAGGCCTCGTTTGGTTGGGGAGATTAGTCACGATTAATGAAATAATTGGACCTTGTTTGACGTTTGGTAAACACAATAACTTTCCTGGTCGACCCGGAAATAGTATGTTATCATGTCTTATCTTGCATTTTAGATATCTTTTTTGTTGGACGTCGTGGGACCCGATAAAATTATTGGATTTTCAATAGATTATCTAATCTTATCTTAACTAATCATATCTCTGCAACCAAACGAGGCCTTATTATACTTATATTAGACTAAGCACTTTAGCTAAAACTAAATTATTCCAATAAATTCTTGCTCAAATGAATTTTTGTTTCTCATTCCCAATTCTTGAAATACACATCTAACAAGCTTCATCTTTATCATTTATCTGACATTAAAATTAATATAAATAAATAAATAAATAAAACCCCAAAACAGAATTTTCAACTCTCCTCTTCAATTATCAAGAACAAACGAATGAAACCCACCAAGAACAGAGAATGTGATAATATATAAAGGATGCAATGTTAATATATAGGATGAAAGAAACACACACACACACACTAAAGAAGTACAAGCTAAGCCACTAACCTTTGAGTTGTGAAACAAGGATGTCGGTATGGTACATTTTAGGGGAATGCATCAGAATGTAGAGAGAGAAAGTAGTGATAGAGAGAGAGAGAGAGAAGAGGATTATAAATGTGGAGATAAAACGGTGACGTGTGGAGTTGAAAGCTTGTGAAGTTGGATAAGATGTTTTTGTGATTCTGAGCCCTGCAATGATTCTGGCAAAACGACGCCGTACTGTGTTACAACTAGTAACAAGAAAATAATCATTAATTAGAAAATATGTGCTTCTAGAAAATAATAGCTTTAAGTATTTTATATTGTCTTTTCCCTCTTGAATTTGATGGCTATAAATTAAATTAAAAATTATTTCTTGATTTTTTTTTATTTAAACTATATATAAATGCCAAGAAAAATCAATTGGCGGAGATTTCAAGAAAATAAAAATATTTTTATATTTTGCTAGTAATATAAAAATAAAAAAAACATTTGCAATAAGTTGCGAGATGACCTCTATTTTGCCAACCTTCATACAGTGAGACTCTACTATGCATGCATCGAAAACAAGGCTGTATAAACTAAGCAATTAAATTATATATATACAAGAATATCCAATTTTTTTATTCGATTCTAATGATCAGAAAATAGATAGGCCTATAAAGAGAAATTAGTGCTGATCAGGTTCTTAGAGAGAGAGAGAGAGATGGAAGTAGTATGCATAAAGTTTATGCTTCCATATTTGCTCTTGATAACTCTTCTTTCTCTTCAAGTCTCATCATATGATCCATCAGGTTTTACATAGTTTTCGATTTCGATTCCGCAGCTTTTACGTTGTTATTCTTTTAGTATGACGTTTTTAAGGATGTAATAATTACGCGTTTGATTGTCCGATGAAAACGCATTTGCAGATTGCAGGTTAAACTTCACTTCGTATCCATACAAACCAATAGGTGGATGCAATAACACCAACGAAAACCTCAAGGAGTGGAACAACAACACCTTCCCGAAAACGAGCTGCTGCCAAAACACCCTCCTCGTTTATTCCCACGCCTTAGCTCTCGAAGCGCACAACAACCCAACCGGAAATATCTTCGTTGACCAAAGTCAATGGAACCACTGCATCGGACCATTCCCGATCCAGCCCGGCACGTCAGCTCAAAACTGCGGCCTCGGGAACTTCTTCTACGGAAGTAGCAAATGCTCGACTCTTCAGATTTCGAATATCGATAGAAAAGTCGTTGATCGTTGTTCTGGCTTTGGTTCTTCTTCGTTCGACGATGCTTGTGGGAATTGCGTTCTTACAATGTCGGAAACGCTGGATAGTATGTTGAAGGAGTTCGGTGTTTTGGGAAATGATACGGAGAAAGCTATTTGTCTTGTCGGTCTTGTTGTGTCGGTTATAGCTGCGAAAATATTGAATGGGAGTGATTATTTATCTGGGATTGATGATTTTGATAGGTGTTTGCCTGCTTTGGCTGTTTCAGGTGGGATTTTTTTTTTTTCTAATTCATTTTTTACACATAGTTGTGTGTGGGTTTTATATGGCTGAATTACTGATATGATGATATTGACTAATTTGCAGAAAAGGTATACTACATCAAACTTACCTGTAAGTACAACTTCATTTATCTACTTGTCTAGTATTTTTCTGTTCTATATAGGAATCTGTTATTTTTCGAGTAGTGATGAAATTAGGAGTGGAAATTGGAGCGGGAATTTACGAATTCAATTGATTCTTATCCAAATACTACCGATTTTGGAATACCATTTCTCATTCTGATTTTTTAATGGAATTGGAACACATATTAGATTCCGATATCTGATCGATTGATTTCTGGAAATTATATTCATAGTATCTACATTATTGTGTATTTTATATTATAGATGACAAAATTTTAGAAATTTCCAAATTCTACCAATTCTTATCCGAAATTTTGCGATTTTAAAAAGAGTTTTTTCATTTCAATTTCTGAATTTTCTTTTTAGCGGAAATGGAATTTGTTGTTCACTTCCGAAAGTTGAAATTGACAAACACAACTTTTTAACTATTTCTTTTTGTGTTTTTTTCTGTTTTGATAATATTCAGATGGTTTGGCCGAAGCTTTACTAGCAGTAGTCCTAGTGATAATCGCGCTAACCGCAATCATAGCCCTGATAAAATATGTGACGAAGAATCAAAAGGAAGGCAAGAAACCCCTCAAGTACAAAAACATCGCAGCTAGATTCTCTGGGCTCTACAGATTCTCGTTAGCAGAAATCGAGAATGCAATAAACTACAACAACGAAAAGAAGTACCTAGGGAGAGGCAGTGCGGGCCGAGTTTACAGGGGCGTTCTTCCTAGCGGACAGCTAGTGGCAATCAAGCAAATATACAAGAGTAACACTTCCGATTCTTTCACTAGAGAAATCGAAGGTCTTTCCAGAGTTAGACATCCGAATCTTGTCTGTCTATTCGGATGCTGTATTGAAGATGGGGAACAGTATTTAGTCTACGAGTATTGCTCTAATGGAAATCTAGCTCAACATCTCTTAAGTATGTTTTTCCCTTTTCTTTTTTTTCTTTAAAAAAAAAAAGTATGCTTGTTTTCGGAATCACACATCTATCTATGTTTTCATGTACAGTGAACGACAAAGTTCTAACATGGGAGTCGAGGGTGAAAATACTGAGGGACTGTGCATTTGCCCTCAAGTATCTCCATAATCACGTAAACGGATGCATCGTTCATCGAGATATTAAGGTGCATATATATATACATACATGTCTATATAAGAGACAACCTCATCTAACAAACTACGTATTATCGGTGAATTTTGACAGTTTTTCTTTTTTTTTTTTTTTTGGTTCTTTGTGTGTTTTGTAGCTGACGAATATTCTATTGGCTCAAAATATGGACCCAAAGCTTTCAGATTTTGGACTGATGAGAATGTTGGGTATGGAAGAGAGCAAAGTGTATACAGATGTTCGGGGGACAATAGGTTATATGGATCCAGAGTATATGAGCAATGCAAAACTTACGAGTGCTAGTGATATTTACAGTTTCGGAATTGTCATTCTGCAACTTCTGTCCGGACAAAGAGTCATTGAACTTGACCTAGATGCCAGAGACCAGCTCACAAGAAAGGTACACCGTACCCCCCTAACCCCATACACACGAACGCCATTTTTTCTAATAGTATAGTATTGTCGGCAGAGACATAAATACGCACAAAAAGACGCACACATGGAGCACCTAGTTGATGGTTAATGCACAAACAAACACAGTTGGAGTATGCATAGGGTGATGGGGGGCTATGGCCCCCCTACACCGTTTTTTTTTTTTTTTTCTGAGCAGTTTAGTATAGTTGGCCCTCCACATACATAGATACATGCAAAATTACACACACACAGAGAGACACTCACCTAGTTGATGGTGTATTGAATCTTGAGAAAACAATGCAGGCAAAGGATGTGAACATGGGAAAACGGCCTCTGACGGATTTTCAAGACCCGAAGATGAAAGGAAACATTGTGGACGTAGATTTTGAGTCCATATTGCAAATAGCGGTGCTCTGCGTAGCAAGTTCAAGTACAGGCCGTCCCACCATAGATTTGGTTTTCGAAGAGCTGGACAAGGCTTTGAAAAACACACGGCTGGAGATGGTTAGTTTACTACTCAAGTTAATACATATATACACACACACGTACATAATACATGTTTGATTAGAAATTCGATTTTACTAATGATTTACGGTTTGGGGTTTTCCGCTTGCAGAAAGCAAGGAAGGAGAAGAGCTTATTCGGCGCATCACCGTCAAAATCACCTGAAAGGATGAGTGTGTAATACAATAATACATTGGATGTTTCTCAATCCTTTTTGAGAACTCCTTTGGACCTACTTGAGATGTTTCATACAAAATAATAGAGAAGATCGAAATGTACAAATGATGTATGATATAAGAAATACTTTAGTGCTATAGATTACTTGTAATTTAAAGAATAGGAAAAAGAGAATAAAAGAAAATGTCATATCAGACCAAATAAAAAGAGAATACATTCAACCATCAAGATTAAACAAAAGAACAATTTAAATGTTTATGATTTATGGAGTGAAATTTTACTTGGTCATTTAAAAGAAGAAAAAAAAGTTAATTTAATGAAATCATCCAGTACATTTTCGAGCAGGCCAATTCTGTCTCCATTACTCAATTGAGCTTGCCTATATGCTACAAAGACATCTTTCTCTGTCTTTTGATCTCATGGGTTTTCACTCTGTCTCAAAACATCCGACACTAAGTTCACAAAAGTTACAGTAAATTAAATCGAGACTAAAAGTTTCACTTGGATCATATATTTTTCTCTGTTGTGGAAAAAGATAATGGCATATATATACACATGAGAAGATGACAGAATAAGTCCTCGTTTCCATTGTTTTCGTATATGGATGAGAACTCACAAGCATGACCTGCTGGCTTTTCGACCAAATTGAGCAACATTCTATCACGTATATTGACTCAGCTTGTAAAATTTACCTTTCCGATCGAACTTCCTAACTTTCAATCCTATCCATGGAATCACCATCTTCATCTGCTGAGTTATGCTCACCTCGCGAGATCATATTCAGTAAAGTCTTGGTGGCTTGACCGACGGCACGAGAAGTCTTCTTTGCGGCCCCCACAACCACTGGTTGTAGGGAGATGATTGGCAGGCTAGCCCTTTCCTGAATCATGGCTTTTTACACAAAAAAATATCCAATTATTACAATCCAGTTCGTGAAAAAGATACTAAATAAAAACCAGGCAAAAAGAGGAACGAACGTCTTACACATTGTCTGTTCGCGAGCAACTGAACCTATTTGTCGGATTCCAGCTTCTGCTGCTTGCACCGCTTGAGAAGATTTGTTGACTCCGTCTGCTATTTCTTGGCTGAGAACCAGATGAAAAGAACATATTTATTTCGAGATGTATCAAGATTATAGTTTTTAATTACTAATGAGGATAAATGAGAGATTTCGAGCTTCAAGTAGTGTACGCTTAGTCTTTATTACATTTTCCAGCTTAAGAGATACACATGTTAATGACTACCCCAAAACCAACATAGATTAACTAGTGGAGAGGCTAAACTGACTCATGTCACTCATCTGGGAAATCTGGAGATTACAGAGATCTTACACCGAACCCACAAATCTAAATCCAGAGACTTGCCGTATGTTCTCATAACAAAGTAACTGAACAGCTCTATTGGTTGTTAATGAGTAAAAACTTGACTAGTTTTGCAAATGGTATAAATGGCTTAAATGACATATTCCTCTGTTTCAGAAACTATGATAAATGATCAGTCAACTAGACTATTTTTCAAGGGGAGTAACAAGTAATTCAGCCATATTTTGCAAACAAGTAAACATTTAATAACAACCGGTACTATTCAAATTATGTTACGAAGCAGTTCTTGGTACAATTAGAAGTACATTAGGCATCTAAACCTCTAAAACCATTTTAGGAAGCAGTTTGGTTTTCCCTTTTTTTTTCAATTCTAGTCAAATTGATATGCTCCAGCTCTTGAAAAGGAGTATTGCTTAAAACAGTTAAGAAAGGCGTGAAAAATGGGGCGAAAAAAGAAGAAATACCTCAAGTCATTCAATTCTAGTGTTAGATCACTGATTTCCATGCCAGAGAGCCTGATTGCAGCCATTGTACTAGGGAGCTCTTCACGAGCAGTATCGGCTAATTTTGCAAGGGATATTGCTGCCCTTCGCATTGCCTACAACATAAAGAATACAAACATATTCATAAAATGAGTTCGCCTAGAACACAAACATAGTACACAAAGCAGTATTTCTTTGGTTCATTTTTCTATTTCTTTGGCAATTCTTTTGCTATAGGCAAACTTTATGTTATTTCGCCATCCAGTTTCTCGAAAAACCTTCAATATTTTTTTTCCATGTACAACGAGATTGAGACGAAAAATATACTTACGAATAGTGTTGGCACAGATGCAGCAACAAGGCTAGCGAATGCAACAGAAGTCTGCATATCACGAATCAAAATTGGAAAAAGAAAATCAAATTCTGATCTGAATCCATTAGAGAGAGAAAATAAGTACAAATTGGAAAAACAAATTCACTAATTACAAAAAAGGAAAGAGGAAAATTAAACTACCGTGCAACCAATGAAGGCGAGGAGCAGGAAAGCTTGATCGCTCAAGCTCAATTTGGGGGCGGCCGAAATTATACTAGCTGGAATAGAAGGGCTTCTCACTTCAAAATTCAACAATTGATTACCCGGCTGCGAATCGGATAATACGTCGATGTTTCTAGAAGAAAACTGAAGCGAATCCTTCTTAGCATTCGAAATTCCCAATGAACACGATACCCCAAGGGGGAAACGGCGTCGGGTTGGTGGTTTGAGCCTGGGCGTGGGGCTGAAAACGACGACGTGCAAGCTTGCGGGAAAGGCGGCAGGTTTTGGGACAAAATTAGGCGGAGACACGGTTGCGAGTAGGCCGCCGGGGGGTTTCATGACTCGCAGAGGCCGGAGAGGTGGGGGCGGAAACTCCGACGGAAGAGAGAGAAATATGAGTATTTTTAGCTTCTAGGAAACGGAACTGATTTTGAAGCGCGAGGTACAAAACTTGGAAAACCACGTGGAAATAACAACGGATAATTATTTAAATAAATGAGATAAATTCTTTCAAGTAAATAATATTATGGGCAAATTACAACCACCACCTATGAGGTAAGATCAAATTATAAAAAATACCCTCTTGTTTGCATAATTATAATCACCCCTCAATTGTGTATTGTCTTACGAAAAAACTCTTTCAGTTGGTAAATTGGTAAATTTAAGATGTTTAGCCAAATTTTCATACCGTTTATTGTGCGGTTCGGTTAATAACTGAATTATCGATTTTTTATTAAAAATATGTTTTCTTTTTTAATTAATTTTAGTTTAAATACTAATATTTCATATAAAAATTTATCTTATATATAAAAGAAAGAAACGCTAGGGTAACCTAAGAAACCCTAATGACATATTTGTAAAAATAAATTAATTTATGCATAAATATATTTTTTTATCTCCTATTTTGCAACTATTTTTTTCTAATTATTTTAACACGAAATCTCGGTTAGCACAATCATAATCCACTACATCTATATTTATTTAATTATTATTATTATTATTCAGCCTATTTTTTCTAATAAAAAATATGCTTCATTTACTTTATGATTGACAATTAAGTTTTTATAGTTTTTTTAATGAGTTTATATTATGGTCCGTTATATTATTAAATCCGTATAAATCTTGATATTGTTATCAATATCACTAATAAATTTTATTATAATTGTAATTATCATGTATTAAATTAATCATCATTTTCATTTGAAATGCTATCCCGTGCATCGCACGGGGGAAGATGCTAGTATATATAAAAATAAAAAACTAAATATCGAACTGAATTACCGATTCGGTAATCGGCATGTACCAAATTTTTGTTCGGTCGGTTTAGCGACAGAATGAACACTCCTATGTAAATTTGACAACGTAAGGGTGAACGTGTAAGGAAATACATAGATAAGGGGTGGTTGTAATTACGCAAACAAGAGGGTTTTTTCGTAATTTAACTCCTCAATGGGTGGCCGTAATTTGCCCTAATATTATTTAGGGTTTCTTGTTGTATGAGTCGAGCTAATAAATCATTCATGTGGTTAGCAATGTCAAAATGCTATGCATTAGTAGTAAAAAGGAATTAATAGAAGATCAAAGATTAGCTTTATAATGAACTATACACACATGTATGTATATAAATCCCCACATGTAATATACATGCACACACCACCACATACAGATGAATATAGAAACAAATAACAGAGGGGGCAAAAAAGGAAAATAAAAAAATATCGACATCTACCAAATGATTCCGGCCTTCTACATTGTTCGTATTCATTTCCGGATACTCTTCTTATTCACAAACTATATAACAAATGCCCACCTCATCATATTCGATGCTTAGTCGAGACATTATTTCGAAATAAGCAATCGAAAAAAATAAGAGCAGCTTTGTTCTCTTGAGAAGAGCACTCATTTATAGAAGCCCTCTCTCGTTTCGTGCAAAACGTGCATTAATATTTATCGGAGCATCCTGAGAAAAATCTGGAAGTGAGAAAATAGAAACAAGAATCATACTCGTGCAGCACAAAAACGACGGCGAAAGAGATAACTTACGAGTAGGAAGAACAGGAAGCATAATATGCTGGATATTGAGAGACTCGATGAACGAAAGAATTTCTTCTTTGTCAGTTGCCACAAACAAATTCAAAATCTTCTCGTTCAATTTCCCAGCTTTCAACGTTCTCTGCCAATCAAGAAAAATAAATTGCACATGAAGAAATTATTTTAAGAAATTCAGTTTCCAAGAAATAACAACGTTATTATCCAATAAAGTATTCCGATAATTTTTCTAGTATTAACTAACATTCTGGACTTTGGAAGATTCGATAAAGTGACTACTTTTCCAACACCAACTAGTTAATTTTTTTTATCTTCTATAAACTGCAACAGCGACGAAAACGAAAAAAGAGAGAATCGAGAATTATCCTTAAACTACTAAAGCAGCTCACTACTTCAAGATAATAAACAAAATCCAGCGTTTTCGACAAACATGTCGAATCTGAAATACTAAATCTGTCATCACAAACACACACATAGTAAAAAAAAAAAGAGAGAAAAACAAAACCACAAATAATCAGAAACCCTTTACCCCCTCCAACGAAGACAAATCAAGAACACGGAATCGAATCGTTGATAAATTAAAGACAAACCCATGTCGAAATAACCAAAAAAGTGTACACAAAATCCAGCATTTTCAACAAACATGTCAAATCGGAAATACTAATCTGTCATCACAAAACACACACACACATAGTAAAAGAGAGAGAGAGAAACAAAAGCACAAATAATCAGAAACCCCTTACCCCCTCCAACGAAGACAAATCAAGAAACACGGAATCGAATCGGTTGACGAAATTAAAGACAAACCCATGTCCAAATAACCAAAAAGTGTACACAAAATCCATTATCGCATACTCATACATGTTTTCCCTCTTCTCCGGGGATGATTAGGGTTTATCACATTCCATCCTACACCCGTCGAACTTGACCATGTAATAACCAACCGACAAACGACAACCGGTGTCCGTGTATATAGTATAATATATCATACACACTTTACACAGTATTTATGTGTGTAATCATCTGTAAATCTACGGTGATATGCTAACACTGTTAATGTAGAAAGTATACATACATACCGCAAGTAGCTCGAGAAGAATGTGTTCAGGCAGAAAGGAGAGATCGTATATACTGGCGAAGTTGTTCAGTGCAGAATCGATCGCGAGCGATACAAGGGTGGGCGGATTTCTCATTCATACACCGATTTCTTTCTTGCTCTTAGCTACGGAAAACAAAAACCTAATCAATTATCTGCCATTTTAGCTACGTAAAAAAAAATTATAAAAAAGGGGAAAACTTTAAATTTCTGAGACGGTTTTAACAGATGAACAATTGTGAAATTGGGAAGGAGAAGTCACGCGTTCTTACCAGTGGTGTCTTCGTCAATACTTGATCTCTCCTCCGCGATGTTTCTGACCAAGGTTGCTCGAGAAATGTTGAATGGATTTTTTTTTTTTTTTTTTTTTTTTTTGCAGTGCGTTGATTTGTGAATTGCCTCTTTTTGACTTTGAATTTCGGATTTTGTCCCCGAACTTTGACTCGTTTTACACTTTACCCCTAAACTTAAATAATTGCACGATGCCCCCAAATATTAGACTAGATTCTGTGTAATATTTATCTGATGGCTGCGGCTATATGCAATACTCATTCCACTTGTGCAAGACCAAATTAAAGAAAGATTCCAAAAGATTCTATTTTATTAAGATGGAATGACAAGTATGCCCATAAATTAAATTGGTTTTTTTTTTTCATGTAAGACCAAATACAAATAATGAGAAAAAAACAAAAATCGACACCAAGGTGTCGAAAAACTATGCTACAAATCGACACTTAAGCGTCGAATTTCATAGGTAAAAATCGACATTGACATGTCGAATTTGTAGCACAAATTCAAATGTCGAATTTTATACCTAAAAATCGACATCTAAATGTCGAATTTTATACCTCAAATTCGACATCTAAATGTCGATTTTTACCTGTAAAATTCGACATGTACATGTCGAATTCGTTTGCGCGGGATTTTTTTTGGAAAATCGATATTCTAGCTAAAAAAAACCCATAAATGCATACATTCTTGGGTTCTTCCATCGTAGAATCTTCTATTTTGATGTCTTCTGACTCCATACTTGCCATCTTTGTAAGATTTGTTGAGTTTTGATGATTTTGAATTTCTAGGTTTTGTGGGTTAATGGAGGAGGAAGGAGAAAGGTCTTGTGAGTTTTGGAAGATGGAGAAGATGATAGATGGTCTTGTGGTTTTGTGGTCTTGTGATAGGGTTTTTTGTGTTTTTGAATTTTTGGTCTTGCATATTTGGAATTTTTTATTGTTTTAATAAATAAGGGTATTATAGTATTTATACATTGAAAATTTTAATTTGGTCTTGCACAAGTGGAATTAGTCTTGCATATAGCCGCAGCCTTATCTGATTTATGTCTGAAATCTTATGTAGCGCCAACATAGAAACGACGGACGATACAGGGAACTGGGGAAACGAACAGCTTGGAAACGGCATGTCCCAAACATAGGGATACGACGTCTTGGTGGAAACGTGCAAATACTAAAAATATAGGGATACATTTATAAATATAGTATGCAAAACATATATAAGCTTTTTATTTATATATAAATTATTATTTTATATTTTCATAGAGACATACTCAAAATATATTTTACTTTCAACTATTAAATTATAATTGATCATTTAATCATGTAAATAATTAGGGAAGCAAGAAAAATATTTGAATATTTGTTATTCAAATATGTCTATAGCTTTTGAGAAATTGTAAAATGGCTCGTGAGGTATCCGACATATGTCCTCGAGTGTCGAACACGAAACGTTCAGGAATTAAAGTTTTTGTGCTACATAGATGAAATCTAGTTTAAGATTGATAATTAAATAGATTCAAGACATGTTTTAGTGAAAAGGTATAATAATCTCATAATCATATCCATATATATATATATATATATATATATATATATATATATATATATATATATATATATATATATATCAATTCCATCAATAGCTCTGATGAAGCTGGTTTCTACATTGTTAAATTGAACTGCTCAAGCTTCCATTAGTCCTCTTCCACAACCTTCCGGACATTTTTTTCGTCTTTTCTCGAGTACCCGTTTTTCCAATTCCTTAAAAAAACCTGTCCTAAGGAATTCTCATTGTCCCCGATACACGATCCTGTTTTCTATCCTCATCGACTTAACTATCGAATTCCGTTTTCTATTAGGATGACATTCTTAGACCCTTTTCTCTCAAATAATCCGAAATTAAATATCGTCGTTTTGTATTATTGGCCAAAATTGTTTGTGTCTCCGTATTCACTTGCCGCTTCCGCCCTCACGGACAACATGGGAACGAGACGGGACGGAACGGGGGCTTCAGAAGGAGCCGTTGCAAGGAAACTAAGGGCGGCCACAAGATCGGTGATCAATGGCCGAACGGATGGTTCCTCTTGCAGACACATGGATGCAACTCCCACCGCTTGATTTAAACTCGTCACCGGGAATTCGTTCTTGAGAAGCGGGTCCGCCATATCCGAAAACCTCTTCGGATCATGAAAATACGATTGTGCCTATATTCAACCATTTTTCAAACATTAACTTAGCAAGTTAGATAAACATTAATATTAGCACAAACCCCCTTATAACGCCTTTTTTTATCACACGACCCCCTTAATAGTGCGGTTTTAGGGGTCGTTTGCTAAAAAAGTTGCATTACAGGGGTTCTTTTGCTAATATTAATAATACGATTGCTTTTTAAAACAATTAGAGTAAACATATTTGTGTGTGTGTGATGGATTAATAGATTGCATTCAGCACCGTGTGTTTACTCTAATTGTTATAAAACTCCCCGTGTTATAAATATTAGCAAAACTCCCCCATGATCCAATTTTATTAGCAAACTACATCCTAAAAAACATCGTTTAGGGGGTTATGTGCTCAAAAAACGCATCATAGGGTATGTATGCTAATATTTTATAACTCAGGGAGTTTTTTAACAATTCATATAACACAGGGGTTTGAATGCAATAACTCTATATATGCAAAACCCTAATATAGTCCAATTTTATCAGCAAACTACTCCTATAAACACATGTTAGGGGTTGTGTGCTAAAAAAATTGCAACCTAGGGGACGTTTTTTAATATTTATAACACGTAGAGTTTTTTGACAATTCCGTATAAAATAGGGGTAGTAAATGCAATAAACTCTATATACGACGCTATATATGAGTGATCATGAATCTTACCCAACTAACTAAATTTTGCTCGTTTGCGGGCCGTTCGGAGTCGAAAGCCTTACGGCCCGTTATAAGTTCGAGTAGGACCACACCAAAACTATACACATCCGATTTCAACGTGAGTTCGCCGTGCCTTTCGTACTCCGGTGCACAATAGCCGTAGCCCGAAATCACCCTCGGGGATACATTCGTCTTATTGCCGCCGCCGCCACTCTGCATCAGCTTCGCGAGCCCGTATTCCGATAGTTTCGGATTTTTCACCTCGTCGAGCAAAATATTCGACGATTTCAAGTCCCGGTATATGATTGGTGGATTCGCCTTCTCGTGTAAATACTCGAGCCCTTGAGCAATACCGGAAGCTATTCGCATTCTCGTCGGCCAATCTAACGGTCTTTTATCTCCCAAAATATCTACACATATAAAAAAAAATAGCAATCTTGAACTAGTTAAAATGGATGCAATATCGGCCCGTTTTTATTCAAATCGACGGTGTGTATTAGAAAAGTTACCGAATAAGTAGGTTCCCAAAGAACCCGACGGTAAATATTCGTACACCAATAGCCGTTGATCTCCATCGGCACAATATCCGATCATACGAACAAGATTCGGGTGGCGAAGAAGACTCAGCACTAGAACTTCGACCTGAAATTCTCTGTTCCCTTGTGTTGCACCCCTGTCTAGTTGCCTAACAGCCACAATCTATTTGAAAAGAAGACAAAAAAACTACGTTAAAAGATACATTCTTAAATTTTGTTTATTGCATTCAGCACCCTCGTATTTTTTCTAATTACTAAAAAACCCCATGTTATTTTATTGCCACAACCCCCCCTATGATTCATTTGTTTTTTGCAAATTACCCCCTTAAAGGACTACTTAAGGGGTTTCTTGCCAATAAAATAATATGGGGAGCTTTTTAACAATTTGATATAATATATGGGTGTTAAATGCAATAAACTCAACTTAATTAACAATTTGAATTTTATTTATTTTTCGGAGTTGTTCGAATATGTTATTACCTGGCCACTTGATTGAAGTGTTCCTTTGAAAACTCTACCGATTCCGCCTTCGCTTAATAAACATTCTTGACGGAAATTCTTCGTCGCGGAGGCGAGTTCTCGGAAAGTGAATGTTCTAGCTGTGTTACTTCCTTCTTCTTTTTCTGCTGAATGAGCTTCTGCCTTGTTGTTAACGGCATCAGCTACCGGAATATTCTTATTGTTATTAACTACATGAAGAAAAAAAACACAAATAATGAGAAGCTACTCGATCGTATTTCTCGATAATTTTTTCGACATTAATTAGGTAAAATAAAAAAATAGAAAAAAAACAAGAAAATAAATGCAAGAACTCAATACTCATATGCCATGTTCTATTGTCTGGTCCTTAATATCCCATCCATTTGAAAGTAAAAAAATTTCTTACCAGATTAATTAATTTGAGACATGTTCAGACGAACGAACATTAATCATCTTTCATATATATATATATATATATATATATATATATATATATATACATACGAGTTTTTTTTAGTACTAATTGCAGATTAAAAAAAATACTCAATTTCCTCGTCATTTCGCGAAGCATTAATTAATCAAAACGATAATAAAATGCATGTGGATATGAAAACTTGATTAAATTGTAATAAAAAGACGACTCTACGTATGGTATGTATTAATAGTTTCGTACGTACGTACCAAGAGGAGGAGGAGGTGAAGCATGAATATCTTTGGCATGAGCTATCGGGACATCGTCTTTCTTAGAGTCTGCTTTCCTACTCGAAAAACACGGAAAGCAACTCATACCGACTTTTTTAGAACGTAAACCGAACAAAAATTTCACAACAAATCTCCTTCGGTGAAAACAAAGCACATAAATCCTTTCCTTTTTATTTTTTTTAATGTTCGGCTTTTCTTAAAACCTCAAAAATGTTATATTCAACACGAATCCATTCCGCGTTTTTTTTACATCTCCGTCTTAAAACCTCAAAAGGCTGTAAACAACGAAAATTCTTTCCTCGAATTATAAAAAAAAAAGGAAAAAAAGAAAATCCCAATGGGAATGCAAATGTATATGTTTTTGTGAATGTAAATTCAACCCCCAATATGTATTATAACACTAGAATCATGCATGCATGCATTACAATATATATACATGGATTATATATATATAGGGTGGTGAGAAGGATCGGAAGACCCCAAATTCTTGATGATAGATTGTAATAGAATCTTGAGGGAAGAGAATCATTTGCAGAAGAAAAGAAAGAAAAGGATGTAATAATATGTATATGCATGGGCAAAAGCTCTTGACTTTTCTTGAGAATTTGACCATTTATTTCGGAGAAAAATGATGAGATTTTTTTTGATGGATATGTCTTTTTTGAGTTTTCACTTGTCTATATATTGGCTATTTGCAACTTTATAAATTTATAATTATTTATATTTTCATGAACGAGTGTGGAATTTCTGTAATGCAAATCAATATTGTCGGAATCGGACCAGACGCAAAATCGGATAAGCATTTGGGTTGCGGTTGCACCGATTCAACCGGTTCCACCTGGGTTTTTTCATTTTTCTATTTTTTTTATTATATGTACATATAAAAAATTAAAACAAATATTTCCACCCTTAAATAACATACCAGAGACTCTAATTTAATCCAAAAATCATGCATAATAATAATACACGTATCTCGTCAGAATAATTCATGGTGGGTCGTGTCCAACCGGTCGTGTCGCCCTGTCCGGGACGGTTCTGAAAACCTTGATGCAAACATAAGATTATTTTTCATTAATTGGGCAAATTACGGCCAACTCCTTGAAGTAATGTCAAATTAAAAAAATTTCCCTCTTGTTTGTGTAATTAGAACCGTACTGTCCCCTTCACCTATGTATTTTCTTACTAAAATCCCCTCATGTTTGTAACTACCCAAACATGAGGGGAGTTTTCGTAATTTGATATTACCTTAGGGGTGTAACCGTGATTTTTTCTTCATTTATTTACTCTATTTCTTTTTTCATCGAGGGGCAGTTTAGACATTGCAAGCACTTCGATAGGATTTTAGGTCGTTAACATAATGAAGTTATCTAACATTTATTTATACATTGAATGAAACTCTGTCAACGGAGTATCTTTATGACTTTGCTCCGTCTTAAATAGCGCCAAACCGGAAAAGATTCCTTCTTTTGATCGTTACTGGTTCGGCCGGACACCATTATTGCCACTCCAATTTTTACTTTCACCAGATCGACGCACAGTTTCACAGGTTGTACTCTCCGCAAATAATGTTGTACATTATTTATGGACTTGAACGAAATTGTCCCTACACTACTGGGACTAACGGACACTACACTTCCCACGTTATCATCTTTCTCTCTCCTCGGTTTTCTCTCTCTAAACCAACCAACAATGGCTGCCAACCTTTCCTTTCTTCAATTCTCATCCCCGATCCTTCAATCGAAGGACTGCAGAAGAAAATTAGCCCCCGCTGTTAATTTCAAGTCCAATGGTACGATACATGAAGTACGGTTGTACACCTAATTTCACATGGTGTTTTTTTTTTTTTTTTTTTTTATTCATTTATTCTAAATTTTGTGTTATCTTTTGGTTTATAACTTGTGGTGGTGCAGGGGTGAGCTGCTCGTACTCGAGTAATGGTAGAGGAGGTCCCAAAGACGACGCCGTAAAGGAAGTGGAGAAGCTTCTAGAAGAGAAACGTAGGGCTGAGCTGTCAGCCCGTATTGCCTCCGGCGAATTTACCGTTGAAAAGCCTAGGTACAGAATCTGTATATCCAATTTTTATTATATTTGTGTGTGTGTGTGTGTGTGTAAATGGGCCGGAGCATAATAGATTTAAGTTAGAACAGAGAAACTGAAGAACACAGATGAAATATTGTAGAATTTGGTTTGCAATTATATGCATGTGCTTGTAAAGGTGTACTTTTGCTTTTGTGGATCGGATTGTACCTTTTGGAAAACTTGTCGGAAACTAGCTCAAATGAGGGTGGGGAAATTGTCAAGAGTATAGAACTCATTGATAAGCTCAATTTAGTATGATAAATTTGCTTTGAAAATGCTACGTGTGCTATTCATTTTCTTCGAATGTTGTCTATATGTGCTTCAAAAGATTTGGAAAGAGCGATAATTGGATTTTGGGATGACAACACTACAGTTCTATATTGCTTATAAAATGGAACTAAGATTGTTTCGCGATGTATCGATCTTAATGATTTCTTTTGCGCCTTGATGATCATTTTGTTTCTCGGCAACAATAGCTTTGGTTCACAACTGAAAGACGGTTTGTCAAAATTGGGCTTGCCCGAAGAGGTGCTTGGATTCGTATTCAATTTTAGTGGTGGACCAAACAATTTAAAGATTCCAGAGGCAAGAGGTTCAATCAGTGCCATTACAAACGAGCCGTTTTTCATTCCCTTGTACGAGCTTTTTCTAACATACGGTGGAATTTTTAGGCTAACGTTTGGTCCCAAGGTTAGATTTTACGTTCCTTTACTGTACTCATTTACCCCCCAAATTTATCTGTGGTATGCTGAGTAGAATTTGGTTTCTGTTGCAGTCATTCTTGATAGTGTCGGATCCTTCAATTGCCAAACATATATTGAAAGACAATCCAAAATCTTATTCGAAGGTAAAACCAGATATAAGCTATATATGTAATAATGAACTTCATGATCGAGAATCAATCTGTAAGATGAATTTAGTTTTGAACACTTGTAAAAATAGCTTTGATTTTCTGCCAGGGCATTTTAGCTGAAATTCTTGATTTTGTGATGGGGAAAGGACTTATACCTGCTGATGGGGAGATATGGCGTGTTAGAAGACGGGCTATAGTACCTGCGCTGCATCAGAAGGTAAGTACCATGATTGATGCAACACTTTCTTAAAAAAAAAGAAACCGAAAAAAATAAAGAAAGAAGAGGCTTCTTATTATGGAACTAATATACGTTCATAATGCTTATTTTAGTTTGTGGCTGCAATGTTTGGCCTATTTGGAGAAGCGACAGATAGACTGTGCAAAAAGCTTGACGCTGCTGCAGCTGATGGTGAAGATGTAGAGATGGAGTCCCTTTTTTCTCGTTTGACTTTAGATATCATCGGTAAAGCTGTCTTCAATTATGATTTCGACTCTTTAAGTGTAGACACTGGAATTGTAGAGGTATTAACTTCATCTGAATTACTTTTTTAGTTATTAAATGAAATACTGCTTAGGTGTCACTCACCACATTTTCTGGAGCAGGCTGTGTATACTGTACTAAGAGAAGCAGAAGACAGAAGTGTTGCACCGATTCCATTTTGGGAGATTCCGATATGGAAGGATATTTCCCCAAAGCTTAAGAAGGTTAACACAGCTCTCAAGCTGATTAATGACACACTAGATGATCTGATTGCAATTTGTAAGGTAAATCTTGTTTTTCTTACTTCGTTTAATTAAGTTTACGGTATAGTGCAAAATTTTGACCTATACTCGGTATTGTTGTGCAGAAAATAGTAGACGATGAAGAATTGCAGTTTCATGAGGAATACATGAATGAACAAGATCCTAGTATTCTTCATTTCCTATTAGCATCTGGTGATGATGTAAGAAGAGATCAGTTATGAGTCCTGCGTGTGTGTGTGTCTATATATATATATATATATATATATATATATATATATATATATATGGCAAATGACAAATAGGCCCATGACAAGGGCACTTAATTAAAAGAGGGACATCCAACTTTTTTGTTTTTCAAATAAATCCAGCTCATTCAAATTTATTTGCAAATAAGGAAAATCCCTTTATATATACCAAAATTACCCCCAATTTATTGAAACCCAATTCAACTCCAATTTCATGATTTATATCCCAATTTAGCTCGATTTCATCAATTAACCAATTTTAACCATAATTTCAATTTTGACCCCAATTTTGACCCGCCATCGCCGGAGACCGTCGGCCGCCGGTCTCCGGCATTGACTTTTTTTTTTTTTTTTTTTTATTGAAATTTTTTTTCCCAGATATTTTTTTTCCGGCCGGTCAACTGTCGTTGACCGCCGGGTCTCCAGCGTTGACTTATTTATTTTTTATTTTTTATTTATTTTTTAATTATGTTTTTTCTTAAAAAAATATTTTACTTAATATTACTGTCTTGGTTGCGAAATTACTGTCTCCGGCAGTTATTTAACCGTTGGAGACAGTATTTTAATTGTTAATTAACTTTTTTTTTTCTTCAAAAATATTTTAATTAATATTACTGTATTCGTTGCTAAATTACTGTCTCCAGCAGTTATTTAATTGTCGGAGACAGTAATTTAACTGTTAATTGACTTTTTTATTCTTAAAAAAAATATTTTTAATTTTTGTATTCGTTGCTAAATTACTGTCTCCAGCAGTTATTTAACTGTCGGAGACAGTAACTTAACTGTTAATTGACTTTTTTATTCTTAAAAAAAAATATTTTTAATTAATATTACTGTATTCGTTGCTAAATTACTGTCTCCAGTAGTTATTTAACTGTCGGAGACAGTAATTTAACTGTTAATCGACTTTTTTTTAAAAATTTTTTTTTTCTTAAAAAAAATTATTTTAATTAATATTACTGCTTTGGCTGCTAAATTACTGTCTCCAACAGTAATTTAACTGTTTTAGACAATAATATTAATAATATTACTGTTCGGGAAAATAATATTCATAATATTACTGTCCCAAACAGTAGTATTACTGTAGTAGTATTACTGTCTGAACAATAATTTAGTAGCCAAGACAGTAATATTAATTGAAATAATTTTTTTCTAAGAAAAAAAATCCAAGGAAAAAAAAAAGTCAACACCGGAATCTGACCGGAAAAAAAATATTTCAGAAAAAAAAATTATTTTCTGAAAAAAAAAATTGGGGGGTTAATGTGATATATTTGTTTAAATCCGGGGTCAATGTGTAATATTAAGGAAGTTAGAGCATGGAATTGATAAGAATTATATTATGGAGGGTATTTTAGACTAAAGACATGGGGATGGGTTTAATTGATAACTGTTTTTTTTATGGACCAAAATGCATTTAAGTCCCATGTGATGGGCCTTTTTGCCATTCACCCATATATATATATATAATGGAAAATGAATTTGCTCGAAAGTTCCTCATGCATGCAGTAATTTGTAGGTCTCGAGCAAGCAACTCCGTGATGATTTAATGACATTGCTCATAGCTGGACATGAAACATCGGCTGCTCTGCTGACGTGGACCTTCTATCTTCTTTCACAGGTACTGACTTAGAAGCGTAATGCAATAAATAGAAATTAATTAAGTCCAGATGAGAAAACATAACTGGGTATCATAGGGGTACAAAGGTATAAATTTACACTACGCTATAGAGTTTATTTTCCTTTTCTCGATTCTTCTTATTTGATTCCCAGTATAGCCTCAGTGTAATCATACAATTCTAAATCTACATTTTCATCTTGTGTTTTTGTAACTTGCAGGATCCTAGTGTTATGGCCAAGCTTCAAAATGAGGTACGTTGATACTTGATACTCTTTGTCGGGTTTTTTGCACGTAAACGATATTCCAACTCTCATTTGAGTATGACCATTATTATTTAAATGTTCATATTACTTAAATGTCATCTCTTACACATCCGTACAGGTGGACTTAGTTCTAGGTGATAGAATTCCCACTGTTGAAGATATGAAGAAGCTCAAATATACAACTAGAGTAATTAATGAGGTGAGCATGCACATATGATACTTACACTTCTCTCGATGCTATCTCTACAGTTTATATATTTATATCTTTAATAACTTCGATACTATCTACATACTTTTACAGTCATTAAGACTCTATCCGCAACCACCTGTTTTGATTCGCCGCTCCCTCGAAGAGGACGTACTTGGAAAGTACCCAATTAAAAGGTTAATTTCGAAATTGCCACCAAGACTGTTACGACATTTGATTTCTGCACTCTTAGCATTGAATGAATGATTTTTCCAGTTGAATTATGGGTTCAAGTCAAGAATAACAAGTTAACTATTAAGTATATGTGCCTTGTTCATAAAAAAAATGAATGTTAAAGATCAATGGTTAGCTTACTCGATAGTGATTAAAAATGTAATATTTCTAATATATACTTCTTTTTTTTACAGGGGTGAAGATATTTTCATCTCTGTGTGGAATCTTCATCGCAGCCCTAATCATTGGGAAGATGCTGACAAATTCAATCCCGAAAGATGGCCTTTAGATGGTCCAAATCCCAATGAGACAAACCAGAATTTCAGGTCTGAATTCTGACTGTCTTGATTTTGTTCAATGTGCCCTAGAAATAAATATTGAAACACCAAACAACTCGCTCGCCTCTGAGATAAGGACAAGAATCAAATTTTGTTTTCTACCCTCATTTACATTCTACATTTATTCTCCTAGAATAAAATCGAGTATACATCAACGTATTTTTATATAGCAATATTTTATGGGAGTTTATTCCCTACTAATACCGTATATGTTTCCTAAGCTAATGTGATAAACTCAACGTACTCGATGTTACAGTTACTTGCCCTTTGGTGGAGGACCAAGAAAATGTATTGGAGATATGTTTGCTTCATTTGAGGTAAATTGTTTTAAGCTGACATTTTCTGGTTTCAGGGTGATCCGTAAATAGTCGTCTTCAAGTATAAATTGTATATATCGTAGAATTCCGATCCACTCGTCTTGAAATTTGAAAAGTCCAATGTCATAAAATGACAGTTTACTCTTGTCTTGTCATGGTTTGCAGAATATTGTAGCGGTGACAATGCTTGTTCGTAGATTCGACTTCCAATTAGCCCTCGGAGCACCTCCTGTGAGTATTCTGTTTATATTTTTCGTCAGTATGTGCGAAAAATTCACTTCTAAGTTAGCAACAAAGTGACAACTTACTGTATTTGAAAACCATACAAACTCCATTTCTCTAACCAGCCTCCGCACTCCACATCATCAAACTGAGTAAATGACGTTTTTACCCTCACCAAATATTATATATTTTCGGTAAATTATATATCAGCATCCCTTAAATTTAAACGTTTATTTATGCAGGTGAAAATGACTACAGGGGCAACTATTCACACAACGGAAGGTTTGAAGATGACAGTTACACCAAGGAGAAGAGCTCCGATAATTCCAAATTTAGACATTCCGACTGTGAACGTGGACTCGTCGCTGAACTTTCCGGAGGCTACAACAGTCCCGATTCAGAAAGACCAGGTCTCCCCTGTGGTTTCATAGTTATAATTGTGCATATATACATTGGATTATTTATTGAATAAAGTAAATATAGTAAGGAGCATATATCGCTTGCCCAAATAATATATATACATTGTTGTAACGCGACACATTTCATTCCACTTGCTCCAGTAGATGTTTCAAAAATCATTTTGTTACTTCGTCAAGTCTATCGGAGTTATCTCCTATTCTATTTCTCGACCATTGTTTTTCGATTATCGAAAGAAAGTTCAGTAGTAAGCCCAAGGAATGGCGAGGACCAAATCGTAGAGAGAGCCCAATAGTATGGGGCCGCCAACGGACAGCTCGCACATCCAGGGTCCTTGTCTACAGAACGCATAAAGAGAGAAACGGGAAAATGGTAGGTGGCGAGATGACCAAAGAGACGTTTAAAAAAAAATAGAAGATATCTTCCGAAAATAAATACCGAAAATGTATAAATTCAAACCAATGATCAAGTATTTCATACTTTCTCTTGGAATTCTCTTTTTTCTACTATATTTCGGTCACTTTGTTCGTCGCTGCCGGTCCTAAATCCGTTGATAGGTGAGCTTTACCTATTGTTGAGTGGGTATGGTTTGAAGAAAGGTCTTGAGGTGCACCCTCAGTGTTAATGTGTTAATACAACGAGGCCTCGTTTGGTTGGAAAAATTAGCTATGATTAACTAAATAATTGGACTTTGTTTCATGCTTGACATCCCCAATAACAGACCGGGTCGACCCGCAAAATATTATGTTATAATTTGCGTTACAGACATGTTTTTTTATTGGATCATCGAAGGTCCAATAATATAATCGAGTTTTATTAAATTATTTAATTTTATCTGGGTCAATTATATCTGGGCAACCAAACGATGCCCTTAATGGTTAATTTCGTTTGCCCTTAATGTTTAATTTAAGATGGATAAAAATAAATAAAAAAAGTCGTTGTACAAATACAAACGACTCTGTTTCTACAGTCCGTGTCTAAGAAAAAAAACAGAGGGCTCTTTCTACTCATTCTTCCCCAGATCTCTGACTTTCTCCATCACGGAAGATTTTTTTTTTCCGGGAAACCCCAAGTAAAATTCAGCAATTTCTTCGGCAATTTTCCTTCTTTTTTGAACATTAATACTCAAGATCTCAATCCAATCGCCTCAATGAATGTTTTCAGTTCTTCGTTTTTTTGATCCTATTTGATCACACTGTGAAATTTACCCAATTTTTTTTTTTTTTTTTTTTTCAAAATTGTGGAGCAGGTAAAATTTAACTGAATTGAATTGAGGTGAAGAAAGGTTCAGCAGGTATGGTGGGTGGTGCGGCGGGTGGATTTGTGGTGAGGGCATTTGAGTCGATGCTCAAAGAATGCGGCAACAGAAAATACAGTGCTCTCCAGTCCGCCATTCAGACGTATTTGGGTACGCTTATGTGTAAAACCCTGCTTCTTTTGCTCACCATTGTTGAATTGAATCCGTGCTATTTTGCGGAGTATTTGATTTGGGATTCCTATCTGGTGTTTGATTTGAGTTTTGACTTTAGTTTTGTATGCTGCTTGATTTCTCAGCTGTGGTATGTCCAATTTTTGTTTCTTGTGCGTGCACGTGATGATACGCTGATTGCGTGGGCTTTCACTTTTACTAATGTTTTATGTGACTGGTGGCACATTGATGTTTGAGATTATATGTTTTCTACAATTGTCTGAATTGGCACCTCCAAACTTGATTATTTTTCCAATGTGGCGTTTCAGAAAGTGGAAAGGACTCCAATCAGCAGCCAAAGACTGGTGAGACTACACAAGTTTTGTCGGCAGCTTCAAATCAAAGGTGTTCTAACCACAGTGAGATTTTTTAAGTTTTGTTTCTCTATGTCCATGCCTTCAAATCTTCGTCAAAATACATCAGTCGTATTGTTAGTCTGGAAATATTGGCAGACTCACAGAGGACCTATAAGTCCAATTGGGAAAACGCGAGCAAGAATCAGAATAAGTGTGCACGAGAATTAGACGAGTAAATCATGGCGCACGAGCTTGAATGTGTACATATGTAATTTAAGCTAATCAAATAATTGCTGAATAAATGGAAGAAGTTAGGTTAGTGGCAAAACTATGTCCTCAATGAAATATACTCAAAAATCTATTTTTTTTCTCAATAAATTATGGTCCACCATGTGCATTTAGAACACTTGAGATGTCTATTGCGATGAAGTTACAAATACATCAGACTAATTGTTAGAAGCTAAATGAGAATTTGTCCTACTGCTAAATTTTAATTTGCATGGAAGACGGCAGGACCTACGATTATGCAGCCTTTTTTATATGACAATGTCCTGGCTTTTGGCCATAGATCTTAAGAAACGCATTACTGGTTTATTTTATTTCATCAAAAGTGAGTTAATAGCAGTAGTCCTTTCCCCTTGTCTCATTTCACATTTATTTCCAATTGTTTGCAACACATTCTTTCAGCAGTTCATCTGAATCTGAGTCTGGACCTGGAAAAGTCGAGATGCAATCTGATCCTTCAGGAGGAGCTGAGGGCGAGCTCGTTCTGAATCCGCTCAGGCTTGCCTTTGAAACGAAGAACATAAAAGTGGTGGAACTTGCATTGGATTGTCTTCATGTAGGTGCTCATTTTGATCATAGGTTTTAATTTGTGGAAGTTTCTCTTGCAACCTAGTGTATTTACAAATTAAAACGTGCTAAATGAAAGTTGAATTTTTGTTGGTGATTTGATTTGCTTGTTCTTTTTCTTTATCTGCTTTCTCTTTGGCATCTTATGTTGCACACCGCGACATTTCTCGAACATCAAAAGGAACATAACTTGGTTGTTGCTGAGATTTCATATAATTAGTCATAAACATTATGCTCCATTCTCATGAATACACAGTCTAATGTAGCTAGAACTCCTTAATGAATCTCAAATAAGGTGGAGCTGATTGAGAGATTACATCATGTTTCTTCTCATTTTCCTCAATGCAGAAACTCATTGAGTACAATCATCTAGAGGGTGATCCTGGTCTTGAAGGTGGTAAAAATTCAAAATTATTGACAGACATCCTCAATATGGTGTGCAGTTGTGTGGATAATTCATCACCTGATAGGTACATGTATTGACATACTGAAATTGATGCTTTTTTGCATGTTCTTCATTTCCTGAGTGTAACCCTGAGGAAATAAAATGCAGTACTACTCTTCAAGTGTTAAAAGTGCTTCTAACTTCCATAGCATCGACAAAGTTGCGAGGTATGTCATTTTTATGGGCTCTATTACTATCTAATTGTCCTCATTGTCGTATTTTTCTTTCCTATCTTATCTCACCGTATACTACAAACAAATTGAACATGATCCTGAATATGGTTTCCTTTCATTTTTCTTTTCTTTCCGCTTCTTTTGTCTACCTCATTTTGTAAACGGTACTACAGTCTTATATTGCGATACATATTTTAGCTGTCTACCAATAGCTTCCGCTATAGAACCTTGCTTTGCAGTTCAAACTACTTTATTAACTCTCAGAGTAGTTTTTTGATTAGGTTTGGTTTTTACCATCCAATTGATTATTTGTAAATTCTTCGTCAATCTTGTGCAGTACATGGTGAACCATTGCTGGGAGTCATCAGGGTTTGCTGTAATATTTCTCTTAATAGGTACTCTTCAATAAGTTTTCTTGCTCAGTTTTATTTATACACCATCAAGTGCTTATATCATCTTTCAATGTTTAGCAAGAGCCCTATAAGCCAAGCAACATCAAAGGCCATGTTAACCCAAATGCTTAGTATCATTTTTAGACAAATGGAAACTGATGTGGTATGCAACAAAATCTCTTCCCTGGAATCTTTCTCGTGTTGCACACTGCCTAGATGGTTTACATAACAGAAAAATTACTTCCTTGAAATTAAGGTGTCTTCTAATTCTGTTGAACCTAAAGAAGCACATTCAGAGGATGGGTCAAATTCAATGATTGAGGAAGCGTCATCCAGTGATCGCAACGGTCCAAGAATAACTTCGGAAGATGTACTATATGTGAAACAGATACATAATACATCACTTGTGTCTCTTCAAGGAATTCAGAATCTTGTTGTTGGCTCAGATATAAAGGTAATTTGCATCTACGATACACATGGCCATCTCATTATTATCTTTCGTTTATCTCCATCGAGCACTCTGTACCAAATGTTTGATATGTATACCTATTCATATCTGCAGTTTTGGTTAAAACTCTTTTTTCTTTCTAATAGGGTTTAGAGGCTGTTCTTCAGAAGGCAGTGGATCTCGAAGATAGCGGAAAAGTCGGAAGGTATGGCCACACTACCAATAATCGGAATTCTATAGTTTGGAAATGTAACTTCTATATTGTGTGATTCCTTCACTCTACATACTCTCCCATACAGGAGAGGTGTAGGGATAAACTGTTTCTATTTCTTTCCCAATATCTATCTCCTCTCTTAATATTGTTAAATTTCAGTGGGATAGGTTCAGAGGGCATCAGTGTTGAACAACGTGATGCTTTACTTCTTTTCCATACGCTCTGTAAGGTTTGTATCTGTGGTGTTTTCCTTACATTCTAGCTTTCAAACTTGTTGAGAAAAACTACTTGTTTAATCATATAATGTGTTTGCAGATGGGCGTGAAGGATGGCAAGGATGAACTTACTAACAAAACTCGTATTCTATCGCTGGAGCTTCTGCATGTTAGTTTCTGAGCTACCTCTGTATATAGGAAGGTTTTATGTGATTTCATGGTGCATGGGAAAACCACATTTAGTTTCATTTTACTTCTCCGCTTTTAGGATCTGCGGCGATCTTTCAGCGTAGAATATAATTAACCTAGTCATAGTTTTATTACTCGTATCGTGGATGGACAATGACATGTAGATTGGCTGGAAGTGTTTATAAATTAAACAACTCGTTTGCGTGTTCTGATTAGTTTCTGGCCAGACAGAATGGCTCATTGCTGATTATGTTTTCAGTATACTCATGAAACAGTTTACCATGTGGAATATAGGGCTTATTGGAAGACGTTGGCGACTCATTCACAAAGAATTTTCAATTTATTGACTCAATCAGAGCTCACCTTTCATATGCATTATTACGAGGATCGGTGTCCCAGTCTCATATCCTATTCCAGGTATGGTTGGCTTAGTTTTTATATCGGAAAACTCTTTCGTAGTTATATTTTTAAAAGTTTTGTTTCTATTCCATCGCAGTATGCAACAGGAATTTTCTCAGTTCTTTTGTTGCGATTTCGGGAAAGTCTCAAGGTATGAGTAAACTTCAAAAATCTCATAACAAATGAAACATTCGATTCATTTTCTTCCTCATGTTGAATGTAATTAATTCTTTTTCCAGGCTGAAATTGGCGCCCTTTTTCCGGTGTTTGTTCAAAGGTCTTTGGATGGAACAGATCTTAACCAGAAACTAAGTGTTCTTCGGTAAGCTGTTTTCATTGAAACTAGATTACAATGTTACCATACTGCGCACCATCAGGTTGCTTGAATTTTATACTCAGTTTCCTTGATGAATATTATGCTCTGCCAGCTCATATTGCTCACCAATATTAAAATTTTTGTAACAAATGTTTTCACAGAATGTTGGAGAAAGTGAGCAAGGATCCTCAAATGCTTGTTGACCTTTATGTAAACTATGACTGTGATCTTGATGCACCTAACCTTTTCGAAAGGATGGTATATGCTGTTTTGTTAAATAAGATGCTTCCTTTTTTACTTACGTTGTAACTTCATTCTCATACGATCTATGCTCCTTTAGGTTTCCACACTGTCCAAAGTTGCTCAAGGTACTGAAAATATGGATACAAAGTCTTCTAATGTGTCTCAAACAGGATCACTTAAAACATCATCTCTTCAGGTATATCCGGCCTTCACTATATTTTTAACACCTTAGTTTTTGTGAAAACTTTATGCCGTGGCACGTGTTTATACTGGCTTGTTTACACATGTTCATTGACTCTTAGGGTCTCGTGAATGTTCTCAAATCACTAGTAACTTGGGAGAAGTCTCACAGAGAATCTGAAAAGCAGAACAAGGAAAATGTATCTTCTGAAGAAGTCCCACCTAGAGAATTGGATGAGTCGAAAAATGTGGAAGAAGATTCACCTAGCAACCTTGCTGTTATGCATGCGTATGTAGAATCCATGAACTTCTGTGGAATGAAATTTGATATTGCAATTCGTGGATTCCTTAAAGGGTTTCGACTTCCACGGGAAGCTCAGAAGATTGATCGCATAATGGAAAAGTTTGCAGAGCGGTACGTTTTATACATTGCTGCATTTGCGTTTATGTGAACTATCCCCAGAAAAAAGAGTGTCCAAATAGGTAGACGTGATATAAAATGATGATACCACTCAAAATCGGATATTCTTTAATGCTAGTCGACTGGAATTAGTATGTTCAGATTTTGAAATTATTTTCTTTTGTTGCAGCTACTGTACAGATAATCCTGGTCTATTCAAGAATGCAGATACAGCTTACGTGCTTGCTTATGCAATTCTAATGCTTAATTACGACGCTCACAATCCAAAGGTGTCCCCAAAACTGTCCAAAAGTGAGTTTATTAATATGAATGTTAGAAATAATGCTGAAGAATCTGCTCCTCAAGAACTCTTGGAAGAGATCTATGATTCCGTCGTCAAAGAAGAGATAAAAATGAAAAATGATCCTACTGAAGTAGAGGAAAGAGATGACATCATCAATGTTCTCAATCTGGGACTCCCAAGAAGGAGCTCTTCAACTGACTCCAATTCTGAGGACAAGGCGATTATCAAGCACATACAGTCTCTAATTAATAGTCAAGGTGAAAAAAAGGGGTCCTTTTACACGTCAGACAGGATTGAACTTGTGTGTCCGATGGTTGAAGCTGTGGGATGGCCACTACTTGCTATTTTTGCTGTTACCATGGGTGACGTAGACAACCAAGCAAGGATTAGTCTTTGTATGGAAGGATTCAAGGATGGTATACACATAACACATGTTCTAGGATTGGACACTATCCGTTACGCATTTTTGACTTCTTTGGTGAGGTAACTCTCGTTTTTCCTTATCAACTTGTCTTGTTCATGTATCGGCTAATTACTTGTATGTCAATTTCCTTTTCTCATTTTAAGTGATCTTAGAGTTCTTGGCTTTCTTAAGTGATCAAGATAAATAAACAAAAGCTTGCACATACTAGTTAACTGTGCCTGACGGCTCTGCTTTCTTAGTTGCTACAACTGATGCTTTATTGGGCCAAATGTTAATTTAAAAGATGCTTCTGAAATTGAATTGCAGGTACAATTACTTACATGCACCTAAAGATATGCGTGGAAAAAATGTAGAAGCGCTACGCACCCTTCTTGATTTATGCGACACTGAGATCTATGCCCTTCGGGACTCTTGGGTTGCCATTCTGGAATGTATTTCCCGCCTTGAGTATACAGTATCCTGGCCAGCTATGACTGCAACTGTCATGCAAGGATCAAATCAAATCTCCAGAGATGCTATTCTTCAATCTCTGAGAGAGCTCTCGGGAAAACCAACTGAACAAGTATTTGTAAATAGTGTCAAATTACCAAGTGAATCAGTGCTCGAGTTTTTTACTGCTTTGTGTAACGTGTCAGCAGAGGAATTGAAACAGACTCCTCCTCGTACTTTTAGCTTGCAGAAGGTTGTTGAAATTAGCTATTACAATATGGCTCGCATACACCTGGTAATCTCTCCAGTTGATAAAGTTCTGTCCTTTCTCAGTAACGTTTTTCGGTCCTAAAATGTAACCTTTTCTTTTAATATCAGGTTTGGGCTAGAATATGGTCCGTCTTGGCCAATCATTTCATAGTTGCCGGGAGCCATGCAGATGAAAAAGTCGCAATGTATGCCATAGACTCTGTACGGCAACTTGGTATGAAATATTTGGAGCATGCTGAACTTACAAACTTCACTTTCCAGAATGACATTTTAAGACCATTTGTCATTCTCATGCAAAGCAGCACAAGTGAATCCATAAGAAGGCGTATACTGGATTCAACTGTTCAAGTATGTTGAACTTAACTACGCAAGTCTTTCTAAATCTCATTACTACTTTTTTGATATTGACGTTGTCAATTTGATTTCAACAGATGATAAAATCTAAAGTTGGAAATATAAAGTCCGGCTGGCGAAGTGTTTTCATGATTTTCAGCATGGCTGCAGATGATGATCTGGAGCGCATAGTTGAAAGTGCTTTTGAGAATGTGGAACAAGGTCTGAACCGATATTTTCTTTTTTCTTTCTTGTGATATATTGTTGACAATTATGTGAGATTTGTCAAATTGATGTCTAACACAGAGGAATGGTGCAGCTATCTTGGAGCACTTCAATCAGGTAGTTGGGGATTGCTTTATGGATTGTGTGAACTGCCTGATCGGATTTGCCAATAACAAAAGTTCGCACAGCATAAGTTTGAAGGCTATTGTTCTTATCCGCATATGTGCTGATCGTCTTGCAGAGGTTTGTTTCCGTTATTAAAGTTATCTTCATTTATTTAAAAACTTCTGTTATCAGCTAGGCTTTATATTTCTTTATCATTCAATTTTTGATGTATATAACATAAAAAAAAAAGCTGCAGTCATTGATAAAAAATTGTGGTTGACTAAAGTGCCGTGGTAGTCATCTATTACTATTTTGTTGCTGCATTTGCCAAGTCATAGTGAAGTGTACAGACAATGACTTATTGTCTCTCGTCTCGTGTCCAGGGCCTTGTTCCAGATGGTTCACTGAAACCTCTTGATATCAAAGCAGGTGAAACTTTTCATTTGACTGAGCAATATTTGTTCCCTATGCTGGCTGGTCTATCTGACCTGACTTCGGATCAAAGATCGGAAGTCAGGAATTGTGCACTTGAGGTCTTGTTCGATTTGTTGAATGAGAGAGGTGGCAAATTCTCGTCTTCATTTTGGGAGTATATTTTCCAAAGAATCCTGTTTCCCATCTTTGACCAAGTGAGACATGCTGGAAAAGATAGTTTTATATCTTCCGGGGATGAGTGGCTGCGCGAAAGCAGTGTTCACGCACTACAGTTGTTATGCAACCTTTTCAACACTTTTTACAAGGTATCACGACTGGTTGATAACATTGTGCTACAGCAGCCTTCTTGTATCTATTCTGTACTGCACTGGTTAATACAGTCTTTTATTATTGACTCTATTTCGACTGGAAACTACGTTGATAATTCCATCAGCTTTAATACATTAAATTTGAAACCCATGCTAGTAATATGGTTTTCTGATAGCTGATGTTCGTTTATGCAGGATGTGTGTTTTATGCTGTCCCCATTACTGAGTTTACTGTTAGATTGTGCAAAGAAAACTGATCAATCAGTAGTTTCGATATCTTTGGGTGCATTAGTGCATCTCATTGAAGTTGGAGGGCACCAGTTCAGTGACCACGACTGGGATACTTTGTTGAAAAGTATAAGGTACCCCCCCCCCCCCCCCCCCCCCCCCCCACACCCCCCCCCTCGTTCCTTGTGGTACAAGTTACGGATTGATTCCAAGAATGCTTGAAACCTAAATCTGTAAAATTATGAATCGGAAATACTAAGAACTAGAAACATGGGGCTTCTTGGGGCAATGCTTTAATAAACTGCTCTGTTTAGCTAATTATTCTGATCCTTAAGTGTGTTGAAAATTTTGACCATATATTTTGTTTGTTTTCTAGTTTCCTGATGCTATTCCAGAAACTGATGCCAGAGATGAGGTGGATAGTCCAGCGTTGGGAAGCATTAGGAGTAAATGCATAACCCAGCTGTTACTTATTGGTGCAATTGATGGTATTCAGGTACTCAGAATCAGTTAGACCATCTGATTTTCGGTTTCTATCTTTGTTTCTATCACGTAATGGGAACCCAATACGTTAGTTACTTAGTTAGGATATATTTACAGCATGCTTATAGCTGACATTTGTTTTTGAACTTGCAGAAGAAATACTGGGACAAGTTGAATACACAACAAAAAATCACCATGATGGAAATTTCATTCTCTGTCCTGGAATTTGCTTCCTCATACAATTCATATACCAATCTCAGATTGCGAATGCATCAAATTCCCGCTGAAAGGTTTGCTCATATGTTCCTTGACTGAGAAACAAGTGCCTTTTTTTTAAATCATGCCTTATTGGCACGAGGCAATTCTTTTTTAACACAAAAATATTTTGCTGGATAGACTGCCTTTGAATCTTCTACGCCAGGAGCTGTCTGGAACTTGCGTTTATCTGGATATTCTGCAGAAGACGACAGCAGAAGTTAATATTCATAAAGAGGAAGCAGTCAAAGAAGATAAACTTGAAAGGGTAGCTGAAGAAAAGCTTGTATCTTTTTGTGAACGGGTGCTGAGAGAGGCTTCTGAATTCCAATCTAACATGGAAGAGACAACTAGTATGGATATCCATCGAGTTCTAGAACTTCGGTCTCCCATAATTGTGAAGGTATGTATTTCTGGTTTCCCAGTTCAAAAAACACGTATATAGGTTCTTCCAGTTTCCCTTCTTTTCACTTTTATGTGGGGAAGGGGACACGGGGTGGGGGTGGGGGTGAATAGAAAAACTTTGCACATACTATTACAATTACATTCATCGAAAAATTGTTCTCGCCGAGACTTCAAGAATACAAAAAATTATATGTTTAGTGCTTATATGGGAAAATTACATTTCTTTGATATATATGGGAAACTTTGACTCGTAAAAATGTCCCATTCGATTTTTCCTGCAATTTCTTTCTTTCTTGTTCATCTTTAGTGATATCTAAGCTTCATTATGTTCTTCCAGGTGCTAAGAGGCATGTGCAAAATGAACTCCCAGATTTTTAAAAATCGCCTTAGAGATTTGTATCCTTCCATTACAAAACTCGTCTGTTGTGACCAGGTAAAACTCCTAGTCAGAGAGAGACTTTTGCAAGTTCTATTTGCATGATTCACTATGATCGACGTTTAACGAGATGAAAAATGAAAAACATCAAGTGCTTAAGTACTAGTATGAAAAGGTAAAATCATTTACAGAAAATATGTGTTTCGCTTTTCAGATAGAAGTCCGTGGTGCGCTTGCGGATCTTCTTACCATGCAATTGAGCGCATTGCTGCCGTAGCACTTCCACCGTCCATTGATGCATTTATAGGAGGCTCGTTTTTATTCGTCCCTTCTTCTGTCTATTTATTTATTTATTCAAAAAATTCTCATCCTAAACAATTTTGTAGCTTGGTAAAAATGCACTTGATATTTATAGTTAAATTCGAGGAATTATGTTGATCCAACTGCGATCTTATCAATTTGCTTACTAAGTTAATTATTTTACATTAAATTTATAAAATTTATTTTCATGTCATAATTTATTTCTAGTTTTGCGACTTCAAGCAAATTATTATTGCAAGTATAAATTTATTCTATTAATAAAGATTTATTCTAATATTTGCTATGCATGCATGTTTTTTCGGATAGTTCCTAGTTCCCATTGGAATGATGGTGCATGTATAGAATAGGTTGATGGGCACTTAATATATCTATAAAGGAGGTTTCGAGAAAGTTTCTTAGAATCTCTACAAGGCTTATTTATATTATATTTGGACCAACTTGTGCCTAATGGCTAAATTTTGGACTCCTTAACCTTTTTATTCTGAAGAAAACTGGCCCAGGAAAGGATTGGGCCAACGGCTAAAACTTGGACTCCTTAACCTCCTCATCTCTCTTCATCTCAAAGGAAACTGTAGGAAACTGGGATTGGGTCATAACAACGAGCTGAATATTGAAATTTCTCCGTAGGATTGGGCCAAGGGCTAAAACTTGGAGTCTTGGAGTCCTTAACTGTTTTTTAATTTTATTCTGTCTTTGTTATCTTCTTCACTACTGTTCATTCCTCATCCCTCTCTCTCTCGCACACACAAACAACTTCTGTCTCTAACATTTTTGTTCAATGTTTTCTCATCCCTAAAACTCTGATAAATAAGAAAAATTACAAATGAATCTTCACACGTGCTGCTGCTCCCTCATTCTAAATGAAACTGTACCTTCTCATCCCAAAGGAAACTGTAGGAAACTGACAAGGGAATGGGCCAAAACTGGCGGGCCGTAACAACGAGCTGGATATTGAGATTTCTCTGTGACCCTACAGTGGTGGCAAACGGTATTTTTCATTGGTTTGCACGTACGAATGGGTTTACGAAGACCGGCCTACTGTTCTGCAGCCTAGTGGTTTACGACCCGTACGACGGTCAAAACCATTTGCACTTGATCATGCTTCCAAAGCTGATTATCGATTCATGGTGCGGTGTTGTCACAAGGTCGTCCCCAAACCATGGTGATATCTTATGGTACGACAATTGTAACTTCGACATACACATGAAATTCTGGATGCTCCCCCAACAAGGTGAAAACGGGGTGGTGGTTACAAGAGGGCGACCACCATACCTTCCGATGAATGGGCCTTGATGTACAAAATCAGTCTTGAACCTTCGATGGATTTGGACACCATTCGCGATATGCGCACCCACATTCCCTTTGTTGTTTATCCGGTGGGTTTGAACGCATTTGTTTCATAGGATCGTCTTGTTGTCCTCGTGAGGAATCACGAGATCTGGTCTCTTTACAACCTCAAGACGATCGGATCGTGGGAGTTGCTTGGCCGCGAAAGAATGCTTGCTTAAGGAAATCTATGTTATCCTTGGCATCAACCTTCTTTTAGTCCCATCCTCGAAACCCCTTTTCTTTCTTCTTATGCTCGTCTTTGAATAATACTTAAATTGCATAGATACACTGAGAGAGAGAGAGAGAGAGAGAGAGAGAGAGAGAGAGAGAGAGAGAGAGAGAGAGAGAGAGAGAGAGAGAGAGAGAGAGAGAGAGTGAGAGAGAGAGAGAGAGAGAGAGAGATA